TTAATGCGGCTGAAACCGCAGGGCACCCCAATCTCGGTATATTTTTTTTATTTATTTTCCACAATATTACACATGTTAACACTATGTACACATCTGCCAAACTGTGTAACAGTTTGTTGGCAGTGTATTGTAACGCCCGTAGCGTTACGGCCTCCTTGCTTGTATAAGCTCTTTGCTTATGTAATGCCTACGACTGGCAGTTACGAGTATATTAAAAAGTAAATGTAAATATTATAAAGATTTGAATATCAGCATCTTTTGTCTCATATCAAACATTCTAGAAGATAGAATTAAGGCACAGAAACGATCGGTTGGTAGAAAGACTATTATGTTATTCTCTGAGCTTAAATAAAAGAAGTTAAACATTTCGTGATAATTATTTATAGCTGCAGAAAAGCTTAGCCTTAGGCTAAGCCCTACGGTACCTATGTAAACTATAGCAGTTCATACTTGATATATATAAAGATTGTTACTAATGATACCAAAAATTAAAAAACCACGCCTCCATAATTCATTAGATTTCCACTTCGACAGATCATCTGGAATTTGTTTCACTTGAAAAATAAAATTATATATGTAATAACTACATGACTTGAGTTTAAAGTTTTATTAATTCCTAAAATTGATGAAAATTCTTATATCGTGATTGAGCAAATATAAACATGAATGATTAAAGATGTATCAACAAGGATTCCATGTTGTTTCAACGGATTATAATGATAATGAGATTTAAATCGTGACTGATCGATCACACGCCAACTCAATACAAACGACTTTTAAGTATGATACTTTGAAGGAATCAAAAACAGACCCATTTAATCTTAGACCAGAATAGACCTTTACGTCACGTTATGATCGTTTAGCAGTGGTAAAGCATGAAGAGACATCATGAGAAGGTAGTTTGATAAGAATCTCATATTCACACTTAAAATCCAGACGTCTAGCATTGTTTGGTAATGGGTCAAAAGTCTAAACTATGATTTAGGATTAATGTATACCTACACATAACCTTCCCTACTTTTTGGAAAATTCCTTGTTAGTTCATTACTATTTGGCGTGGTACTCAGGTAAGGTTCGTACCGACTTTAATTCACACGCCGATCACAGCATAAAAACTACACAGAGAACAAAAAGAAATATTTTGGTTTCGAAAATGATGATTACCAACCTAACAAGCGTGAATGTGATTTTTAATAGATGCTAAGCACGCTAAATAAATAATGATTCTTTTTTTTTTAATCGTTTTTGAGAATGACCAATGCAGGTAGGTCATCACGTCCATCTTATTTGTCTATCGTTCTTAACAACACACAACACAGAACGCGTATGTCAATCGTTAACTCTGATTGAAATTCAAGCATCTACTCGAATTCTAAAATAAGTAAAAAATACTTCCATCCAATTAAGTTGGAAACAAAATGTTTGCTCAAAACTCTGCCAAGACTGCATCGTTAATCTTGTAACTTTATTTGGATTAGTTCAATTAATAATAATGAAGGTCGTATAAAAACACGACAATTTAAAATAATTAATTTATACAGTAGGTAAAGTGGCAGCCCGTGACTTCGCCCGCGTTTAGTTTTTTGAGAATTGCTCAAGAACCAAAAATTTTTCGGAATAAAATGTATCCTATATCTCAATCCAGGCAATCAACTCAATCAATCAATACAGGGCGTCCCACGGCTACCTCAGACGGAGGGAAAGTATATTAAATATTGAAGATAGGCCATTTTACTGAAAGAAGACATCATTTTATTTTTAATAATAACTAGAACTGCATTCACAGATTTTTTTAAAATTGCCTGCTACGACTAGGGAATCAAACTCGTGAAATTTCGAAAAAAATAACTCTGCATATTTTATGATAACCATCGAAAGGGTTAATCATAAGGATTATTTTTTGCTAAATTACATAGCATTTTAAATGAAAGGAATGTGAATTACGTGATAAAAATAATAAAGTGGTATACAAACTGTAGTACGTATGCATTTCTTTTTGAACTCACTGTTACAATGCGACTGGCAGAAATTTGTAATAATAATAATTCGAAAATGGGACACATAAATTTTCAAGTGTCTGTTCTTTTGTTTTTTGTGAGTTTCATTTTAATTTATTTGCATTTTTTTGTTAATTTACTTACCATGGCTTATCAAAAATCTATCTCTATCTTTCTTTCATTATTTAAACAAATATCGAGAAGGTTGGTCTCTATTAGGATATCTTTTGCGGTACCACCGCTGAGCTAATGATATGTCTTTGTGGTTCATAAAGTAAGCTTACATTAAATCTATTTTATTTTGATGCGCCATGGTAAGTAAATTAACAAAAAAATTCAAATAAACGAAAATGAAACTCACGAAAAACGAAAGAACACAGGCTTGAAAATTTATGTGTTCCATTTTCGAATTATTATTACAAATTTCAGCCAATCGCATTGTAACTGAATTCAAAAAGAAATGCATACGTACTACAATTTGTATATCACTTTATTATTTTTATCACGTAATAAGACATTCCTTTCATTTAAAATGCTATATTATTGAGCAAAAAATAATTCTTATGATTAAACCTTTCGATGGCTATCATAAAATATGTCGTGTTTTTTTTCAAAATTTCACGAGTTTGGTTCCCAGTTGTATCAGGCGATTTTAAAAAAAAATGAGAATGTAGTTCTAGTTATTATTAAAAATAAAATGATGTCTTCTTTCAGTAAAATATCCTATATTCAATATTTAATATACTTTCCTTCCGTGTGAGGTTGCCGTGGGACGCCCTGTATACGTATGCCAAATTTCATACAAATCCTGTGTTTTTTCGTGATTGAGTAACCAACATACAAAACTTCAAAAACTTCGGATCTTGAAACGTTCAGTAGATTGTCACAGTTCACGCTTCACCATTTTTTGCCGACGAATTTCGATTAAAATTTGTTGTTTCCGCTCTGCAGCTAATAGCAGAAGCGTTATTTTGTTACATTATGTTATGTTAAACAACTATGTTGAAAAATATGTCCTTCGCTACAAGTGAATAACAATGAGCTTCGAATAGACACATTTATTATTATGTGGGCACAATGCATTATGCTTATGGATCTCATGATTAATGATGTTGAAAGCGAAAAAATGCCATTTCAGATTTAAGATTACAGTAACAACGATTATGGTAATAAACGTATTATAAGAACTAATCTGGATTGCGAATCACAATGGTTACTGCCTACGCGTAATATTTTAATTATGTCATATTTAAAGGAACACGTCTTTTTATAGTAGGTATCTAAGTGTAATAAAAACAGTTCTTTGTCTAAAAATAGCTCATAATGTGTACTCAGACTAGATATAATTCTAAATAATGCAATTAAGCCAACACAAGCGCAGCTACGCAGCAGGCGCGGTCAAATAAAACTAGGTGACCTATTTCTTGCATATGCGGCGGGCGGCGACGGGACAAAAAGACCAATCAGCCTTGCCCGTAATGGTCGTTATGTCGTTTCCCAAGCGACTATCTCGACCCCTTTCTTTGAGTCCCTGTCGCGTATCCTTCTCACACCCGCACAATACCACATGCGATAAAACGAGAACGCGAACCTATCAAGAAAACTGTTAAGTTGAGAACGGCGCAGTCGTCTATTACGCTTTTAAATGAAACCATAAAATGTAGAACTTGGACACAGAGAAATAGTCAAATAAAATGGCGTGAATTCATCAAGCGACAATTTGATACCTACGCAACGTGGAACGGATACATTTATATTTTTCTTTTCCCTTTTCGAGTGCGGACGTCCTACTGCCTACCTGTTGGATTTGCATATTCGATATTAAATGTGTTTATTGCTGCCCACACTCGCCTTATCGCTTGCTATAACGTATAAACAATGAGAGTACCCATATCGAGAAGTCCATTCACACTGGGCAAGAAATCGTGTTTTTTATATCCTTAAAAAATACTGCGGTTTTATGATTCGTTTCATGAGGTCGCTTTCCAATAATTTCAAATGCTTTAGGTATCCTAAATATTGAGAATATTGAGTAAGAGAAAAGATAGTGGTTATTGGTTTTGTTCCCTTGGAAGCCTAATGTGCTACAAATAATGCTTCTATTACATAGTTAGCTATTAATTAAATCTTAAATTCTTTACGTTTTCTAAAATCTTTTGCATTTTTCATGTATTTAAAGGCAAGGGTTCCTTTCAAATGAAGATTTCAAAAACTTACATAACAGAATTTTGAACACGCACTTGGGAATTGGTAAATATCAACCTTGGAAAAATGTTAGCTTCATCTTGTCATGTTTTTGTGGTCAAAGCGTTTTCCTTACTCTCCGCGAGTGGAATAAGTAAAACGCTCCTCGCAAGTAGGTTATTCTGACTTGGTGCTTTATTGTGTTTACGTGCAGCAGATATGAGATAAACAGATACGCAGGCTGGGTCAAGGCGCCAAGCAGCTTTCGACTCTGCTAGCTATATATGGAACTGGCAGATTTAGCTCCTGTTTGATCGCAAATACCTACGAACGAATGTGTCTGTCACGAGCTTGTTCCAATTATGCGGCTCGCCACCTAATTTCCACATAATGTTGTCTGATCTAAAGCCGGAGTCACGGTGTTTGTTAATTGCTTAATCCGCACATGTCCTTGTGGTAGTCCAGCAGTAATCTACTGCGATATGCGTCAAACAATGGCTGCGACGACACACGGAAGAGCGTTAAAATGAGTCGTAAAAAGCGCTCGTAGTTTCAATTTTATGACTCGAATTCAATTGGGGCTTGTAAAAAAGCGTTTTATTGGAGTCGCATCCTGGCTTCGAGGCCGCGAAGCTCTAATTAAAAACACGCTGTCCACTCTTGCGAAAGCGCGGCCCCTTCAAAAAGTTTTCTTGCAAGACCGTGTGCCCTTTACACATTTAATTTAGCAACTACACAAGAAAATATACAACAATTATTATTTTAAGAAAACGATTCTTATAAAAGAATTTTATTAATATAATCTTCTGTTTGTTACAGACAAGGTGACAAGTTACCCGTGAAGACATCTTAAGAAGGAGAAGACTTTAAGTGCCATTCGAAACAAGTTTACCATAAGAAGTGATATAGTCTCATCTAGTGATAGTGCATTACCGTGATATAGACTTAGTTTAAGGTGCTAACACCAATAGATTTAGTGTTAAAAGTAACCAAAAAGAAGCGAAGCTGGCTCCATACAAGGATATAATGAACTCATCAAGCATGAGTTCCGCTGTGCCTACGATTAAGTGTGAGGACACTTCGCCGTCGCCCACAGCGGCGTTGGGCGAAGGAGAGTCTTCTGGCGCATACAATCTCAGCGTGAACGTGAACCTCAGCACTGCGGTCATCAACCTGCTGTCCGCTGAGACCAACACTACAACACTCCGAACTCCCGAAATTGTCAACGATGTAATCACCATGACCAATCCTCTGGACCAGTACAATTACAGCGATAAAAATTCCAGTTTCAAGGTGAGGCACTGTTTACTTTTTGCTGTTATTATATAACGCACGCGCGCACAGTCCACTGCTTTTAAACGCTCTACATAGCGAGACCTTTTTTATGTAAGGCCTTTTTTTGATTGTATTTTAGGGTGTCAGAAAAAATATATTTTATACGTCTACATTGTATTGTAATTGAGTCCAATACTTTATAACAATTTCAATCCCATATTATGAAGATTAGTATACCTAGTAATCTAAACATCAACTTTTCCAACAGTGACTTGTTCAATCGCTCGCATAGACTCGGCCATAAAGATCCTGTTCTATGACAATCGAGCGATCGAATCATACAGGATCCTCGTTGTACTTAGGTCGCACGGTAGCGCCGGGAGAATACAAAATAAGCTAAATTACATATCATTTGACTCGTTGCCAAGTGTCGAGCGAGTGACTAGTGACGGAACCACGTGACATGGTCATCAGTCCCTCATAATAAACATTGGATAATGCCGTTGGCGCTAGCATACAAACTTAGGTCACACAACTCAAGTAAACCTCTTATTTGCACGAAGAACTCAGACTTCTCGGCGCCACCACTGATACCACGAGCTATCTATATTTAGATATCTTATGCCAGCAACGTTATTTACACCGTACGCTATCTTTACATCGGATCAGTGTCATATAAACGTGAATGAATTTCATTACTATATAATATGAATGCGCAGAATTCAGAGCGTGACGACAATAGGACAAAGGATTAATTAAGGCCGACATTAAACATTGAGCCATACCTGTGCGTACATCAATTACATACATTTAATTGTGTTTGATAGTGGTTATGACCCAACTTACCAAGGGATATGCAAACGTGCCGATATGTGCTGCGTTTGCATGGGCAGTCGAATGCAAATTATTCCGAAGTATTTACTCTTTTTTGAATTGTGGGATTTTCTTTGTAGTAATGGTATAATTTGGTATGAGCTGTAACGCTTTACTAATAACGACAAACAAACTCGACAAATAAATGATGCACTTTCCAAATGTACTTATAAGTTATTATTTTCGAATAATTACTCATAAATCATGTTATTCGATTAAGTAGTCCTCCCCTTTGAAAATAAAATATTTCTTTTGTTAGTTACAAAACGTTTTTTGCCATTTCGCTTTAACGTTATGTTCAGCGATCTGGAAATACTTCCATTCGGCAAGCAAGAATTTAACTTTAACTAGTTTTTTCTCATTTATGTTGAAATACTTATATCTATATTGTTTATATTAAGATAAGGTAATAAGCTAATTGTAAACAGTTATTGTAATTTGTTACTGTAAATATAAATTTTTTATCATCATTGTTTTAATTTTTTTACCTTAATGCTAGTTATAACGTTTCCCTTGTTGAAATATAAGTAGTCGTAGAACGTGGGATAACAAAGTAAACTTTGTTATTTCTTGAAAAAGTAAACTGATTGTCATCTATCATATACTGTATTTACTAATCTACAATTGCATCATTCAAATTAAAAATCAGTAAATACATTAAATTTGATTTAATCAAAGATTATGTACTAATGAAATTACTAACCTTTATTGAACTTCAAGAGTTAATTTTGTGACCCGGTAATCTTTTTTAAAAGTGCGCCTAGGTAAGGATTTAAGTCGATCCTTAAGACTTATAGTTTTAAAATTTTGTGACCCAGTAAATTCTTTTAAGGGTAATCAGGGGCGTATTTACCCTAGAACCAAGAGGTTTATGGCAGATTTTAAAATACGTCCCAATTACATGTTATAATTTGAACTTTCGTTCCGTCGTCGTTAGTTTGAAATTTGAAAAGTCAAAGGTTTATGCTTTTCTTACAGTAGTTGTTTTCTTTTGACAGCCGGGAAGCGGAAACGATTCCAACTCTTCTATGTCGAACGGATCTTCGGCCACTTCACCCGCTTCTGGTACTCCGCCAAGCATACAAAAGGCAAGTTTCTTTCATATCGGCTGTTTCGTATTAGAAAATGTCACATTTTCCCTATACCAATTAAATAATTTCTTATAGTAAGTACTTTGAAATTTTACAATGCTTATGAAGTGGCCCTTCGAGCTTTACACCTTAAGCTGAACTTATAGTACTTAACATTACAGATAACATTGGTGTCGACTTTTGCATGATTCGCTAAACTTTAAACTGAATTTGTCAGCAGCCTTTTCTTTTCAGTCTGTACTTATAGATATACTGTTGGATACAATTTTGTCAAATTTAATTTAGGTTTAGAGAATCAAGGCGGAATCAACACCATTGTTTGATTTTACTGCTACCTACAGGTATAAAAAATACATTATTGGTAGGTACCAATAATGTATTAACAAGTAACACTATGCAACAAGTTTTCTAGCAGATGCAAATAAGTAGGTATGATACTTACATGAAACTGAAACTAGCAGCCGACATTCTCTTGAGACAATTTTTTTTTATTTTCAACTAAAGTATGAGAGTATCTTGGCTGAAATTACACCCACTATTTCTTCACCCTGAAAAGAAGTTCTGGGGAAAATTTCATCAATTTCGTATGTGTAGGAGATGAGATAAAGCTTTTTAAACAAAAAAAAAAATATTTTCCCGAGAAAATATTTTTTTACAACTAAACTATTAGAGTATCTTGGCTGACATTACTTCCACTGTTTCTTCACCCTAAAAAGAAGTTTTGAAGAAAATTTCAGCAATTTCGTATGTCTAGGAGATGAGATACAGCTTTATAAACAAAAAAAAAATATTATGCTGAGAAAATATTTTTTTAAAACTAAACTTTTAGAGTATCTTGGCTGAAATTACTTCCACTGTTTCTTCACCCTAAAAAGAAGTTTTGAAGAAAATTTCAGCAATATCGTATGTCTAGGAGATGAGATACAGCTTTTTAAACAAAAAAATATTCTCCCCAGAAAATATTTTTTTACAACAAAACTATTAGAGTATCTTGACTGAAATTACTTGCACTGTTTTTTCACCCTAAAAAGAAGTTTTAAAGAAAATTTCAGCAATTTCATATGTCTAGGAGATGAGATACAGCGTTTTAAACAAAAAAAAAAATATTCTCCTGAGATAAAAATTTTTTTTGAAACTAAACTTTTAGAGTATCTTGGCTGAAATTACTTCCACTGTTTCTTCACCCTAAAAAGAAGTTTTAAAGAAAATTTCAGCAATATCGTATGTCTAGGAGATGAGATACAGCTTTTTAAACAAAAAAATATTCTCCCGAGAAAATATTTTTTTACAACTAAACTATTAGAGTATCTTAGCTGAATTTACTTCCACTATTTCTTCACCCTAAAAAGAAGTTTTGAGGAAAATCTCAGCAAGTTCGTATGTCTAGGAGATGAGATACAGCTTTTTAAACAAAAAAAAATATTCTCCCGAGAAAATATTTTTTTACAACTAAACTGTTAGAGTATCTTGGCTGAAATTACTTCCACTATATCTTCACCCTAAAAAGAAGTAGTGAGGAAAATTTCAGCAATATCGTATGTCTAGGAGATGAGATACAGCTTTTTAAACAAAAAAAAATATTCTACTGAGAAATTATTTTTTTACAACTATTAGAGTATCTTGGCTGAAATTACTTCCACTGTTTCTTCACCCTAAAAAGAAGTTTTGAAGAAAATTTCAGCAATATCGTATGTCTAGGAGATGAGATACAGCTTTTTAAACAAAAAAATATTCTCCTGAGAAAATATTTTTTTACAACAAAACTATTAGAGTATCTTGGCTGAAATTACTTGCACTGTTTTTTCACCCTAAAAAGAAGTTTTAAAGAAAATTTCAGCAATTTCGTATGTCTAGGAGATGAGATACAGCGTTTTAAACAAAACAAAAAATATTCTCCTGAGAAAAAATTTTTTTTGAAACTAAACTTTTAAAGTATCTTGGCTGAAATTACTTCCACTGTTTCTTCACCCTAAAAAGAAGTTTTGAAGAAAATTTCAGCAATATCGTGTGTCTAGGAGATGAGATACAGCTTTTTAAACAAAAAAATATTCTCCTGAGAAAATATTTTTTTACAACAAAACTATTAGAGTATCTTGGCTGAAATTATTTGCACTGTTTTTTCACCCTAAAAAGAAGTTTTAAAGAAAATTTCAGCAATATCGTATGTCTAGGAGATGAGATACAGCGTTTTAAACAAAACAAAAAATATTCTCCTGAGAAAAATTTTTTTTTGAAACTAAACTTTTAAAGTATCTTGGCTGAAATTACTTCCACTGTTTCTTCACCCTAAAAAGAAGTTTTGAAGAAAATTTCAGCAATATCGTATGTCTAGGAGATGAGATACAGCTTTTTAAACAAAAAAATATTCTCCCGAGAAAATATTTTTTTACAACTAAACTATTAGAGTATCTTGGCTGAATTTACTTCCACTATTTCTTCACCCTAAAAAGAAGTTTTGAGGAAAATCTCGGCAAGTTCGTATGTCTAGGAGATGAGATACAGCTTTTTAAACAAAAAAAAATATTCTCCCGAGAAAATATTTTTTTACAACTAAACTGTTAGAGTATCTTGGCTGAAATTACTTCCACTATCAGTCAAGATACTCTAATAGTTTAGTTGTAAAAAAATATTTTCTCGGGAGAATATTTTTTTGTTTAAAAAGCTGTATCTCATCTCCTAGACATACGATATTGCTGAAATTTTCTTCAAAACTTCTTTTTAGGGTGAAGAAACAGTGGAAGTAATTTCAGCCAAGATACTGTAAAAGTTTAGTTTCAAAAAAATTTTTTTCTCAGGAGAATATTTTTTTTTTGTTTAAAACGCTGTATCTCATCTCCTAGACATACGAATTTGCTGAGATTTTCCTCAAAACTTCTTTTTGGGGTGAAGAAATAGTGGAAGTAAATTCAGCCAAGATACTCTAATAGTTTAGTTGTAAAAAAATATTTTCTCGGGAGAATATTTTTTTGTTTAAAAAGCTGTATCTCATCTCCTAGACATACGATATTGCTGAAATTTTCTTCAAAACTTCTTTTTAGGGTGAAGAAACAGTGGAAGTAATTTCAGCCAAGATACTCTAATAGTTGTAAAAAAATAATTTCTCAGTAGAATATTTTTTTTTGTTTAAAAAGCTGTATCTCATCTCCTAGACATACGATATTGCTGAAATTTTCCTCACTACTTCTTTTTAGGGTGAAGATATAGTGGAAGTAATTTCAGCCAAGATACTCTAAAAGTTTAGTTGTAACAAAATATTTTCTCGGGAGAATATTTTTTTTTGTTTAAAAAGCTGTATCTCATCTCCTAGACATACGAATTTGCTGAGATTTTCCTCAAAACTTCTTTTTAGGGTGAAGAAATAGTGGAAGTAAATTCAGCCAAGATACTCTAATAGTTTAGTTGTAAAAAAATATTTTCTCTGGAGAATATCTTTTTGTTTAAAAAGCTGTATCTCATCTCCTAGACATACGATATTGCTGAAATTTTCTTCAAAACTTCTTTTTAGGGTGAAGAAATAGTGGAAGTAAATTCAGCCAAGATACTCTAATAGTTTAGTTGTAAAAAAATATTTTCTCTGGAGAATATTTTTTTGTTTAAAAAGCTGTATCTCATCTCCTAGACATACGATATTGCTGAAATTTTCTTCAAAACTTCTTTTTAGGGTGAAGAAACAGTGGAAGCAATTTCAGCCAAGATACTCTAAAAGTTTAGTTTCAAAAAAAAATTTTTCTCAGGAGAATATTTTTTTTTTGTTTAAAACGCTGTATCTCATCTCCTAGACATACGAAATTGCTGAAATTTTCTTCAAAACTTCTTTTTAGGGTGAAGAAACAGTGGAAGTTATTTCAGCCAAGATACTCTAATAGTTTAGTTGTAAAAAAATATTTTCTCAGGAGAATATTTTTTTTCTGTTTAAAAAGCTGTATCTCATCTCCTAGACATACGATATTGCTGAAATTTTCCTCAAAACTTCTTTTTAGGGTGAAGAAATAGTGGAAGTAATTTCAGCCAAGATACTCTAATAGTTTAGTTGTAAAAAAATATTTTCTCTCAGGAGAAAGATTATTTATTTTTAAAAAAAGCTGTATCTCATCTCCTACACATACGAAATTGCTGAAATTTTCCCCAGAACTTCTTTTTAGGGTGAAGAAATAGTGGGTGTAATGTCAGCCAAGATACTCTAATAGTTTAGTTGAAAAAAAAATTTTGTCTCAAGAGAATGTCGGCTGCTAGTTTCAGTTTCAACAATTTATTAAAATTATATTTTTAGGAGAGGAGATAAAGGTACCTAAACTTGTCACGTTAATTTTTAATATTATTTGTAATTTTGCAACGAAAAATTCTAATTTTTAAAAAATATAGGGCCCGGACCCTATCTTCTATGTTTCGTCCATGTCGGCTGCTAGCTGGTGGCTGCTAGTTTCAGTTTGATGATACTTACATGAGAAATAAAATAAGTAAATAGTTTTATGAGAATATAATTTCTAAAAAATACATTCATAGGATGACAGTTATTGTAATCAACCACAACTTTCCCACAACCTAGAACAAAATAAGGAAAAATAATAGCACGATGAATGGTTCGTTCAATTAATACTAATTCAATTGAATAGTTTTTATGTGCGTTAATTATAGTTATTACCTAGTTCTTAATAAATGGCGAGCCGTTGAATGAGATTACCTATGACATTTTATTCAAATCAAACCACTGTTATGTCTAGGCCTTTGCCTACGTGCTAGGCTAACAATGGGCGGACGTTAATAATGTGAGAAAAACACAATATTATAAATGGTCTGATGAGTCTGGTTTGACGAACATTAGACAACCTGAGTAATCTCATAAAAGATAATGTCTTTGAAAGGATAACAATAAAAATAATGCTCTTTTTGATAAAAATAATAAATAAAACTCAGGTATCTAAAGGGCAAGAATATTATCTCAACGATAAATTATCAAATAAGATAGCGTTTAAAAAGTGTCGTATAATCGTAATGAAAAAGAACGGCCAAGTGCGTGTCGTGCAACGCGCAGTGTAGGGTAGTTGCCTGTTGTTATCACAATGTATTTGAGCAAATCTTTATTTTCTATATCGGAAATAAGAAAAACCAATAATATCAATCTATGAATCTCAACTAAAATACCTAAATTAAAGTCAAACTGCGTTTCAAACTCAAAATCCAATCGATTTTTTTTAAATACGAATGTAAACCGCCGATTTTTTTTTGTTTCTTCCCATGATTTGATTCTTATAAACATAATGAAGATGCATTTAGAACTGATATAGTTACAATAGGTAGGTACTTATTTATTTAACACTAAGCCTCACTCAGCACGGGGTTCGGTAATAGCAACCAAAGACTAGACAACCAGAATTTGAGGATCATGGTGTCAAATCTACAGGATATAGATCAAAGATATTTATATCATTTACCAACACAAGTAACTATTTGCGTATCTACTTGAAATTTTATCGATGGAACCGTAATGATTTCGAAGTCTTCAACTTCAACCTTCATGGGATTATTCAATCAAGGTGAAGTGACCGTGATTCATTTGTAAAACATTGCAAATATACCTACATATGTCTCTATTATAAAAAATCTCAAGCACGAGCAATAATAATAATTATAATACTTCTTCATAGACGATTCAAGGTGTGCCTGCATAAACACACATCAATCTTAATTATATCATTATATTATTCCGAATGGGCTCAATCAATACCTATCGACCTACGCTTCAATGTTTGAGAGCCACATGATGATATGTAAACAGTTTTTAACAATTCATTTTGAAGAAATAAAGAATATTTTAATCATGACATGAGAAATAAGGTTCATTTCGGTTTGGATTTTGACTAATAGATTTGGTCAATGTCGGTTTGATATCATTATTATTATATCACGTTACATGTAATGGTTGTTAATTTTTCTTATGAGAACTAATCTATTCAAATTCGTATTTACGATTGTTGCATTATATGTATTTGTTGATAGATACTGGAAAATCAATTGATGCTGGTATTTGCTTAAGATGATTGAGGCCATAATTTGCGATTAAAGGTGTAACGAATTTATACCTAGGTCTTTTAATTTTCTATATTTTTACATCTAAAACTTTAATAGAAAAATTCAAGTAACATGCCAAGAGTTGCAGCTAAAAAAACATAGAAGATATACTGGTAGATGAAGATATAAGTACCTAAACAAAAATTGCCACAACAAAACTTAAGTGCAATGTTCAGTACCCTTAGCACGAACTAATATCTAATTCGTAACGTTTGCGAGGCCGAAATGTCATTGTCAAATGTGTAGGTACTGATTTTAAGTTATCGCTACGTACTTTGTGGTGCTGCTGTTTAAGTTTCCATACAAAATTTGACATTGACATTTAGCTCTCGCAAACTATTCGAATTCGATATTGATTCGTGCTAAGGGTACAGTTTTCAAAATTGGTAGTAGTAGCACACAGTAATCTGAAATCGAAGAATAGGTGACAATTTATAAAGAATGACCATCTCCTTGAACTTCTTTACAACTTGAAGACTTAACCAAAAGAATAGGTAACTATTTAAACTAAAAGTCAAAGTTATTTAGGCAAACTTTGTATGTAATATTTTATTAAACTGGACTATAAGGACTGTTCTATAGTATGAAAAGTCTAATTTTATTTAACGAAATTTCCCTAACCATGATGGTGTCAAATCTACAGGATATAGATCAAAGATATTTATATCATTTACCAACACAAGTAACTATTTGCGTATCTACTTGAAATTTTATCGATGGAACCGTAATGATTTCGAAGTCTTCAACTTCAACCTTCATGGGATTATTCAATCAAGGTGAAGTGACCGTGATTCATTTGTAAAACATTGCAAATATACCTACATATGTCTCTATTATAAAAAATCTCAAGCACGAGCAATAATAATAATTATAATACTTCTTCATAGACGATTCAAGGTGTGCCTGCATAAACACACATCAATCTTAATTATATCATTATATTATTCCGAATGGGCTCAATCAATACCTATCGACCTACGCTTCAATGTTTGAGAGCCACATGATGATATGTAAACAGTTTTTAACAATTCATTTTGAAGAAATAAAGAATATTTTAATCATGACATGAGAAATAAGGTTCATTTCGGTTTGGATTTTGACTAATAGATTTGGTCAATGTCGGTTTGATATCATTATTATTATATCACGTTACATGTAATGGTTGTTAATTTTTCTTATGAGAACTAATCTATTCAAATTCGTATTTACGATTGTTGCATTATATGTATTTGTTGATAGATACTGGAAAATCAATTGATGCTGGTATTTGCTTAAGATGATTGAGGCCATAATTTGCGATTAAAGGTGTAACGAATTTATACCTAGGTCTTTTAATTTTCTATATTTTTACATCTAAAACTTTAATAGAAAAATTCAAGTAACATGCCAAGAGTTGCAGCTAAAAAAACATAGAAGATATACTGGTAGATGAAGATATAAGTACCTAAACAAAAATTGCCACAACAAAACTTAAGTGCAATGTTCAGTACCCTTAGCACGAACTAATATCTAATTCGTAACGTTTGCGAGGCCGAAATGTCATTGTCAAATGTGTAGGTACTGATTTTAAGTTATCGCTACGTACTTTGTGGTGCTGCTGTTTAAGTTTCCATACAAAATTTGACATTGACATTTAGCTCTCGCAAACTATTCGAATTCGATATTGATTCGTGCTAAGGGTACAGTTTTCAAAATTGGTAGTAGTAGCACACAGTAATCTGAAATCGAAGAATAGGTGACAATTTATAAAGAATGACCATCTCCTTGAACTTCTTTACAACTTGAAGACTTAACCAAAAGAATAGGTAACTATTTAAACTAAAAGTCAAAGTTATTTAGGCAAACTTTGTATGTAATATTTTATTAAACTGGACTATAAGGACTGTTCTATAGTATGAAAAGTCTAATTTTATTTAACGAAATTTCCCTAAATTTACAGACGTGCTCGGATCTAATAAAGGCAGGTCTGAAGTTGTCCATAGAGTCCAAGAGGAAGATGTCGGGGAGCGACACGGACGGCGGCTTCAAGCGGTTGAAGAAGGAAGAGAGCGACGAAGAATATGACAGCAGCCATACGCAGACCACCAAGAGTGAAGGGGTAAGTTTTTAAATGCACATATTATTATTCTCTGTTTTTATATGCAAATCATAAGTGGCCCAGGTTCCAGATTTGAAAAAAGAGACCTTAAACCTTCGTAGCCCCAGGGCCTCCGGGGCAAAGATGCAGCATCATGACAAAGTTAGCTGAATATTGGTATAAACCTTACATTCATAGCCACTTTTCAATGATGCAACCGTGTTGTCTGGGTCGGGCAGATTCAGGTTGTATCTGCCCATGGTCCACCTATATAGTTTACCTGGGTGTACCAAGGGCAATTATTTCGTCCCGTAGTTCACCTCAAGATAACTTAGGTGAATTAAGGGCTTTTCTTTTTTTTCCGTGGTCCATCAATCCAAATATTGATATAAATTTAGCTTTTAAAATATACTGCCACCTACAAAACTGTGAAAGTGAAAAAGAAAAAAGGGCCTAACTAAGATATTATGTTCTCAAGGGCGACGTTACCCCCTGTCCACCATGAGTAACAAAGAGTCCCCCTCTTTGTTGGTTAGAAGACTTGTTGGGATAGAAGACGCAATGAGTAGGGACTGACTAAAATCAGACATCACCTCCACTGAAGACTGAGGTGTCCAGAACGTGTGCCAGTAGTGGGCGAGTATAACGCAGTACTCCTTCATAGGATCACTCAGTATTAAAACATGATAATAAACGATAGGTACGTAAGCCCTTTATACACTTACTCTTTATTGAAGTGCCAACGCCAAACGTAATAAAACAAAGACTTGTTGACCCATACATTATAAATGTATCTCAAACAAAACCATTTCTGTATTGCTTCGTAACAACGAACAGGAGACATCTTTAGAGGATAGTTCCGAAAAATCAGTAAATAAATAATTACAACTAACTGTTTCACGAAGATTATAATAAAGTACGTATATAAATGTTGTTCTTAGGTACAGAAGTATTTCTCGTAATTGATGATTGATGAGAAACGTTTGATCTGAACCTAACCCTAAGTATATTTCTAACGCAATTCTCGTTACTATGACGCATCGGGAGGCTCTCACGACTTCATATTCGTTTGAATAATGTTAGAGGAACAATAGGGAATTTATTCTTATATTTACTCCATGCATCTGTAGAGCATCTTGCATCTATGATACAAACCAAGTATTCAAACTTTTTTAATATCTATATTGATGATGGATAGTATGAGGTGGTATGAGGTTGGCAGAGCATGAAATATAGATTACAAGCCCCGTATTCATGTTTTCTCCCGTAAGCATGACAACAATTTACAGTATTTTTCTATTCTATACATCAATGTGTTTATGTATGAAGTCGAATCAAAAAAGCAATGAGACACGATGATGTTCCCTCGTTGCTGGTGACAACGTTTCGAGTTACAAAGTCACAGCATAGCCGTTTTCATCACCTATACGTTTATAATACTCTCCTGCCTGTCCGGTAAGTTTTCATTATTAACGTTGAAAAGTAAGGTCAAAAGGTATAAAAAACAGTACCTATAATGTAGCACCTTTGATATTCTGCCAACTGATCCACAAGAGTTAATTTAAGGCACGATAAAACTTAAATGATCGAGCATTCAGAAATAAATTCCACAATTTACTGGTATAGTAGTTTACTACTTATTAAGAAGAGAAAATGGAAATTAACTCTGTAAAAACAGAATTGATTCTTGGTCGTGGCACACTTACGTCAATAAACCGCACTTTGATTGATAATGGTAACTCATCATTCAATTTAACTAAGTTTACTTTGCAAAACATTGTAGGTTTTTTACTATAACATATATAAGCAGTTACTTGAGGTCTAAGTGGTGCACGACATTGGAATTAAACGTTTTGAATGTACGTTGAATTTCTTTCATATTTCTGTAGTCGCGATTTCATTTCTGTAGAAAATAAAAGTTGACGGGGAAATTTCATTATACATTTCGAAGTACGATTGGATATATATATATAATTTTAGCGAAAAGCCTAAGGATTTTGAGGAAACGCAGATAATTAGACAATGGTGATTTTTTCTGGCGCTTTATTTAAAGGAAAATTAAAAATAGGTAACTATTTAATTTGTCTATCATATAAGTGTGTTTTCTTACCTAAAACTTTTGTATAAGAAAAGAGAGAAAATAATTTAAGATTCACTATTTTATAACCATGTATCATTGTTTACCGGTAAACGAATTCGATAGAGCAATCTCCAATTCATATGCAGTTTTTTAAAGATTTTTTATCAAGACCGGCTGGTACTTACAATGTAGATCTGCCCAACCGAATGGCCCACCGCGCCGCCGCTGCATTTTATTACATTGCACAACGTGAATCTATCAATTCGGTTTGCTAAAACGACCTGCAAATTCGCACTAAGAAAAGCAGTCACTAGATACAGTTGAAGTTACGTTGACGACACATTTCTCTATTGATATCGCTTCTATCACGCAGCAAGAAGAGCGATAATTGTAAACCGTCGCATCTAATGTTCACTGTACCTAAACTCGCTTATCCCGCCACTGTCTTGCATTATAATTCAACGGCTTCATTGAAGTTTTATGAGGTTACAAAGAAGGCATCGCAAACGTGGCGTCGCCATCGTGACTTAACTTCCCGATACTGAAAGTAATACGACAATAAGGAATCAAATGGTGACGAATAGTAAACAGCGCAGGACACTCTATTGCTGTTTATTCTATTTATCTTTTCCGGTTAACACTCAATTAGTATTTGCCAATAGTTTCTCTTAATCAAATGATCGATTCCAGTTGGCATCTCAAGTATTTTATAATGTAAATGCATCTGTGATATATTTTATTTATTTGTATTTTACAATGTTTATAATGTTGTAATCAGTAAAATAATGGCTCCAGTTAGATGATTTCTTTCACAGATTTCTTCGATCAGGATATTGAGGACGTTTAAATGTAAAGTAGCAGGTATAACCTAATAATTCAGGACTATTTTCGGTCTGAAATCGTATTGTAACAGAACCGAAGCATTTAAATTGTTTTCTTAGTGTAGGCGTTGCGAGTGATCCGTGTACCACTCAGTTTAGCTTTATCCAAATGTTACAAATCAGCTCTTAAAGATCTATTAGTACCCCCAAGTTCTGAGCATAATGAAAACCCAATTAATAAGACTTATAATTTCTCATTCTAGCTTACACCAGAAGATGAAGAGCGCAGGCGGAGGAGAAGAGAAAGGAACAAAATTGCAGCAACCAAATGCAGAATGAAGAAACGTGAGCGCACCGTCAACCTGGTTACTGAAAGCGAAGTACTCGAGAACCAGAACATAGACCTGAAGGCACAATTAAAGGTAAAACCTTTGATAGCAGAAAGTCAAAGAACTGTTTGTTAGCTGAAAGCTAACTTTTCGAAACATATTGTTTTTCGAATGACCGGATCTTATCTATCTTATCTGATAGGAATTCCTTAAAATGAGTGATTTCGTTAGGCTTAGATTGAGCTAGAAGCGAACCATCTTGAGAAATAATAAAATTCTGACGTTTATAAAGTACTTATACTTACTTACCTACGTTTTTTTCTACATCATTGAATTCCTGTCAATATTAGCCTACTCATTAAATATTACTTTTCTTCCGATTTTTCTAGAAATTCGAGAGAGAGAGAACTTCTTAGGTTACTTTTGTGTTATGATAGAAATCATTTTTTTTAGTTGTCAAAATTAAGAAACTGATATGAATTATGTTCTTCTAATAAGTATTTTTAATCTCAAATATGTCAGATAGGTACCTACTTAAACTTAATTTAGGAACATAGAAAACCGTTAGGTAGGCATAGATATCGAACCATTTACGTGCTGACGACAAAATCTCGATTTCAATTTCATTATTTATGACGTAGGTAGTCTGAGACGAGCCTCTGAAAGGAATGTCATTATGTCATATCGGCTAATAGTCAGGAATGTCATTATGTCATATCTGCTAATAGTAAGGAAGTCATTAGCTTCTTAATTACGGTAGTAATTCAAAATGACAGTCACTTATCTAGTTATGTATATTCTATTTATTTAAACGACCTTCTGAGGCTTCAGAGCGACGAAAAATTTCAGGTGCATTTTCGTAATTATGTTTTTTCATGATAATTTACCAGCACAAAAAAACAAATCTTTTTTCTTATAAACGACAGTTGAATAATACATATATTATACATTAAAAACGTTTTGTCTAGGTTTTATATAAGTTATACTTACCTACAACACACGGATATTATAAAATCTATTGACATACGAATTTTACGTGTAGGTGTTAACTGAAGCGAAGGTGACTAATTTGAATAACAAATACCTAGTCTAAGTAGAGTTTGTCACAACAAATTTATTTCTAGGAAATTAAACGTTTCATCTTAGTACAACAATGCACGTGTAACTGCGAGATTTGTAACTCGTTTCTTGAACTTTAGAGTTTTCCAAATTTACTTACTTGAAAAGAAGGCTTTGAATATGATATCGGTCGATATATAAATTACATAAGCTACCGGATTGAAAAAAAAAGATAAAACGCACATTTCTGACTAGCGATATAAATGAATGGGCATAGGATACAACAACATCAGCCTATTAATGTCCTCACTGCTGGGGCCTTCCCTATGGACGGAATAGGGAGGGATATTGGGGCATGCCCCACAAAGCGAGCCCAGTGGATTAGAGGATGCCAACGACTGCAGATGCAGCCGGGACCAACGGTTTAACTTGCCTTCCGAAGCTCTACGGTGGAGCACGAGATACTAAATTTATGATCACCCTTCCTGCGAAAGTTGTTTAATTTCAATGATCGCAGCCGAACGCACTAACCATTTACGCCATTGTGTTCCTTGATATATATAACGACTCAATAATAAAATAATGTTAAGAGATTGTTTAATCATTTAACAGGACCTGGAAGTGCAGAAAAGACAGCTGATGGACATGTTGTCCCTCCACTCCGCGTCATGCGTCAAGAACAACAATCCCAACACAAGGCAGTCGCCGACGGCAAGCTACAACATGATACGGCCATACGAGTCGCCAACAACATTCCCCACTTCATTCGAAGCGTCCCCCTACATAAGGCCGGAGTCGGCGAACATCCTAGCGTCCAGCTACACTTGCGTCACTCCACTCAATAACGATTCTTCCATCGACACAGTTTCGTCTCTGGACACCATCTACATGCAACCGCAGATTGTAGACGACTACAACAGACCGGACAGTGTACTCAGTCTACCACCCAACTCAGAAGCCCACTACATCTCTACCGATGGATATCTACCTAAAGCCACAAACTTACTTGTTCCAATGGATACAGAACAAGAATACTACGACCAAGAAGTGACATACGGTCTACCGACAACGCAACAGTGCCATACGTACCCCGGCACCTTGTCTGACACGCAGACGAAACTCAACAATGGCCTCAACGATGGATGCCTCGTTTAGCCATCATTTATCGAGTACACCATCCATTCACTTTTTGTCGGGTCCAAAATTTACTTTGACGTTTGTATACGTATATTTTAAGCATTGGAGTTTTAAAATTAATTCGAAATAGAGCATCACCGTTGACAAAAATATATAGGTAACTGTATTTTCGTCTATTCGATATTCTAGTGGGATAACAGTAAGAATTTAAAAATAACATGGAAAAATTTAATCGCGTCTTGTTGGAAAATGAAATAGATGTGCCAGAAAGATGTGTGGCGGGGAATTTATTTCGAAACGAAATCGTATGTCTACTGTGTAGAACAACAACATATTAGGTTTAAATGTGGAGGTGCCTGAAACGCAAAGCTTTGAGGAGTCCATTTATCTACTGAAGTCGAGTGTAAAATTTTACTAAGAGTTTTTGAAATGTTTCTTTTGTGGAATCGACGCCAGCCGTAAAACCAAGAAATAAAATTGTTTCCAGAAATTTATAATACAACCTTAAAAAGAACCTGTTACCGCGAGTCAACTAAAAAGGAGTTTAAAGCTATTTAAAAACCATTATCATCAGTTGCTTATTTACTGCCAAGATTATAGGATTTTTTTTTAACTTTACAATGGAAACTCCATAAAAGTTAAAGAAACGAATTGAGTCGTCACATTTCATTAAAACATAACACGTATTTCTTGATTATGTAATATTTTCTTTTGTGTTGTGAAAATAATTTCGAGTCACTGTCGCGTAGGAGTATCACTGTGAAACAGTACGGTAGGTAGGTAGGTAGGTAGGTATATCACATAATATTATATTATTATTTAGTTGTTTAACTATTAACATGAAATTACCACATTCGTCTTATGTTTGTAGTTCTATAATTTTGCTTTGATCTGTACATAATATTATTTCGATCTGAGATCTGATTATAATTTTTGGTGCAATGTTTGACTGATAATTTCTATGTTTACATATATTTGACATAATTCGATTAGTAGGTATTTTAAGAATAATATGAGCGAATAATTTGTTTTTCTGCATTTGAGTTGTGTTAAATAGCAGGAAATAATAATTTTTAATACATATTAAGAACATCACATAATAAACTTCCAGTACAATAATTCAGTACCTCTGTTGAATTCCGAAAATATATTTTATGTTACAGAAGTATATCCATACCAGTTATAGATATAAATAGATATAAGGTGCTTTAACTCATAGTAAGTCGTGATATACTTAAGAAGTAAGTATAATTATAAGGCTACGCTAATGTATAACTACTTACAATATTATATTTAAAGTGAGGACATAAAATATAGGTATATTGAAGTCTCTAAAAATTAAATGTAATTTAAATGTTTTTGAAATATTATTGTTGCTTTTTTATAAAAAAAAATGTCCTCGTGGTACAGAATATAATAGTGTGCATAAGATGCCTAAAATATTCAATATGACGAAATAATTCAGAAAGATATTAAAACTGTTATAAAGTGCCTGTTACATTTAATCACGATACGATTATGTTATTTTGTGAATATTTTTTATATGTATGTTAATGTTTAAACTTCATAAATTATTCAAAATAATATTATAATAATCTACTACTTTTACTTAAATACGTGTGTAAGACCGGACGTTAGTATTTAACTACCTAAGCTACAACTTAAATCTGTGTATTTTAAATAAAATACATAATCACATGTTAAAAGAAATTAATTTCATCACAGATCATGCCAAGAACAGACTTAGTTTCCGTAATATTTCATTAAATTTATTGAATATTTCAGTTGTGAGGATAACGAACCAACATGATTTATAGTATTTATAAAAATAAATAATACTGCTGTTAATTATAAGAAATGTAAAAGTAAGCTCCTTAACATGCAAATGTTGAAATACCGTCAACTTTTACATCATGAATTTTTTAACGAGTTTTATAAACATTCTGAGGCTCAAGCACCGTCATAGTCAAGTATCGCCATCGTCAAATTTTGTATGATAGGACCCAGTTGTTCTTACGTTCGCTGCTTAGTTTTCAAAGAAACTGTGACGATGCCATACGATTACGGAGCTGTCAAATTTCGTGCTTGGGTCTATACAATGTAAATACATTAATTTAAGTAACTATATGTTTATTAAATACTAAGTGTTTGGGTTTATTTACTGGTGTTGAAATAGAACGTGTCAATAATTTTGTTAGGCATACGATAAGGCTTGGATTGCGATCGAATATAGGATCGCTATTATGTAACTTTGTCTCTCCACTTGGTGAAAATTTCTTCATATAAATCTTCATTTTTATTGCCTAATATTCAACTGTCATCGCTATAAACGTGTCTTCCAAAACAGGGAATGTAATTGCGATAGTGGTATTAGTTGCGGGACTTTGGATTTAGATAAATAAGTTAATATTAATATTATGCTCTGTCAAACTCCTAGTAGAGACAATGTTACTTGGCGATATTTATATGTACACAACCGTGCCTTCAGCATACCAGTGATCCTAGTCTATGGCTGTTCAAGCAGCAAGAAAGTCGTGCGAGCATTTATTTTTTATTGTTGGTAACATTTATTGTGATAAATAAAAAGAGTTTATAAAGAGCACAACTTCTAAGTTCTTGTTTAACAAGATTTAATATAGTTTATCAAATAATGCTTGTACCAAAAAACAAACAACTTATCAACATTTTAATATACCCACGAATCTTCTAAGTGTTAAATTTTTCTAATTTTAATATGGTTGAAGTTCAAAAAGCGATGTACTTCTTAGAGAAAGGATGTTACCTTCGCAGTAATCTTACTTATAAGATCAACTTAGGAAGGTATAGAATTGTAATTACTGAAGGCTTATACTGTGCTATACAGCGTAATTGTACAATGAAATAGACTCTGTGATAAATGTGATAAGTACTAAAATCGTACCACGCATTATGGTTCCCAATATATAAACATGATACTTTAATAGCTTTTTATAAAAGATGTGTCTTATAATGCGCCTTTTATATGAATTGCGGTCAACTTTATAAAGTTAGTTCGTACGTAAATTAAATAAGATCTAATTTATTTCGTACGGCCTTCTCTGTCTAAAGCCTACTTGATAAGTAATATAGAAATATGAGTGTTGGTAAGTCACTGTTTTTAACAAACGAGATACATATTAACGCACATTATCTGCACTTGATTTTTTGTTTTTAAAGGACACAAATGTAGAAAAATATCTACTAATATGCTTATGTCCCATTCAATGATAATGTGACCATATTTTTTTTTATTTCATCTGCTAGCACACGTATTTGTACAAAATGTCTTCATTATTCAATTGATCCAGGCGGATAGCAAAAGTGCGTACTTATCTATATATTTATTTTAAAAAAATATACAGGGTTAATTTTAAAACGTCAACAACCTCTTAGGCGGTGATTCTACCCATCAACAGGAACAACTTTTATTATGGGACCAACGCTGAAATCGCGTCAAAAAATCTGCTGTTTCATACAAAAGTGCATCAGCTAATCGACCGAAATGTATGAAACAGCTGTTTTTTTTTGGTGTTTTAAAATTAACCCTGTTTAAACATATAACTTCTTCGTATAATCTGAATGGTTCTTGTACATTATTTATCAAATAAGGCATACTTATTTTTGTAATAGCTTTTGAAACTAAGTTTCAAATAACGTATATTTGATATTAAATAATTACAATCTTAATTATCATTTATAACAGTTTTGCCCGGGACAATCGCATCTTTTAAAGTCACCGCGTTTAAGATAAAGTTCAAATAAAATTTTGGAACATTAAAAATAACCATGTTATATTATATCCACTCTCCCGCTTATTCTTCATTAATTAACATTGGAGTCTCTATATATATTGTTAAAGGATTATAGACTGTTCGACTGAATAGTCAAGGACTGGTCAGTGGATACAATTTGAAATCGATAGCACTTTATTCCAGTAGCAATAAGAACGAGATTGGTAGAGCAAGTGTATTCAGTCATATCCTTGACTGCAATGCGGTGGATTTTCTAAGTTTGATGCAGTTGGTATTAAAAGTGACTATCGTTTATTTTTGCTGCATGATTATTGATAAAAATATAAGTATCGTCTTATTTTATATTTAAATAGCTTTATATACGAAAATGGCAATATTCTGCTATCGATTTTGAACTTTAAACTAGACCATTAAGGTTGAGTGTCGATTAAAGAATTGCAATTTGGCAAGCTGCTGTATGTAATTTCGATAGGTTGTTATGAGTATAACTTTTGTATAACAGTGTCAATGGTATTATATTTACAAATACTTTGATAACAATATTGTTCGTATAGCCAAGTCACAAATTTTGTATAATATTTATATTATTCTTCATTGTGTTGCACACTCTCTGCTGCTGATCTCCATCTCTTATTTTTATTTGAAAATTGTATATAATTAATGTGTAAAATTATTAAATTTTAACGTTCAAACTACAATTATTATTTTAAACTAGCATCGACCACAATTCTTTTAAATTGATTACTTTTTCATTTTTCCCAGACTTGATTATTTTTTATGAATATATGAAAGAAAAAAAATTTAATGAATTTGGTGTGCAACAGAATTGAGATAAAATTGTAGGTTTGTTATTGATGCTGTTAACAGTATTCGGCTTTATTGTATTGTCAAATTTGTTTTTATATAAAAAGCAGTTTATAAATTGCGTATAAAGTCGTATGCGGCGCCACTTATGACGACCAGTAATGAAAAAGACAAGATATAATACTTCTTCATTGGGAGATGAAGAAGTATATATCTTGTCTTTTGACGACCGAATCTTAATGAACGAATGAGTCCCTCATTCGTTCATTAAGATTCGGCCGTGGGCTTACTCGCAAATTGTAAACCATTTTCCAATTGTAGAATGTATGAAGTTGAATTTGTAAGTGTTGTAAACATCACTTGTACCTGCTTCTTGAATATAAATATTTTGACAGTCAAAGCAAAATTATTGCGCTTACGTATTGAAAAATAAATCATATTGCATATATCTATGTTTTCTTTTATATATAATAAAACCCCTATTATCCCTATAACATCGTAAATCCTTTATGCTATTATCAGAATTTGAACAGATTAGGTACTTTAATAATATTGTAACTTTCTCTGAATGAACTTTCGAGACAGAAAAATTTGGAATTTGCACTAAGTTACAAATAGTTAGAATCCTAGTATTCCGACTTGTAAGAAAATTAATAAAAGGCATTAATAAATAAATGATACCGTTTAATATCACAATAAGTCTTACAAAATGTATTTTACACGCAACATTTTTGCAGTAACAGACACATAAATAACATTTTCAAATTAAAAGTGGAAGAAAACAGAGCCACAGTTAACTTGGGAGTTTTTTGGAACACCACAAATATTTGTAAATGATAAAATTTCGACAACTGTAGCACACCAAAATAGGAAATCATTACTATATTTAAAAAACTGTATTTTGTATCCATGGTCCTTTTAAAGGTGTTATTAAAACAAACATTTCTGAAACTAGATGCGAAAAAAGAATATTTAACGTTTAAAAAAGTTTATGATCGGCGCAATCGACCACCCTATGGTACGAGTTGACCAAAAATTATCCAGTCAGATAAAGTTGTACTTTAAAAAAAAAACGTTATAATAAGGAAACGCAAATAACTTGCAGTGTAAAGTCTGCAAACTCCTCTATTTCGTTTTACCAGAGTTTATTGACTTGCATAGTTATAGGAAAATCAAAGTGTGTCTATTTAATATATTAAGACCATATTAAAGGTTGTATACAGTTCATCATTTACTTTCAAAAAATTCGAACGAAACATATACACTGAACGGCATATCAAAGAAAATAAGTACTAACGCGGTACAAAACTCTGCTGATGACCCAGATATGGACTGGCGTCTGTTGTTCACGGTATCTTGTTTATCCATATTTGACGGCTCAAAATCAGTTCAAACATGATTATTCTACCTGAAAAAAGTGGGCGTGTTAATTTCTCAAACAGTTAAACCATGCCCTCATTTATTAGGGTACCAGAACACGTGCTGAAAGTACGACGCCTAAAAATTTAGCCCTTGAAATAATATTTAGACTATAATAAAAAGTAGGATGATTGAGAGCATCTTTTTCTCTCGCACTTGCTTTTAGCAATAAAGTTTTTTGACGTTTTCCCCTTCCACCACATTCAGAAGATTTAGAACTCAATAAAGACGACCTCCGTGGCCGAGTGATTTATACGCCGGGTTTCATGGTGTCGCCCACTCGAGAGGTCCCGGGTTCGAATCCCGGTGGGGGCAGATGTTTGTGTGATGAATACGAGCATTTGTACTCCAGTCATGGATGTTTAATATGTATTTCTATATAAATATACTTATGTATGTATTCTTTCCGTTACCTTAGTATCCCATAACACAAGCCTTACAGTGCATACTTTGGGGCTAGGCTAATTGGTGTGACTGTTGGAAATATTTATTTATTTATAAAAAAATCAAATAGAAACAAATATTTTTACGTTTTATGACGATTTCAAGCATTGAAATTAAAATAAAAGCATTAAAATAAACGTGCATGATACGCTATTGAATCAAATATGATTTAATTAAGACTTACGGCCGCACACAGAAAAGTCAATAAAATATTTTGTAACTCTCTTTGCGATGACAATAGAGGGAGATAGGAGACAACACGTGACTTATTGGAGCATTAAATTACATTGACATTTCTGAGCACGGGTGTTACTTGTGAAACAGAATTTACGTTGCATTAAAATCCTTCAGGTATAGACCAGTCACTTTAGGGTTTCACCTCGGCATTTGAGATAATAAGCTGGAAACTCGTGTACAGATTCATTTTGACGTTCTAAATAGTGTCTCAAAAGTCTCATATTATCTCGTGTCTGCGTCGTAAGTTATTCGAGGTCAAAGGTCACGAAAATCGGATTTTTGCAATATTTAATATATTTACTTGATTTATTTCTATTTCCAATGTATCTATCTATCATCAGATCAGATATCAGATAGATTGTAAATAGAAAAACTGTCTACAAGGTATTATTCACCGAGATTCACGTTTGAGCTTGGTTGCTCTCCGCTCTCTATCTCGAAAAGGGTTGAGCGTATAGAAAAAAAGTTGAGACAAATGTTGTGGCAAATTTTTATCATAGGTGCTTCGATTTTCGTGACCTTTGACCTCGAATAACTTACGACGTAGACACGAGATAATATGAGACTCGAGACAACTTAAAAACGCCTAAATGAAGCTGTACACGAGTTTCCAGCTTATTATCTCAAAGGAGATTGCTCAAATTGGCCCAAATGCACAAAAAATATTGACATACACGGTAATTCTTGGCGTAATTTATAATTTAATTTACAGTCATTACATTTCAACGAACACCTTTGTCTAATATATTTACTTTAAAAAGGACTTTTAATTTCACCGGTTTGGAAAACATACGAATCATTTTTAATGGCTATGGGTGTAGTAACATTCAGCCAAAGACTGATCGAAGTTGTTTATATAACACAAAACAAATCTATTTTGTAAAGATCGATAAAATAAATCATTTTTTTATTACACTGTGGTATTAATATCCACAACAATATTATCATTTTCACTAGATGCAAATGTGCTCAGACAATTATTATAGATGGTAGGCGACATCATAAAGTCTATTGCCATACATTTTTCGTCAAACACCTCCATAAACACATTATAATCTGTATATATGTTAGACTTAAAGGTATCTATCTATGGGCCTACGTTCTCTGACTATAAATTAATAAATAAATAAAATTATAAGGTGTGATACACTAAAAATTTAAAATATGTTTATCTTAAAAACATAACATAAATAATGAAGCTACTGAATAAATGGCTATAGAAACTAAATCTCTTAGCTTTATTTGGTGAACGAGAGTTTAAAAATTCTCTCTAATCTGTGGCTCATTCACAATCATCACACAGTTTCTGTCACAGAGTACCTTATTATAAAGGATATGACACCTGATTTTAAAAGTTACTCTTATGCATTAACTTTAAAAATAGGCAACTATCTGTTAATCTACATGCTCTATATACCTGAATCTAATCCATAATTTCGGTACTTGGCTTGATTTCCCTAGTTTACTATATAACTTATTTGTTTTTTATTGTTTTAATATGTTCAGTGTATATGGTTTATAGAAGTTCTCAGGGGTGTCCGTCAATAATATTCGTTTCTACAGTAATTTATATATAATTTCTAATCTAGGAAACAATTTTTCATGATTATTGGTCTTTAGGCCAAACATGTATGGAAGCTGAGCAATCTCCTTTCGAGATTGACCCCTTTTTTGGACTAGTACGATAATATCGAAATGAGCACGGGAACCAATATAACGATGATAATGCATTGAAATTTATTTATTTATTATATCATAAATTAATGCTTAATGGACTCTCTCTAATAGGGTGACGGCAGGTTAAAGTAAACGAATCTATGTTTTACGTCAGTTAGATTATCAATAAAAAAATAATGCACACTATTTTTTCCTTTGTCAATCTACCAAAAATGATAAAATTAAAGTGCGGCGTAGTTTGGGAATGGGGGCTCGTGACGTCACTTCTAAGTAAAAATTTTACCAAGACGTAACGTCACTTGACATTTTAAATTAATAAAATCTCCGTGCTGTTTACATTATGTGAATAAAAAAAATCGTGTCCAATACTTTTCAAGAATCAAAAACAGAAATAGGAAAATACTAAGCACCATTACGATGAGCCCCTGGTCTCTATCGGAAGAAAGAGGTGCCTTCTTAATGTGAATTATAAAAGCTTATAAAATTAAGTTACATGAACGTGCAAAGTATGTACTCAGTAAAAAAAAAGAACCTAACATGCGAAGTCGAAAATAATGTAATGCCACGCGCTAATACAGTTAGAGGCTACCATTAGACGGGCTATCTAAAAACTATTTAATAGTGTTACGCAACAGAGACGGAGAGAAAGTATCAACCCTCTAAAACAAAACATGCAATACTCGCAAATAAAAAAACCGAGTGTGCTTATCACCATACGACTGAAGTGAAACTTCTTTAGTTCCATCTGTATGTATGTATGTGTATATATGTTTACAATATATACATATATGTACATGTACATATTTCATTTACAAGCTAAAAAATAAAGAGAGAAAGAAAATGTGCGCGCGCACTGCATTCTCTTGCTTATATCCCCCACTCAACTTCCGTTCGTCTCGCCCGAACACACTTTTCGTAACGCGTAACGCATTCGCCAGCTTACCACCCAAGTCAAGAGTGCGTAAAGAAGTTTCACTTCAATAAATGTTTTACCGAACACTTACATGCAATACTAAATAGGTAACTAATTTATTTTGTTTGAATTTACATACAAGTTGTACGTTCACACCGTGATTTTATTATTAAATTATAATTATTAAAAGTCAACTTTGAGAGTTAAATAACCATATGAAACGATTCTGTAGCTCCAATACTAATTGAGAAAATCACGGTGTATTTAACATTGACAGGTGCTAATATCATATTCTCTATTTATAATCAGTAAATGTATTTTTTTTCTATTGTTTGGTACAGTACCCCTAGCACAAACAATTATCGAGTTCGAATAGTTTGCAAACCGAAATGTCAATGTCAAATTTTGTATGGAATCTTGAACAGCAGCGGCACAAAGTACGCAACGAGAACTAAAATCAGTACACATTTGACAATGACATTTCGGACTCGCAAACGATACGAATTCGATATTGATTCGTGCTAGGGGTAGAATTTATTGCAGGTTTAGTTTCTACAATACATTATCTGGCAAATATTAAATTGCATCGAACTGCTCCATACGAACTTCAGAGTGGTTGCTAGAGGAATAAAACAACTGTCAATATTATGTTATACATACCATGCCGGCACTTTACTTGGCTATTCGTATTAATTTGCTATTTGGGAGTTTGACAACAGTTTGTCTTTATCGTGTTTTATAAGGAATGAAAAGGACAGACTCATGACAAGTTTTCGAATACCAAACACGTATAGGCAAATGAAGTGCCGTTATTGCAATAGGGTATTTGACAAGTTTTACAAAACGATATTACGTTATTTACCATTGTTTATGGAGGCCAAGAAAAGTGGATATTCATGATTCTGTTGCGTATTTCAGCAAAAAAAAAAACTGAATCAAAAATGCAATTTTCAAGTTGCCGCGAAAACGTTTCTCTGGACGCTAGTATGTGACGTCACACTACTGTCATTAAAACGTCAAACGATACAATGTAAGGGTACGGCCAGAGTGCACTCAGATTCAGACTCAGAAAACAAGCGCGAGAAATATACAGTGTAGTTTAAGCAGGTTGCCTGCTGCCACTATCTCCACCCTGCTTTAACTACACTGTTTATTTCTCGCGCTTGTTTTCTGAGTCTGAATCTGAGTGCACTCTGGCCGTACCCTAATGTCACTTTGACCGGAATGTAATAGGTACTCCGTAATGTCACTTCGCCAATCCCAGGCATTTCGGTCACGTGACCATAGAATAAAAAAAAAATTATATTTAATGATTTTTTACAAAAGTTATTAATTATTTGTTCTCTAGGAATAGTAAAATCGCTTATAATTCATATTGAATGCAGATGCCAACAACTGGTACTTTATTTTCCATACTGTCAAACAGCCTATTGATATGCGTATCAAAATACCAATAGCCCCCAAGCGAATTGTTAGCCGCTCTATGTTAATCGAAATGTTAAATTATGTGAGTGATAGATAGGTAGTACATGAAAGAAATGTTATGATGAAAGAAAGAGAAATAATAATAATAAACTTCGTACGTTTCGAAGCCTGTGTTAGATAGCTCGCATCTTCGAGACACTATCACTTCAAACGCTGGTGACAAAACAAAAGAAAACATATATAAAGTAGATACTAAAATGAACTCTATTTATGAGTTGTATTAAAAACCATATTGTAACTATCAGTTTTTTGAAAAATAAATCATAATAAAGATTCGTACCCAATGATTGTAATATTAAAGAAATCTTGCGCCAAAATTGCTAAATCTGGATTGAACTAAAACTTGGTTCAACCCATTAAAAATGGAAAATTGACGTTTTGACCAAGTTTCAGTTAAATCGAGATTTACCAAATTTGGTACAAATGGGCCTGACTGATGGTACGATTTTTTTCTTACAATTCAATAGTAACATTGTTTTGAAATGTTACATTCTACTTTAAGGTCCACTTGCAAGAATTTTGCTAAATCTCGATTCAACCAAAACTAGATCTATCCCATATAAAAATGTCAAAACGTCAATGTCAATTTGACATCATTGTATGGGCTATATCTAGTTAGTTAAATTGAGATTTAGCAAAATTGCTGCAAGTTTTATCTCATATCTAAGCTCTAACTTACATCCTTTTTTATGACAACACGTTAGTTAACAAAAGCATTTTTAGCCAATAAACACAAAGTTACACTCGTGGCGGTGTTTTTGATGTGTAACATCTTTCCTGCAATTTGTGGGAATGATTTCGTGAAATGGGACGGAAGTGTAGGAAGGCCAAATGGGAAGATCTTCCTCCGAGCTGGGTAATGTTAGCTCGGGGGCCGCGGCCCGACTGATGTTGGTCGGGCATCGTATATATGAAGAGTTAGCTTCCGAATTTCATTTGCGCGATGTAGGCTTCCAAACTGTTATTGATCGCAGTGCAGGTAACGCCATCTCTTGAGGATGGTGAGTAATGATTTCCTCCATCCGTTGTCTATATGTGGGGCATATAGATGTCGCCGCCACATCACTCCCCTCCGAGACCGGAGGTCGATGGTCAGTGTTTTCAGCAGTCAGTGCGTCAGTCGAGCTTGCAAGTGCCAGTGTGCTGCAGGATGCCCCAGTCTGCGGTGAGTCGAGACGGGTGGGGTGAAGGCGCGTCGCCAGTGCTGCAGAGTGGCTCCAGTCTACGGTGAGTCGAGACAGGTGGAGTGTGACGGTGGGTCCGAGCTGCTGGTGTGCAGGGCTGCCACGCCGGTGTGCTTGCGGCCGACAAGTGAGGTACCGGTCGTGGGCTGCGGAGACCAGGTCGGGATGATGCCGTCGAGTGCTGCCGAAGGTCCAGGAAGCGTCGTTGAGAGCTGCGATGGAACCTTGAGGCTGATGCTGGCTTGCTGTGTGGCTGCTGATGTTGCTTGACCTGATGAAGAAGGGGTATGAGGATTGATGGCTGAGCTGCGATGGTAGAAGGTTGCTTCTTGCTGCTGCTGTGCTCAGTCGAGGGTCACCAGTGTAGGAAGGCCAAATGGGAAGATCTTCCTCCGAGCTGGGTAATGTTAGCTCGGGGGCCGCGGCCCGACTGATGTTGGTCGGGCATCGTATATATGAAGAGTTAGCTTCCGAATTTCATTTGCGCGATGTAGGCTTCCAAACTGTTATTGATCGCAGTGCAGGTAACGCCATCTCTTGAGGATGGTGAGTAATGATTTCCTCCATCCGTTGTCTATATGTGGGGCATATAGATGTCGCCGCCACAGAAGTGTATAACAGGAAGTCGCGAAAGCGCGCGCTATTTTATTTGATTTTAGAACATAATGTTCAAATGGCTTATTCCTTTTGTAGTAGGTTATATTTCTTTTTTTACTAATATAAGGTGAGGTTTCAAATGTTACACATCATACGCGACTGTAAGGCTCGCTCGTTTTTTTAACAATGTATATTAACTTTAACAACTAATATCCTTACCATTTGGCCCGTTTCGACCAGTCTTTGGGCGTCCAATGCAAACATTTTGGGTCGATTCGTAGCATGCGTTTTTCCATGGCTTTATCATGCTGTTGTATTGTTTCCTGTGCGGAAAAACCGGAACTTAAAAACAGGAAATTGTCGGCTACACTCAGAGACGTTATTTTTTATTTTTAAATTGTGATTAAAGTCGATGATTTCATAGTCGCTTTCTTTGACACCGTGTATTCTGAGTTACCTGATAAAAATTACTAGCGAATTCAGACAACGATTTAAGTTACAGCTCCGCAAATAAAATGATTTTTTTTTCAAAATGCATCTCCTCGTTAACTATATAATTGTGTAATTATAAAAACTTAACAATTTTAACTGTCATATTGATTTAATCAAAACTACTTTAAGGATCTACGTGGGTACTTGAAACGGATAATAACTCCATATAGGTATGTTTTTTACAAATTTGCGCCGTTTGTAGTATATTTTTTAAACGGTATCAAACAATATTTTTGTATAGGGATGTAGGTACAGCTACTGTTTATAATGTTCTCAATATTTTAATTAACATGATTTTTAAGTTCCTCAGGTAAATAAAAATTCATGGTGTATATTTAATTAACGTCTCTAAGTGCAGCCTTATGACAGTATGTCTTATGACATGAAGGCAAGTAACATACCTTATTAACTGAGATTATGTACTGGCCCTTATAATAATTTATTAAGTTTAAGTTTTGTAATGTGCTAATAACATCTTCTTTCTTTATGCTGGTCAATTCACATATTTCGCTGAAATAAATTATAACACGAGTTATTAATTTGAAAAATATAAAACTAGGAGGGTTTAATTTGAAGAGAGAAGTAGCGCAGATTTTTTCCTAAATTAAGGATAGCAATCAACTATATTAAATACCCTTGATACACCACGTGCGCTCAAAATGTGTCCCAATCAAGAAGTGCTTGAACTTCTCTTACTTCACAGTCACGCGCGGACCGTTCAAAAGTGAAGATGCCGCAGAGCTCCGTGGAAAAATGCGATATAAATACTTATAGTATGTAAAGTGTCGTTTTTCGACAGGTATCTAATCAATGTTTGTTAATATAACGCATTTGAAGCAAAATTTGTTCTAATACTTACTATAAACTGATTTTATAGAAAATATTTGTGATATTCAAATGCATGATCTGTAATATAGCCCTCTGTTTTCGTCGCGGTCCGTACCTGCTATATTGCTAACAGTGCATTCAACAATTATAATTCAGAATATGTTAATAATTCAGGATTGCGCGTAGATTTAAACAAATAAGGTCGTTATTCTTCCGCATATAGCAATAAGTCGTAAAATTTTACGAGCTTGCATTTCGAACTGTCATAACTCTTTGACGCATGCGTTTTAATTAAGACCTTATATAGCATGTATTAAAGGTGACTTTTAATGTTAAAATAATGCCTTATATTGTTTCTGACTACGCGATCATCCTGCGGAGCTCCATGATTTTGTTCGTGTTGTTCTATTTAGGGTCTTTAATATCGTTGATGTCAACTAACTTTTTTTGTTCGTTTATCAGGTAGAGTATCATAAAGTTTCGGTTACGTATTTCTTTCTTATTTACATAATCAAAGCATAACAAAGATACCTAAATTGATTTGAAATGACGCATAACGTTACGTCTTCTTGCTATAATTTTACTTAGAAGCGACTACACGAGCCTCAAATCTCCAAACTTTGACGCGCTTTATAAGTTTGTAATTTTTAAAAAATAGGTGTCCGTTATTTTTTGATAATCTTAAATGACGGAATCAAAAGAATTTAGTTTAATATACCCCGTCATCAAGGCAGCGTTAAATGAAACTTTTGATTTTGTCGTGGTATCACAAGCGTCTAGAAATTAAGACAATAGGTTACAGGTGGAGCAGTTCGATGGCACATATTTTTAACACGTGCGGCCTACTATCGTGAAAGTTAAGCAACCTTTGCAACGATCATTGTCGGATGGGTGACCAAAACTCATTATCTCGAGCTCCTCCGTGCTTCGGAAGGCACGTTAAGCTGTTGGTACTGCATCTGGAGTCGTTAGCACCGCAGAACACAGAAAAAGGTTAGAAGGGCCTTGTGGGTGGGGCAAGAGCGCCACAATCATGTGTAAACAAATGCTCATAACCTAGCCAAAACTTGGTTCTGATTACGTCATTGCTCTCGGGTGTGAGCGGTGATTGGCTATTATCCATTACGTGTAAGTGTAGGGGAGGCGAGCCAGAGATCAGTTCAGTTCAGTTTATATACAAACGGTGACGTCACTTCTCTTTATGATCACTCTTCTAACCTCTTTCTGTGTTTAGCACGCACCAATTTGCACTGGGCCTGCGTGGTGAGTCACGGCCCAGACTCCCTGATCCATCCAAAGGGAAGGCATGTGCCACAGCAGTGGGGATATTAATAGGCTGAAGATGACGATGAGGTTATGATTGTGGTTAACCATTAGGGGGGTCATAAACTTTTTTTCACCCTTCTCACACTAAAGAAATAATAGAAGTTCAATTAAGATAGTAATTCTGTACTTGATAGTAATGATTGGTTTCTCGTTGTCTCCTACAGGTTTGCTGTGCATGAGTATGTCTAGTATTGTCTGTGCCCAGTAGCTTCTATAGGAAAGTAATCCAAGGTCTGACAGTGGCTTCTCTGGTGAACCCGTTTTTCCTTCAAACTTTGATAATTCGTAACCTAAAATCGAAATGTACATTCTATAAAATTAACCCAATGTATAGGATAAGACAAGGGATATTTGGATCATTCTTCGTTGCTAAAGAAAAGCTAAATAAATTTCAATGCATTATATGTATATACTTACTAAATTCTATAAGTAATTTTCCATATCCTTTTCTTTGGTATGGAGGTAATGTTAATATACACGCTACATTGTAGTCTTCAGTGCTTTCTTTCTCCTTTGAAAAATAACCTACTATGTGGAAACCTAAAAACAAGAAAGGCACACTTATAAATATTTTTTGTTTATGAAACTATAATTAACCTGTGATGTATCCAAGTCATATGTTTTATTTATTTCATGATAAGCTTTATTATAAGTAAGTAATAATAATAATACTAGTATCAGACCCATTCCTTATCATACAAAAGACAATATTATAAGGTATGTCTCATTGAAACTTATTTTAGCTTAGAAAGGGTTCGCAGATATTTAAAGTTAAACAATTAGCCGTAACATTATTAATTAACAATCTTTTCTGTGATTATTTATTAATATTTATTATATTTTTCTATGATTTCATAACAAAATGGGTGATTAGATAACCTTAATGTATATCCGTAACGATTTTAGTTGAGAATGCTGATTTATGGAGCTAAGGATTCCATAAAATACAGCGGTTAAATTTTTGTTCTACGAAAAATATTGACAAAGTTATAACCAAATTACTAAACAAATTTTCGGCTGGCCGCGTGGTGACAGTGACGTCACAGAACTCTAGTGCTCAGGCGCGAGTGTCCGTAGAGACGCTACTAAAGTTCGACCAGAGTGAACCAACGATCGAGCTCTGTGACGTCACACGTTTCGGCTGCCAGTGAATATTGGCTACCATAAAATTTGTTATAAAATCGCAACGAATGAACCGATTTCGATGATCTAAAATGTATATTAATCAAAAAGCTTATTAGATCATTAAACTGTTGATTTTGTGTTGATTTGCTGACCTAGTAATGTTCCTCATTATAACACCAAGGAATATAGAATATGAAATAACATTAAAAATAATTTAATGATTCAACAGGCGGCTTTATCGCTAAAAGCTATTTTTTCCAGGCAACCTTGGAAATTTGGCAGGAACTGATACATTGGGGTGCGATAATTAACTTGCCAGGGTGATGTTTTATATTCGCATTATGTTGAATCAGGTTGGCCATTTTGGGTTGCTTATTTTTAATTTTGTGAATCAGTTACAGTTTTTATATATTATAATGTATTGTTTGAAAAATGAGGTCTAATATGTTTCTTTCCGTCTCAACTTACCTCTGGAGTCAAATTCAGTCATAACGTAAAACAAAAAGGGATCCGTGTCGTAATACAACGTCTTATGGTCTAGGAACAGTTTGGCGAGCAGGCACAGGTTCTGGGCGTAACATTTGTTCTTCCGCCCGTCGATTTCGAAGAAAGATATGCTCCCTTTGCGATAAATCTCGTTGCCGGGCGGGTGTTTTAGCTTACATTTAACCTTGAAACAAGATATCCTTTCATTGAAATTTCAATTCCAGTCGCTATAAAAGGCCACTTGCGCCGACATATTCTTACGTCCGGTAGTCTGTCTAATGAATAGTCACGATTCATTAGACAGACTACCGGACGTAAAACAAACTGTCTCCTTCCATACAAAATTTGACGATGACGATACGATTACGGATCTGTCAAAGCTTGTGCTTTTAGGCCTTAGGACTAGATCACACAGAACCGCCACTAGAGTCCGCATTCCTAATTTTATTTTGCTCGCATGACAGAATAGTCGCAATTTACATTTGAGGGCGTGTTACACGCTTATCCAGTATTAACCTTAGAACAAGCGATTGCCCTTGTGTTAGTTATCTGTGACGTAGACAAAATTTAAATGACAGGTTAATACATATTCAAAAGAAATTTCACCCGTAAAACTCAATATCACACTCAGGGGCGTCTTAACCATATGCGGCGCCCAGGTGCGAAAGCCAACTATGCACACACTTTTAAAAATTTTTGAGAAATTAATTTTTGATTGTATAGACTGCTACAAATATATAGAAGAAATAAATCACATAAATAAGCAAGCATACTTATGTATGTATATGTGTATGTATACTAGTATCAAGCTGCGTAAGGATAGCGCGTTACCCTGTGTTGTCATAGCTAGCGAGACCCTATCGCAACCTTTTCAAATTTGCTTCGGGTGCTCGCGAACAGGAAGTCCGAGCGTCTAGGACTCTAGGCTCGATCAGTCTGGACGAGACTAGTGATGTGACCAGAGAATGTTCTCCAATCGAGAACTTTCTCGTATCGAGAATATTCTGAAATGTTTCCGTTCGACCGAGAATGTTCTCGGTACACTGGAAATTTATGAGAACTTAAAATGATGTTAATTTATGTAGAATAAGAACGATATAGTTTCAAGTTTTGTAATGAAATTAGTTCGTTTTGTACCATAACAACTTATTCAATTTACAACAACACCAAAGGGTGCCTCGGCGATCGGCTTTATTGAAGTTGAACTTTTGAATTCCGACAAACGACACGCGCCGCGCGGCTCTTTGTGATTTCTGCTCCCGCACCTGCTAACGCACATGCTAGTACACATGCTAGTATAGACTCGCACCGTAAAGTGTTCGGACGTGATCAACAAAAGTGCCTTGTACGAAACAGATTAAAAATAATATATTGAAAATGAAACCGAAGGGAAAGATTCATAATTATTATAAAGAAATAGATGAAAATGGAAAAGTGTTGTATATATGCGAATTTTGTAATCAAAGTTACAAAAATCAAAATGCAACGAGAATGACTAATCATTTAACGAATAATTGTAACAAATGCCCTGACGACGTTATAAAATGGACATATAGTTTATAAAGCATTCTCAGAATTAGATGAGTTGATACAAAATCCAACAGGGGCAGAAATTCTAGGGACCAATTTTCACTCTACGTTAAAACTAAAATATGAACAAAGAAAAAAGATCATTAATGCCAATACATTACGCTGCGACGTTGTTAGATCCTCGGAATCGTGGGGCCATGCATAAACCTAATGAGAATATTGACGGATGGCAGTTTGTGATAGCAGTAGCTGAAGAACAGCAGCAACCCATAGAACAGATGATGCAAGAGGTATCAGACTACAAGTGTGGAGCTGGACTTTGGAGCAAAGAATTTGTATGGCAAACAGCCAATAAAATGAGTCCATTGGCATGGTGGAAATTACTTTACTATAAAACCTATCTAGAGACAATTGCTATTAAAATATTGACCGCTCCGGCAACTTCTGCTGCAGTAGAACGTTCGTATTCAACCTTTTCAAATATACACACGAAAAAAAGGAATAAATTTCTTACGGAGTGGGCGGGCAAAATCAGTCTGATATCTCATAATTGGAAACTATTGAAAAGATTAAATAGAGACGATTCAAGAACAAATAAAACATTTGATCAAGAAATACCGAGTACATCTTATGAAGGGGATCGTGCAAGTGATTCTGAGACAGAATCTTTTAATTTAGACTCTGATTCAGAAATATCTGTGGTCGAGGAGGAACCAGAAGTAGTCATGGAGATGAGTGATCATGAGGATGACGATCCATTAGCTGGAATTTGAAAATATAGATACTAATCAGACCAATCAGACGAATTCTAGAAGTAGTAGTATTTACCTTTAAGTTCTGCATGTTTCATACTTTTCGTATCAGACAGTTTTTTAAATATATATTTAATAAATGTTGATTATGATATTTGGTATTTTATTACTATTTCACATAACAATTGTTATTATTCTCTACTAATAAATAAATAATAACTTAAATCACTTATGGGCGAATGCACTGACCAATTATGCTACCGCGGCCCTCACGGACCGCGTCGAAATTCCTTCTAGCTATTCTTAAGCTGCAAGGCAGCGCCATCTCTTCGCATTATAGGTAAACCCACAACCCTACCTAGGTAAACCCACAACCCTACCTATAATGCGAAGAGATGGCGCTGCCTTGCAGCTTAAGAATAGCTAGAAGGAATTTCGACGCGGTCCGTGAGGGCCGCGGTAGCATAATTGGTCAGTGCATTCGCCCGGATTGCGAAGGGTGCGGGTTCGAGTCCCGTCTGCTGCCTGGTCCGCGTGGATTTTTTTTCTAGTTATATTTTCTTTAGATTTAAACATCAAGCAGTTACATGCTTTAAAAATAATAAAAATTATAACTATAATTGCTATTTCTTCTTTCAAATGTTTAATACTTGTAAAAGTATTCATTTGACATTGTGGGTTTACCTATAATGCGAAGAGATGGCGCTGCCTTGCAGCTTAAGAATAGCTAGAAGGAATTTCGACGCGGTCCGTGAGGGCCGCGGTAGCATAATTGGTCAGTGCATTCGCCCGGATTGCGAAGGGTGCGGGTTCGAGTCCCGTCTGCTGCCTGGTCCGCGTGGATTTTTTTTCTAGTTATATTTTCTTTAGATTTAAACATCAAGCAGTTACATGCTTTAAAAATAATAAAAATTATAATTAAATCACTTATGATAAATTTTAAATAGACAAATATTGGAAATATCAATCGGGGGGCGGAGTTGATTTTTCCAATCTTTATATGTTTATCATAAGTATAAAAATAACATTGAAAAATGCAAAAGTAAAAAGATCATAATTAAATCACAATAGTCTTGAAATATTTCCGAGAACATTCTAGAAAGTTCGCGAGAACATTCTCGTAGTCGGGAATTTACCGGGAATTTATATAAATAACTGGGTTTTTATTAATCCAGTCTGCATATTACGTATATTCATATAAACATCTATTAGTCACATTGTAAATCCTACCGAAAAGTGACTTCACTTTTAAAGTTCTCATAAATTCTCGGTCAGAAGAATGTTGCCGAGAACTTAACCGCAAAGTTTCACCATAGAGAATGTTCTCGAGAATTTAACAACACTAGACGAGACTATTAAAAGTCGATGAACATCCATTATATATATACTTATACTACTAACATAGGATATATATAGGATAAGCCCGAGATTGTTACTAACTTGTACCAATTATTATATGGATGTTAATCTGAAATAAATGGTTATCATTATTATTATGACGTCCAACGCGAGACCAAAAACCGACTGAGCAAGCTCGCGCGGAATGCGTTCTCCAAGACTATACGCTTCTACAAATTTGGCATAGCGTTCCAGGACACGCGTGTTATGGAACGCGCTATTCGTACGCAGCTTGACATGAATGATAAATCCTTTTCCATATGTCGTCGGTATGATTTCATTTCAGATACATATACACATAATTATAACTTTAATATAACGACTGAAAAATCAAATTGAAAGCACAAAATAAATTAGATACAACTTACCAAATGTCGTTCCAAACACTTTTTACTCTTCCTGTACTTCAGACAGAATTCACATATGTATATACATGGTAAATTGACCATTTCCTGAAAATCAACCAACAACTAGTGAGATAATGCAGTCGGTAAGCGCAAACGGCCTAATTTGCGCATACAGTCAACAGCAGGCATGTATTAATGAATTAGGCGTGTATCAGTTTATCAAAAACTGATATTTTTCTCAATTCATTTGAACACTTAATACAGTCAATACTACTATTATAAATGCTAAAGTTTGTTTGTCTGTCTATTCTTCTTTTCACGTTTGAAACACTGAATCGATTTAGACGAAATTTGATTAAGAGATAATTTGAGCCCGAGAAATCATGAAAATGTATGGCGCCGTTATAAAAAGTGTGCGACGGACGCGTGCGGCCTACGACAGGCGGCGGCCGCATGCTGCCATACATTTCATACACTGATTTGTCGCAACAGCTGCGCGCGTCAGAGGCATTCGGCCGCGATGTACGGAAGTCAACCTTAAGGCCCTTTTCACACGGTCACGGCACGGCCGCCATGCCGTGCAACCGTGCTAGCTCTTTCACATGTATACGGCTTACACACGGTCGCCGGTTATGGATGTTCCAGTATTATCGAGAATTTTGGGGAACGACGACGTCTTTTATCATGGAACGTAAAAAGATTATTTTCATTATCATCTAATTCTTCGAAACTACTATTTAATCCTATACATACTTCTTTCCACGGTTCTTTTGTCTCGTTCCTGTTTTTATAAGACGCGATGGTTTTATCCCATAAAGTAGGACGCGCTTCAACTAGCGAAATCAACACATCAACATCGATTTCGACAGACATTCTGTAACAATCGTCCGTCCGTTCCCCTATGACTTTAGCTGACGAATGGTATTTGCCCTCGCCATGCCGTACCGCGCCCGTGTTCATGTGAACGCGTCTATACAAGTCCATACAAGACTATAATGACGGTTGCCGCGTCAAAACCGTGCTTATAGTGGATAAGGACGGCTGACACGTGTCCGTGTACATGTGAAAAGGCACTAAGGAGGTGAAAAGGGAGGTAGGACTTAAGAGTGTATATATGGGAAACCATTTTTTCTACTCAAACCAAGTCGCGGTTACCCAGGTAGTAGTACTTCATAAATATCAAAAAAGATTTCAAAACATTTTAAACCTTACATAGATACAATAAAGTATTCTATCTCATAAATCTGCCCGCTCACGTGTTCCCTCTCTCTTATAACCTGGGATCCTTTAAAAGTGGCGCGAAGAAGCAACACGCAGGCCTGCAAGGTGAGGATGGCTGGCGTGGCAGGTAGAACTGCTGTATCAGCTATCTTCGCGTCTGGACTTCACCTTCGCTTAACATCAGGTGGGGTCATTTGTCGGAACTATCTATAAAAAAAAATAAAGCGTAACGCTTACTTGGGGGTAAGGAGCGAAGTACCACGGCCTGATCCTGTGTCTACCCAGTTCTATCATTTCTATGTTCTTCATTCTGGTCACAAGGTCGTCATGGCCGTGGGCGACTAAACTGCCGGACTGGCGGGGGCGGGCTGTGGGCGTCGCCGCGCCGCTTGGTATCGCTTCAGTACCGTCAGCTTCTAGTACTGTTATGGGATCAGGCTGTGGGCAAACATTTTTATGTTGATATTCTTAAAAAAGGAAACTTCTTTTCAAACTGAAAAAACCCTATGGAAAAGATGAAATGGAAAAATCCTAAGGAAAATATGAAAACGGTCACAAGATCGGTGGGCGTCACCGCGCCGCTTGGTATCGCCTCAGTACCGTCAGCTTCTAGTACTGTTATGGGATCCGGCTGTGGGCAAACATTTTTATGTTGATATTCTTGTAATGAAAATTCTTTTCGAAATGGATAAATCCTATGGAAAAGATGAAATGGAAATGGAAAAATCCTATGGAAAAGATGAAACTCGTCACAAGATCGTCATGGCCGTGGGCGACTAAACTGCCGGACTGGCGGGGGCGGGCTGTGGGCGTCGCCGCGCCGCTTGGTATCGCCTCTTTACCGTCAGCTTCCAGGGGGCCATTCGCCTAACGGAAATGCTTTGGAAAACGCTAACGCTTACGATTTTATTTTGTTATTTCTAGCCGCCTGAGGTTTTCAAATGCCTCGCGTTCTTTTTTTTTCTTTTGCATTGTTAATAACAATATTAAAAAAAATGAGCGTGAGGTATTTGAAAACTTTCGGCGGTCGGAAATAAAAAAATAAAATCGAAAGCGTTAGCGTTTTCCAAAGCATTTCCGTTAGGCGATTGGCCCCCAGTACTGTTATGGGATCAGGCTAATATAATTGCAGGCAACACAGGCCCAAAAATAGATAGAGACCTTATAGACTAACATAGAATATAATAGACATAATTCCAATTTTAACTCAATATTAAAACTAAGTAATAAGCTTCAATATATTATAATTTATTAACATAACTTTTACTGTCATATCATCATAGTCCAGCTTTCGAAAATACGAAAGAAAAGGGCTATAATATATCTATCTCTTTCATGTTGTAACCATATCCCAAAATCAACTATCGATAACTAACTATAATATTATTGCAAGACTTAACTTGCAATACTTATTTACTATGGAATGAAACCATTCAGCATGCTCACTAACCTCATTATCCAGAGAGTTTGCCTTTCTTTTTCTATTCATCTTCTTTTGTAAAGCGGCCGCTAAGACAGCGCCCCCGTTGACTAGCGATGAGGTGTCATGGCCCAGGGTTGGACTGGCCGGCCTCGATATGAGTTGCCTGGGCTCGCTTGTGATACTCGTAGGCATCACTGTAGCTAACGGAGCTGAGTAGAAATTGTTATTCTCGCATATTATCTCATATGTTGTCATGCATGACCCATGTAATGTCGCCACTTCACTTGGCTATTCGTATTTGTAAACTTGGCAAAAAAAATGTCCTTATCAAGCTTTATAAGTAATGAAAAGGAACAACTGATGTCAAGTTTACAAATAGCAAACACGAATAGCCAAGTACCGGCATCAAGTATTAAATCATTGTCCATTACAATGACCCAAACAAGCTATTTGGTTGTTAAACTCCAGGGTATAAATATTTATCCTATTTTACTAATATTAGAAATGTGAAAGTTTGTTACTCAATCACGCAAAAACTACTCAACGGATTTACATGAAATTTGGTACATATATAGTTAGCATATAGTTTATGACCTGGAATGAGGCATGGAATACTTTGTATCTCGTAAAAAATATTGGTTCCTGTGAAATTCTCAAAAAACTAAACGAAGTCGTGGGCGGCCGCTAGTGCTTAATAAAGAAACATTGTGTTATTGTAAATTATGTTATTAGAAAAGCCTTTAAAAAATGCAGTGCCAGGTGAAATAAGCATTTTAATAATGAATGAAATAAAAAGAACTGTGGTAGCCGTAGCACTGAAATTTGTTGTAACAAAGCCAGAGTCCCAGCTCTAATGGGAAGACCCATCGCATCTAATGGAAGACCCATCGCATCTAGGGAAGTTAGCATCCTAAACATGACATTTTGCAGCTAGTGCTGTAGGCAATGGAATATAATTAAATGAACATAATTACACTAGTGACAGCTAATATTTCATTTTCCCTTTCTCCACCACAACTATTGAGGTTTGTAGCACTAGCAACAAATGCGTTTTTTCTCATTTATCCCCAGTGGGTACGAACCCAGTGGCTAACTGTTAGGCACAGAACTCAGAAATAGGTTAGGAGGGCGATCATAGACCGTTTGTTTCCGACTAATAGATAATAGCCAATCAAACGACGAGACATCAAATAATCGAACCAATCAGCGCTCACACCCAAGAGCGACTGAGAACCAAGTTTTGGTCAAGTTATGAGCATTTGCTCACACATAACCGTGGCACGCCACTTTCTGTGTTCTGTGCTGCTAGGGCTACTGCAGTCCTTCCTAGATCTGAAACCGAATTCAGCTGGGTCCAACAGCTGAACATATCTTCCGGAGCATTGATAAGCTGAATTCGCTCATTGCGATAGTTTCTTTATATTCACTATTACAGTCTAAGCCAGCTTAACACTGCACTATAAGGCTTCAACAGTGGTACTGAAAATTATAACTGAAAAAATTTTTAGGGTAATACCCAACGGGTAACAAATAAGGGAGGAAAGCATATCTTTAGTCCTAATTTCTTATATAACATACATAGCCGCCCGAATTGGAGTGCCCATCTGGGGAAGAGACCTCCACCTTACAGGAAACCACCGTAAAATAACATTACCTTTTCGAAGTGTTGCCCTTCTATTGGTGAGTAAGGTTCCAGGGCTCCACGAGGTAGGGGATTGGGTCAGGGTAGGAAACGACGCGTGTCATTTTTTGTATTGCAAGCGTCTATGGTGGCCACTAATCATCAGGCAGGCCATAATGTTTGTTTGCTACCCTCTTAATATAAAAAAAAACTAAAGGCATTTTACAGTAAGAAAACAATAAGCACAAGCAGATAAAAAGCATGCTTTCGTTAACCATTAAATAGATTATAATACATCAACTGTAAGTAGATTTCTGCATTGAAATAACTTTTATAAAACAGAAAAGATATTTCTGGGTAATCTTTTAAAAATCCAGTGTACTATGATCTATCACAACAATCAGAGGACCTAAAATAGCAAGTTTGCATGATTCATATATTATTAAACTTATTTTTTCAAACCTGAAGTGACAATATATTTCATGAAAAATAAAATTAAGTAATTTAATAAATATGTTTAACATTTAATTTGGGAGTCTTGTAAGAAATACATAAAACAAACTACTTATAGGTTTGGACATACCTTACAAATATCGCTTTTTAGGTCCATAGATTAATCACAAAAGCGAAAAGATTCCTATGCCGTATCAAAATGATCTATATTGTATAACAAACAATAAAACTAGTACCTACTCAGCCACTTTTGAAGTCGCAAAGCTTACAAAGCAAACAAAAAGTCACAATGTCGAAGACAAAAGTTTAAAAATTTTAAATTTTATACATGGGTGTTTTTTTTACATAAACACAAAATTAACATACCATGTGCATTTTTTTGTGTGGAACCATTGAGTGCATTGCTAAAGTGCGCTTTTTCAGGTTTTTTTGGCTGAGGCTGTTGGGGCACAGGGGTGGGTCTAATGTTATTGCTAATAGACTTCTCATTGCAGACTGTATCATCTGCAGACAAAACACTTAAGTTAATTTAACATTAATTTAAGTTAACATTAATTTGTAATAATAGCATGTGGAAAACTGTCAAAGTTCTTCCACAAGGCAAAGTTCACATGAAGCTTTTCTGTATTCTAGACACTTAAAAAAAATTTTTTTTCACATTTGATAAATATATGAAAGTGTTTTTATTGTTATCATAATGCCAAAAGTTAGTTTTTTTAAACTATGGCATTTTAAAGATCATCTCATCTTCACTTTGCCTTTTAATAATGGTATGTTATAAATTTATTGTGACATTAGATTACTATTTTTTTGGAAATTTGTTTTGCCATGCATTAACTAACAGTTTATAAAAGGTCAGACTAAATTTAGAGACCATGCTTTCAACTAACCTTCACCAGTCTAACAAAATAAATAAAAAAGGATCAAACCACTATCTACTCCTAAATTCTAATCAATAAAAAAAGAAACTCTTGTATACTCAAAAAACTAACATAATATGGAAATGAAATATCTTCAGCCTATATCTTCATCATACTTAATAGCAAGATCTTGAATAAAATCATAGAAAATGTAACATGTGCCAGTAGACATTTTTGTAAGAAAATTACGCCTGCGCAGGCCTGGCTAACTATGGTTAATGTAATAAAGATGTTTAATGGCTCATATAGTACTAACTATATAAATCATGCTATTCAAATTAAGGTTAATTGCATTGATGAATAACAGTAAAAGTTGTTTTAAAAACTTATACCAATACTTCATTTTGTATAATCAATGGGTCAGATACAATAATTTTTAATAAATCTCTATCATAAAAAAATTAAATCTATTAATTTTGAGTAAGAGTTAGTGAGAGTATGACAACTTTGTAGTAAAATAAATATTGAAAAGTTTGAAAAGTAATGTATCTTAAAGAAAAGATAAAAAAGAAAAAATGCTACAAAAAATACACATACTAATAAAATTAGGCATCATGCCACCTCCTGATCCAATATGTGTCTTCTTGGGAGTGGTTGTGCCCCCAGTTGGAGCACCATCCCTCCGAGGAAACTGGACCTTCCGTGTGTCCAACCATGACTCACCAACCCACTCGTCCAGTCTCTTATTGACTGTAAAAGGTAATCCAACAGTTTAATTTAAAATTCAAAAGTATGCATTTTGCAATTTTAAGGGCTTTAATTAGTTCAATATACATGATGATGGACTTTCCATTAGTAAACTGTGTTTTTACACCTTTGTTCACTTTACATCTAAGACCAATAATTAATGAGTCATGCAAATAAAATTTGAGATATTTAAAAAAATACTTACAATCGACATAGTGAACATAATACCCCCTCTGTCCATGGTGTTCTTTAATACTAATGATTTCAGCTAGAGGCCAGTCGTCTCCTCCTTGCATACGAACTGGCAAACGACATCCTTCAACTAACGCTGCCTGAAAATGTTTAGTTTAGTTTTTTGCAATTTTTGTTCTAATCTTGTATCGCAGTATTTAACTTACAGCTGAATCACAAAAGGTTGTTAATTCTTCGTCATTTTCGCTCATTTTGTGGAAAAATACACGAGTTACAAGACTGCTGTTTGGCTTGGCATCTCTAATGTCAATGTCAAAATTTTTTTTTTGTCAAATTGTCCCTGTTGGCACGGGCAAAGGATCCTTTTTTTTTTTGGTTAATTTGTCCCTGTTGGGACGGGCAAAGGAATTTAAATAGGGTAAGCACAAAGCTTCCAAAATTACTATACCTATGTATACCGTATAGTCATTTTGGAAGCTTTGTGCTTACCCTATTCTGAAGCCATGAGCACGCCCCTGATGTGTGGGAGATTAAGCAATTTGCGTATTTGATGTGCGCTAAAAAACCGACATAGCTTGGAAAAGCACGAATGTAGTGAAAACTTAGCGAAGGCATTTGCAAATGTCGTCCCACATATGCGGGTTGGCGAATTCGTGCTAACGAATGTGAGTGATCTGATCAGGATAATAATTTTAATTTTTTGGTTTCCTGTCGTGGCTGAAACACAAACCGTTATTACTCTATTTATTTCCTGAAATTTACTTTTATACACACCTTTATAACAAGGCAACCTATCACTAAATTATACATTGGTGCCAATTCTGACGTGATTCTCTAAACTTAAAACTAAATTTAATGGTGTCGATTCTAGCATGATTCTCTAAACCTAAACTTAAATTTGGCAGCAGTATATCTCTGTCATTCTCTATACAGAATGAAAAGGAGCGTCATATTCATAGCACCTAAAATAATTCTTAGATTTTTGTTTTGTATTTTTTCATTGTTGTTCGTTGTCCGTCATTGATTTTTCAAAATTTCTTAAGTACTGCCAAGGTACTATTTAGTTTTAATTTCCACGAGAAACGCACTATACAAGCTTTGGTCACAATTAGGCATTGAGGGACTTACGTATATGTGACTCGCTCAGCCCACATATAGATGTTCGTGAATCAATGATGTCGATTCTGGCATGATTCTCTAAAGCTAAACTTAAATTTGACAACAGTGCATCCCTGTCATTCTCTATACAGAATGAAAAGGAAAGACTGATGTTAAATTTAGTTTTAAGTTTAGAGAATCACGCTAGAATCGACACCATTGTCAAGCGTTATTAAACATCAGTCTCTCTTTTTCATTCTGTATAGAGAATGACAAGGACACACTATTGTCGTTTAGGTTTAGAGAATCATGCCAGAATCGATACCATTGCCAATTGGTGTCGATACACCACACGTCATATAAAAAAATATAAGCCCAGCTTTTTATTTAAGTATTGATGGCCTAAGTTTTCTTTGCCTTTCCAAGGAAAATGTAACAAAAAGACCTAAACATAACCTCTAATTTTGTTTAGATTTTAAAAATTGACAAAATTTCTATTGTTATTTTTTTATGAGAAAGTCTGAATAGAATATTCAAAAATGAGTGGTGGCCCAGAAATTAGTGAAGCTGATCAAATTAAAACTGTAAGTTTTGAATCATTGAGAATTAGATCGGTATTATAGCGAAAGATAGCATACGAGAAATCATGGAAAAGTTTAATCCACAATGGTGAATAAATAATGATTTACGGTACTAAAATAAAAAAAGCCTGCAGAAACGACCAGAAATTTACGATAAGCTACATTTTAGGGTCTGGATAAAAAAAAATGTTTAGTAGGGTTAGTGGGTTGTGGTACTTAACTTCCGTCTTAATGTAGGATGTGTTTATTGTCTTATTTAATTGTAATATTATATAACATTTTCTTCGTTGAATTTTAAACTTGAGAAGTACAAAAGTTGTTCTTCCTAACTGCATCACCACTATTCATCTATTTATTCATTAATGAAAAGTATTTGCATTTTAAATGAATTTAAATTACTATTTAAATTCATTTAGGAAACAAGCTATTTACATAATTATTTCATTGATTTACATATTTTTATTGTGATCTTATCTTTATTTTCAGTTTAAAGACTTCCTTGTACAGTACAACAAACTATCAGAGATGTGCTTTAATGACTGTGTGCATGATTTCACATCTAGAACTTTGAGGCCTACTGAAGTAAGTGTACTTTTTTTGATAAATATGGAACTATCTGTTTTAACAAACTAACTGCAATCATTAGAACATTTATCGCAATCCTGCCTCTATGCTGTTATCTATGCTGCTATGCATGCTATGAGCATGAGCATGAGCACCTCAATATTATTTAAAATGAATTTTTATTATGCTGAATTGTCAAATTACTAAGGAGTTTGACAGTTAGATGTGATAAAAACATGATGTAGGGTCAGTTCGCCTGTTCGCGTCCATTTAGTGCAGTTGGAAAGTTTGACGGCGATAATAAAAATATCCCAGCACTAATTCTATGAAAAAGTTATGTAATGTGTTCATTATATAGTCTATTTTAAGATTAACTTTCACTTTTGTTCGAAACATGTATTGTTTTTTATTTAAATAGATAAACTTCAGAATAAGGCGTTTTACCCACTTTGCGTTCACAAAATCCAAATTGCGTCCACCCGTGGACCATTTAGCGTCCACCACCTTAGAAAAGGAATATAGGGGTGATATTTTTAAGAATTTGTATTAAAAGATTGTACCTATTTGAACAATTTCTTTATTTTAGTATATAAATATTAAAACCAACATTATTATCATTAAAATTATCACTTTAAAAAAGTAAAAAATATTCTTCTCAATATGGATTGAATTTAAAATTATATAAGTAGTAGGTAAATAAAGATTGCATCTTTAAGAATAAACAGTAATCAGGTCTGTTAATATTACCCTAAAATCACAAGGCATGTTTTTCTCATCGTCGTCTTCTACATCTGAAATTAGTATATCGTCACATTTAGAAAATTTTCAGTCTTAAATTCCTGATTTACCATTTCCTGTGTGACTTCTTGAAGAGCATGTATCTTCTTCTTTCGTTTTGGAGCAGTTTTACGAACAGTTTGAGAGTGTTTTAAACTCTGTTCTTGTTTCTCTATAACTTTCTTTTTCGTATTGCTTCCTGCTTTTCGTTCTTGATCTGCTCTTTATCTTCTTAATACTTACTCCATGCAACAAGATATGGTTGCTAGAGTTATTTGATTATCTTTTCGTGCTTTGTTAGAAATTTTGGGTAGCATCAGGTGGTGTCTGGTCCCGGTTTCTTTACTTCATTTGGTCTGCGCACACTGATTTTGTACAATATGTCTATATGTCTTACCGATTTATTCTTTTCTCGAATTTCATTTAACGCTTTCTTTAAATCGTCTTCTGTGTATATTCTCTTTTCCTTCTACTTTCTTGTCTCCGAAGAACTCATTTGAAATAGAAAAAAAAATAAGAATGAAACAAATAAAGTATTTGATTGATTGATTGAAATCTATATATATAAAAATGAAACCCGTTTTCCGTTGTCACGACATAACATGAAAACGGCTTGACCGATTTGGCTGTTTTTTTTTTGTAGTTTTCTAATACTCTGTACAAGGTTCTTACGGAAAAAAATATAAAGAAAATCCCAAGGGGATAAAATAAGGAATGAAAGTTTGTATGAAACTTTATCAATTTTAAACCGATCGGGTTGAGACTTTGCATGCAGGTATAAGAAGAATCATAGATGAATGTCATTGTGTATAATACAAGCCTGAGAACAAAAACTGTAGTCTACACTTCAGCTCTACACCGAAGCGAAGCGAGGGCGGGCCGCTAGTTACTCATAAAAATGGCATTAAAAACACGTAGTCTTAATAAAAATGTATAATAATAATATTCAATACCTATATTTTAAAATATAATTAATTAATAGTATTTAACGAAAATAGTGGACGCAATTTGGTTTACTATTATCCCCTGTAGGTATAGTTTGCGTCCATGTCGGACGCAAATTAGAAGTTTTGTCATTTCGATGTAGTAATTCGCGTCCACCTTATTTTATTCATTAAATATGAAAAACATAAGAAAATTTAAAATTAATATCATTCCTTTCTTCACTATAAAAGTCTAGAAACAGCTATGTATCCTAAAATTAACATAAAAAAATAAAAAACTTACCATCGAACGCGCCGCTGCACACTATTTTCTATCTAAACATCCCGCGTGTACGCACTCCCTGGATGAATAACCGAGACTAATTATTTTATTTAAACGGGATTGGTTGGCGCACCTACCTTTTGACCATGTGTTCGTGCCTCTTATATATTAAGGTATTAGCGGTAATTACTTTTCGTTTGATTGGTGTGTTAGTTTACTTATTTTTGAGGATTTGGACCGTCCGAGATCCGTAAAATGGACGCGAATTAGGCGATGGACGCGAACAGGCGAACTGACCCTAATATAAATTGTGGTGATCATGGTCTGATCTAACTCTATGCCAAAATTTATGCTAATTGATTTAGTGGTTTAGGTTAAGAGCAGAACGAACTGTAGGATAGTTAGGTTGTCTCCAAACAACTGAATTTGCATTTTTTAAGGATTTATGCTTTGCTGTGGTATTTATTTTTCATTCTCTACCACAAGATTAGGAAAGATGTTATATTTACATTCTTATAACTTTAACTTATTTACAGGACAAATGCACATTAAATTGCATGGAAAAATATTTGAGAATGAACCAGAGAGTCTCACAGCGATTCCATGAATTCCAAATGATTGCCAATGAGAACATGCTAGCACTAGCACAAAAATCTGGTAATCCCAGTTAAGTGTTTAATTATTTATTTTAATGCAAATTGTATTTATAATTACCTTGTTAGTTTTCCTTAGTATTGGAAAATAAATTATGTTTACCAAATGGGCTTTTACTTCATACATGGATACAAAATGAAAAGTGTAATGTTAACAAGCATTTGAAAATCTATAAGTTATCTTCTAACATATTCAGCTTGGCTTTGGTCTATTGAGCTTGATAAATGATTTTTTTTTATTAGAATAGGATAAAAAAACGTACAAGAATAAATAAATTATAAATGATAATCTAATAAAAGTCAGGCAGGCGCTACAAGACTGTCTGTCATTCTATGGGTTTAATTTGTCCGAGACAGCACGGAGCAGTCTCTGCAACAAATGCATTGTGAATGTGGGAAAGCCTGGGTTTTCGTACCAGTGTAAATGTCAGGAATTAAATGAATAAAATGAAACAATTAATTGTTATGGAGAAGAAAGCTGTCAAAATTTTACTTGTTGTTCTACCTATTGAACAAGTAGGAAAATAGGAACTCATTTGTTACCCATTTATTAAATATAAAGTTTGACAGTAGGACAAATAGTAACTATCAATAGAACAGCAGAGTAGGTTGTATAGTATAATTATGTTGTACTTGCATAGACCTTTGGGTTTATTAGCAACTAAATAAAATTACTAAATTTTGTGTACCCCAGGACAACATCATTTCAAAAGAGGTATTGTTTTCCATTTATTCTCATGATAACCAAGAAGTCCAGAAAATATTTTATTCTTATTAATTAATGAAAAATTATTCACTAGTTGAAGTTATGTTACCCTGGTAACATAACTTCAACTAGTAACCTACATCAGATTTCATATAATTAGTAGCCTTAATGATGGCTATCGTTTTTTGTCTCACCAGATGGCGCCACTGTTGAGTGAGGTCCTGAAGTATAACTTTTAAAGTTAGTAAACACGCTCGTGATATCAAAGTTTACATTTTAATACAAAAGAATCGTATCTTAAACATAATCGCCCATGCCACAGTGTTGCGCAGTCCCGTTTTGTTCGGAAAAAAGAAGGACAATATTTTTTCTTAGCTCTGCTTTTAAATAACTGACAATCATTGACACGTAACTCATATTTGCCATAATAAGTCTGATTTATTACCAAATATTCACAACTATTATTTTAATTAGAAAAAAACCGCGTAGTCAACCCGCAAGCTATAACATTTGACATTTCGGAGACCTCACGCAACACAAGCGCCTCTAGCGGCGGTTTCAGACGCGATAGCCCTCATTCCCACTAGTTCTGTTCAACAGTTTAGACGACCTCCTTGGCCGAGTGGTATATACTTACGCCGGGTTTCAAGGTTTCGCCATTCAGAGGCCGAATCCCGGTGGGGGCAAATGATAGTATGATGAATACCATATGTACTTTAGTCATGGATGTTTATATATATTTCTGGATAAAATATATATGTATCAGTATACGTATTCTATCCGTTAACCTGACATCCCATAACACAAGCCACGTCAGCGTTGTGGCACAGTGATTGGATTGTCTCTATCTAGACTCGAGGCGCAGGTGGCTATGCATATTTAGCATATTTTTACATTCTCGTGCGACACTGAAGCTGAAGCCTGCCGGCCACTTTCCTTACCTCTCGTGGGCTACCTATCCAGGTTACTGCTTTTATTCCCAGCAGTTCCATGTAACTGTTTCCACATGGAACTATTGTATTACCAAATCTACAGTATTTTCTCCCAGAAATTTCATATTAATCAGCATATTAAAATAGTAATATATACACTTGTCATAAAACCTTTACTTTATTTGTTGCCAATAACTTATTAAATAAATTGTGTCACTCATATTCTGGAGTCATACAAGGGAGGGTCAAAAAGTTCTTGGAATGGAGGGGATGGAGGGAAAGGGGTTACCTACTACTATTTGTCGTCTCCTGTGAATACTACGGAGAGATGTCGTCTGCCAACAGGTACTCTTTTCTTGGTATAACGATGATTTACGAATGGCATATTAGCATATTCAAACAAGACACAGAATTTACTGAAGATGATAAGCGCTCAGGACGAGCAATAGAAGCGACCTTCTCAATTATTGTCGAAAAAAAATTAACTTATTATTGGAGAAACCGTTCGAAAAAGAAGTAAATCACTGAAATGATCAGGCTACATCTAAGATTTTAAATACTCTTCATAGCTATTTTAGCAGGTCAAAGGTCAGTGCAAGATAGGCATTGATAGTGCAGAAAATGCTCACACCACTGCAAAAGCAGCAGCGCGTCGAGTGTCCCCGAGAGTTTTTGACTATAGAGAGATAGAGATGAGTTTTCTCGCTATTCTCTATAGCGAGAACAGAGATGAGAATTTATGACCGGATTGATGCTGAATAAATTACCTAATATTATTATTATATATGTAATAATATTATTACATGGGACTAAATAGTTGCAGTAGTTTCATATGACAGAAATATCAGCTATAAAACTAGTTTAAAATGACATGGAACTAATGGTACAATTTTTTTTAAGGTTTCAATAATCCCATGTGGAACTAGCAACATGGAACTGTTGGAAATTAAATGAAGGGGTTCACTTCACTGTCTTCGATTAAAGCAAACAAGTGGAATGAATGACACATGTACAATGTTCCAGTAGGTACCATGTTTTCGTACGGCATGCATTACCTACAATTTGCCATTAAACTCAAATTTATTATAGGACAATTAAGTTAAAATGAAAGAATGAAACACGTTTGCTTTGATGGTTAATCATAATATATTGAAATAAGGTTTGCAATATCTTGTGCTAATTGTTAGTCGACCTAGGTATTAATGTATATTTGAATTTCTTAAGCTAAGTTTCCTTATCACTCATTTACAACAGAATTTACTCTCCGTTTGGCAGATCATACATATAACACTCTTCTTTGGACAAGGCTTGTAACATTTTTGTTCAGGTGGAGAGAAGTCTAAAACGAACGATTCCTGAGAGCTGGTGTAATCGAAGTGGTAATCGTTGAATTTTGCTTCTAAGCTGAATTTGGCTGTGCCTTTATTGTCGGTTTCGTCAGTATTCAGAACATATTTCAAAGGATACGGTCCAGAAGGAGCATTGCTTATGTCTGAAGGTTTCGTACAGATACTATATTGTCCACCGTGTCTCACGATCCGTATTAAGGGTTGACTGCAAGGAGGAGAAGGCTTGCAACATGAGGTTGGCGAAGTGCAAACGGTCAAAATTTTCGCTGGTGGGCTGCAGCAAGGCTTGTAGCATGGTGGGCGTGCACAAGTCGTGGAACAGGGGGTACATTCTCCAGATTTCATGCAGTTGTGCTGCTCTATCTTCTTCAGTACCTCACATGAAATGTGACCAGGACGCCAGCCACATCTTAACTGAAAAACATAAAAAAATATGTAGGTATTAGTCCTAAAAGGTGACGTTGCACTATATGTAATATACGGAGCAGTGGGCATACCTGATGTTCAGGCGCATCTTTTGCGGTGTAGAGCCAGCCCATATTTTTTGGGATCGGTCCAGGTTTCACATCCTCCTTGTCGAGACACCGATGTTTAGGCAAATCGCATCGTCCCAAGCAGCTTGCTGCAGACTTGTTCGCTAGAAAATCGGTACAATCGGTCCATGAACAAATAGCAATATTCTTTATGAGAACTGGTTAATTATACTTCCGGATCAAAGCAGTATTCTAAGATAGACTGAAAGGGAAGCTGTAGGAGCCAACTTAGGAATGGGTGTTTAACTAGCACCAAATGTGAAGATTTTTACTTAGTAAAAGAAACCGCCGAATAAAACTACTTATTTAATGATAAGTGAGGAATTTATGTTAGGTTGTAACAATAATCTCTTATTCAAATTTAAAAGTGTGGATGAAGAATGCTGCTCTGCTCTATACTGCATATCTCTAGCAAACCTTTACCATAATCGCATTGTATCATGTCATGATAGAAGTACCTACCCCCTGACCTAGCCTTGATCAGGTTAGAGTCATATATCTAGTGTTATAGGGCCGTTGAAGTGGTCTTCCGTTAAATTCCACATCTAGACTTAAGTTGATAAACTAAACCTAAGAATAGATTTCGGCATAAGTATGTGATGAATTTTATCAGTAAAAATTATTGTGTACCTCGTCCAGGTTTGCAGCAGCATGCCATTTTGGATTTTTTATTTGCTGTTTGTGACTGGACCTGGAAGGAAGTAACAAATTATTATCTAGGTGGACGTAGGTTAAAGAAAAGATAATTATACTCATACTAATATTATAAAAAGTGTGTGTGTGTCTCTCTGTACCTCTTTACGCTTAAACCGCTGAATCATTTTTTAAATGTTGTACATAAATAATTTGAGTCTTCGGAAAGGACAGGGGATAGTTTTTATCACAGAACTCATCCTTAAAGGGCGCTGCAAGGAGGGCAAAGTTTGTATGGGAAACCAATCTATTCACGTGGACGTAGTCGCTGGCAACTAATAGTATTTAGCTTTTTGTAACAAATGTTGTTACCTAAATGTTGAAATACCTGACGCTAATTTAATGGGACGTCTACAACTGATTAAAGTTGATACTACTTACCACTTTCACACTTTCTTTGTCATAAATAAAATGAGACGGCAGGTGTTTAGGCTAAAGGAATTAAGTATTTTTATCACTAAGAAGGACCCATAAAATTGATTCTTATATTTATACAATTGTTAGTATTGATAGCATTAGGAATACCTATGGGAATTCAAATACCTTTTATATCTTTTCTCTCGTAACGTTCGGAGGTTTAATATGTATTTGGCTTACCTAGCTGGAGACACATTGAAGCTACATTTTCACATTTGACTGTGGACCAGATAAGGTCACATTGAATTAATGCCTTTTAAATTGTTGGTGAATCATGAATCTGGTATTGCATGTTAATTATTCTATTTTTTGTAACTCCCGAATGAAATTTATAAAGTCATATTGAAAGTTGTCATTTATCTTGATATATGCCAGTATGCAGTGCAACAAGAAACTTTTTTGTGCTTAAAATATTATTTTCTTTCTTCAGAATCAGTAGTTCCTACCTGCGGGTCAGTAGCTAGATTTACGTTAAGAAGATAGTAGAATTAACTAAAATTGACGCGTAAAAAGAAGCAAATTTTATTGTCCTAAAAAGGGTAAAGTGGTGAAAGTCGTTTTAATGGTATAAATCATAGAGCAAAAGTCTTTGAGGCTAACACCCGAATCAATGATTGCAATGAACTGCCATCAACATTATTGTGGCACAACTATCCATAGGGATAGTTGTTCCACAATAAAGTAATATATATATATATATATATATATAGATAGATGAAGATATATATCGACGCTTGAAAGGAAATATTGACTAAGCGACATTAAGCTAACTTTACAGGAGAGCAGTTTAAAGTTTGGATTTTCAGAAAAAAAATCGTATAACTTTTTGCAATCATCCCACGGGCGCAATTCTGACTGTTTCGGAAATCTTATTTTATGGTCTACATCGAAGCTTAAACAACAATTCAAGAACGTTATTGGTTCAAAAGTTAAGTGTCGCTTAGAAAATTTTACCTTAAAATAGTGACGGGAAAAATGTACTAACCGACAAGTTTTGATCTAGAAATGTAAAGTCAAAATGTAATATAAAGGAGCTTTAAAGAATGATATCAGAGCAAAAGTTACCTAACCAAAATCACAAGTGGTTTCAGATGGAGTCAAAATTGTCTAAATTATTTTTTAATTATTGTTCTTTCTCAGCAAATTTTACTTAGTAATACTTGTCATCGAAATTAGGATCATTAAATGTTAACAGAAATATAAAGAAAAATGCAGTTAAAAAAAATAGTATTGAGCTATATTTAGTAGGAATATTTCTTGAAGTAGTTCTAAATAAAATATAAATCAACTTTAAGAGGTACAGTCCCTATTAATTATTAACATTATACTTTAGGACTTTACTTAATAAGAGCAATAAAGTTTTATACCCACTTAAAATAGTATGTAAAATATGTAAAAAATTAAGCTTGTGAGCTGTAATACAAAAAATAATTCTAAGAAGACTTATATAAAACATAATTAGGGAGAACATTTTCAAAATACCCAGCTAATCAGTCAAAAATTCGTAATCTTCTGATTCGAGTAAAGAATCTTTAACATTATTTGCCTTTGGTATAATTGAGTACTTTTGATGGAATTGAGCGGGTATTACTTGATCTTTGCAAAGTTTCCTAAGATCGTCGTATTTAGCATTTGATATCCACAACTGTGATCACCAGCAAGACATTAATGGAACCTTGGTTTTGGATTGAACTTTAACGTCAAAAGAGTTTGCAGAAATATTCATTGATTATTTTATGGAAATTGTCAAGGGTCTATTTTTTTTGAATGTCACGATACGAACTTTAGTCATTTTACCAGATATAGATTTATCAGTCGAAAATTTATTGAAGCTTTCTTCTTTTTCAGTTTCATAATCTTCCTTTTCTTCTTCTTTCTTTGAATTATTAATATCTGCCTGTTGCAGTTGTAGCACTTATCTTTCTTCAGTAAATATTTTTCTAAAAATCCTTTCACTTACTAAATCTATGCCAGCATTCACAAAGCGTTTTCTATAATTGCTGTATAAGCTGGAAACATTTTTGTATTCTTGAGGTAAGTAAACTCTGTTGGCGACAGTACTGTGACTGCTGGTAGATATTTTATAAAATTAACGACAGTCTCTTTAGTAGGTTTAGTTTTGTTAGGTAGTTCACACTTTCTGCGCAAGTCGTCTCTAGAACTTCCACAATTAGCATTTCTAACAGTATAATATATACATTTTTCAATAAATCTAACGTTGCTGCCAAAAACTGTAAGCATAGAACTCTTTTTCCCTTCTCCTTCAGTAATATAATACCTAAATGTATTAGAACGCTTCTCTGAATCAAAACGATTATGTTTAACGGGTTCTCTAATAGTCATGCCAACCAACCTTTTTTGTAATATTATTGAATTTCTCACCACTTTTATTTTTGTTCAACAGTTTTCGTTTATTTTTTGAGTTTATTTTGTGTTTTCTTCTTATTTGTCTGGCTTTTTTCTTTACTGCTATCTAACACTTACGATCCTGCTCATTCATCGATTCCGATTCCGTTGAGAATTCAGTGGAGAAATCTTTATCAGACATGTAGTCCATGTATCGGGTACTTGTTTTGACATTACATATACCTGGAACAGCACCATCAGAGGTTAGTTCTTTGTACATGAGATTATTTCCTCGTGTTGTGAATCATTTGCGGCAGCATCATCTATCGAAGGTCAGTATGGTGGGAATGTCTCGTCATTCTTGGAGGGCTCAAGATCTGTGGTGGTATCATTCATCGAAGGTGAGGTGATGGGGCAGTTTCGTCATTCTGCGAGGGGTCAGGGTCTGCAGCGGCATCATTTATCGACGGTAAGTATGGTGTGTCAGTTTCTTTATTTTCCGAGGGCTTAGGTTCAGGGGCGGCATCATTCATCAAATGTAAGTTTGTTGGGGTAATGTTATTCTGCGAAGGGTCAGAATCTGCAACGGAATCATATGTCGACAAGAAAGTGCCCCACCATACGTGTTTCTTCTTAATTTTATGAAGGTTCAGGTTCTGAGGCGGAATTATCTATCGAAGGTAAGTGTGGTGGGGCAGTTTCTTCATTCTGTGCGAGGGCAGGTTCTGCGGCGACATCATCTATCGACAGTAAGTATGGTGGGGCATTTTCTTATTTCAGCGAGGGGTTAGGTTCCGTAACGGCGTCATCTATCGGCGGTAAGCATGGTGGGGCAGTTTTTTCATTCTGCGAGGGGTCAGGATCTGCAGCGGCTTTATTCATCATAAATGATTTTTAGTGGGTCGGATTCGTGCATAGCGTCAGGATCTGTGGCGACATCAGCTAATGAAGGTAAGTTTGTTGGGGCAATTTCGTTTTTCTGCGGGGGGATTAAATAAATCGTCGAAGAACCTGCACCATCATAAGAATCAAACTTTGTCTGATCAAAAACTTCCCCATGGTTATAGTTCTCTGCATCCTCGGTAATACGTCGTGACGCTCGGTCAGTACAACTGAAGTGCAGTTGGATAGTATTTTATTACATGCTTTTAATTATGATTTATTTTAACTGTTTTCCTTTGATTCCAATGCCTTAGATTTAGCTGGATGTTCTTACGGGTTTTCGAGCAAACTTTTCTAGACTTTTTAGAGGCCAATAGCTCTTCATTACCGTTAATTCCCGAGCATTGGAGAGCTTGTTCCAAAATATAACATACATTTTTTCTTCCTTTTGATTGCATTGAACTGAAACACACAATCCTTTATTCTGAAAGGAACAACAATTAAAACTATTCAAATAAAAGTTCGTGCGGTAAACTTACAGTTTCCGTATGCTTTGCTGCAACGAACGCGCGCGTGATGTCGAAGCGACGTCCCATCGCTTTCTTTGTTACTTTGAAGCTAACACGGTAGGTATAAGCGAGCGCGCACTAGGTTCCCGTAGGTATAACTAACATATCGTCAATGTATTTAATTCAAGTAAAAAAAGTTTAAATGCCTTTGCGTGAGGTACCCGTAGGGTATAACCGTCAATTAGTAATAACGTAACTTCAGGTTAATCTTACCTAAATATTAAAATAATATTGTACAACGGCAGGTAATAATTTACTAACCGACAGAAAGTGGTGTCCATAAGATCAGTAGTCAAAGGTGAAGAAGGTGTGTTGTTTAAAACATAAAATAGGCATTTTTAACTAAACGCCGTCAAAAAACAATTTGAATTCAGTCAATTTGAGATAAGCGATTATAAAAAAAAATCTTTGTCGGGAAGAAGTGCACCATACGCATAAAACTATATTTACACGTGTAAGCAAAATAATCTAAGTAAAGAAATTATTGCACCAACAAAATGCAAATAATTACCAAGGGCAAAACTTATTTGTAATAGCTACGACTACCGACATTTTTTAAAAATATGCCAAACTTTTTGTCTCTTAGAGACAAAAAAAACTGAATATTCATAAAATCCGTCTTGCATAAGCGACATCAAAAGTCGACGTAGAAAGACGTGACAACGACCAATCGACGCAGAAAAATCAGACGGTTCGAACTGTAAACTTAACTCAATATGACCAAAAATGTCGCTTAGTCAATATTTCCTTTCAAGCGTCGATATAGATATGTGGGCACAACGATGCCTGATATTAAAATCAGGTAAACCGTTCTGAATTGCATTACTGGACGTCCGACAAGCTTGTGGGGCTGATAGCATCCCCGCAGTTCTACTCAAAAAATGTGCAGCGTAGTTGCCAACTCGTAATCTTTGGGGCGTGTGCCGGAGACTTGGGGTTTCCAACGTGTAAACCGATGCCCAAAAAAGGGGATTACTCAGACCCGGCCAACTATCGGCCAAAAGAAGTCACCTAAGTAATGTGTAGAGTCCTAGAAAGGTTATTATCTGATCATATATTGGTCGTCAATATCGTTTTAAATAATAAATACTGATCTGTACCAATGTCTTCTCCTCAATGATGTAGTTATCAAGATAAAAATAAAACAAAAATTATAATTTATAGCAATTTTATTTGCTTTAGAGGTTATTTTCATAATAGCTAACTTCTCTTTTTCTTAGTCGTTGCTTGTTTCTTAGGTCGGCATAGTAAAATTTTACATGTCGCTATTAGAATTACAAATATAATTACAAATATGAAGGCTACATCTAGATTGTAGAACTGGTATAAAGGAACGTCGGCTGCCGCAGATCTGAAGGTGAAGTTGGCGTTACGGGCCGTATACTCTGTCCAGTAGACTGCCGTGTCCAAAGGTGACAGAGGGCGGTCGTGCCAAGCTTTCGACAGCTGTCTTACTCTTTCTCGGAATCTGAAAAATGTTGGAAGAAGGCAAAAAGATCAAACAGGGTTTTAAAAAAGTAGACAAGAACATAGTCCGTTAGATGGTAAGCGGTCACTATAGCCCAACGAAGATTACCGAAACTAGGAGCTTCCTAAACTCATTCTTAAAATTTTGATGACTCCTGAGTGTTTAATTGGTTTGAACTAAACGTCTTTTATATTGATGCAAATCTTTATTGACTTGCCTAGGCTCTGAGTTTACTCTTAGCTAGGAAACGCCAAATTCTAGATTGGTGCAAATCAAATTTCTTACCCGGGTTCCATAACATTCTTGAAAGCATTTATCAAGTTCTCCTTCGTTAGATCATTCAAGAATATCTGAACTCCCAAGCCGCTCTCCTCTATAGAGGCACCGTTAGCCAGCTGGTCTCCAAGAATGGGCATTGCTACAACGGGTACTCCAAAATGTAGAGATTCCGTCGTTCCACCCATGCCAGCGTGAGAGAAAAAGGCGACAGTTTTTGGATGACCTGTCAACAAAATGTTAAATCTTATCAAAGCTAATATGACTTTGTTGATAAAAGCAATTGACCCGAGTGTTGGTTTGTAAGCAAATGTAAGTACATATAATCATAAAAGTACCTAGTTATTCTCGTATCAAGCTCTTGGCAATAATGAGATTGATTTTATAATATTGTTTATTATTTCAAAAATAACAACATGTGGCTATTTGTATTTACACATACCTACTTAATAAAGCATCACGGTCTCGTACGTTTTTTTATGTGTGCAAAACGTATGTCATTAGTAAGTAGGTACCTATTTTTGGGTTGAAGTCATAGGGGCCCCATTATCCTAATATGTCCAAGGCCTTCAATAGGTCAAAGACGGCACTGCATGGACTTCATTTGATATGACATTAAAATGAAGTCTAGGTCATCTTAATTATATACGTCGTCTTGATAGGTAATTATTGTAGGTATATTACGCAAACGTTACAGAAGATGACTACTGGATATCATCAGATCTTATTATTCTCATGGATACAATTCATTTACCAGAGTTCGAAATAATAAATACCTAACCATTAGTAATACTAAAGTAATGTTAAAACTAATTACCTGCCGCGGTGTATTTTAATATAATTTCAATTGTTTTAATAATAAGCCTAAGTACAAATAACTTATAAGTAATAACGTTTTTAATTGTTGAAGAGTTATTTACATGTCAGAAGACTAATTAAATTTTGAATTGTCCCGTCAGATATAATCATTAAAAAAATAATTGTACGCTGGCTACCCCTGACATGCCTTAACTTTTATAGCTTTAATTTTGTTAGATACCTGCCTATTTCGGTACAAACTTGAACTTCGATTGAAGTTGGGATATTAATTTCTTTCAAATATCTATCGAATTGGAAGATATTGCTTCAGATGGCAAACTTACTTTCTACAGAGATATTTGATTAAAGGCCTTATAAAAAGAGTACTAAATCTATTACCCAATAGGTCAACTTGTGGTAACCATGCCGATAGATACAGTTTCTTCTTGTTGGTTAAAATCGATCTTAGTTCGCTCCGTAATTCCGTAAACGGCGGCTTGTCTATTGCAACGCTGTTCCATCTCCATACAAATCTTTGTGGTAGTTCTGCAATGGTCTCCAAAATCGCTTCCAACTTATCTTGTGGCATCGTAGAAATCATGAAAGTCGACCCGAAACTTATATAAATTACCCCTGCATCCGCTTCTTCGACAAACTTCCCAAGGTCCTGCAAATTATATTAATTAAAAATTCACTTTACAATTCCACTTAACATAACCTCACAGACCTCACGTCATGTTCCATAAGGCTGATTTACACGGGTTTAGTTACTGACTCCAAATATAAGGTAAGTGCTAAATAGGTAAGTGCTGAGTCGATTCTGGTATACCTATGTAGATTTGGAGATCAAGCTAATACATTAGTACCTTATCTTAGCTTAAAGATTATTCGATACAGACTATGAAAACATTGAATGAAAGATGATGAATTATATTTTAAGGTAGGTACCTTTGGACATAATAATCAACTTTAAGTTAATAGTTTAACAGACTTTTACTAGTTATTTGTATGGAAATTATTTATTTTACAGTGCAGTAAGGATGTAACTGTCTTGTCTAAAGCACTCGGGCATGAAAGCGAAGCCAAGGACTTTAACTAAAGAAATAAATCACAAGATATTTTAATTTTAACTTCCTATTCAGCGGTCAACCGTGTCGTATCATTACACGTTTTTGACGTAGGTATTGATTGATTTATTAATTGGAAACCGGTTTGTTACAGCTGACAGTTAGATCATAGCGTAAACTGAAGTCAAGGCCACATACATGGGAATCAGCCCGTCCATTGACCACCTCTTTGGCTGATTAGTTTAAAAATAATTCTTTAAGTCTGGGGCATGCACTTTCTATTTTCCGAATTCGATTTGTATTCGATTAATGTAGAAAAAAAAACTTAGTTTGGACTGGATATTACTATTGCTGTTATTTTTTCATCTCACTCAAGAAACATCGAAACTTTGTCTGTGGACATCAATGACCTTTGTATATAGAAGGTCATTGGTGGACAATATAAGATATATATTGATAGCGTCTTTATTTTAGTACTTAGGTACTTAATTATATTATGTCTTATAGTACCTACAACCTGTGATAAAACGATGGTTAAGCAGTTAGATTGAATTACGGATAAATTAAAGTACGCCGCATCGTAAAAAATTAAACGTTTTTTGTTCTTCGCTTCGCTTCCGCACTTTTTTGTACTGATTTTCGAACTCACGTCTGCCGCACTAAAAACTAATATTACCTACCTAGTGCTAAATTATATATAGATGCATGCAAAGTTAAATTATCCTTAATTATATTTTTTATTAATAAAACATTGTTCATTTTTGTTACCAAAAGTCAGGTGGCTTCAACTGTGAATCTAATATATAGTTCATATTTCTTCGTTTAAGCATATTTTGCAATGACAATCAAGTTATTGATTTTCACGCCATTGTACCAAATAACTAGCCGGTACCGATACGGTTTAATCTTCAATCTGCCTGCGACATATCCAATATCTGTACCCTTAGTACGAGTTTGAGCTCACGAAAACTATCATAGTTTTCGTCATTGTAAATTATGTTTCTATGTCAATTTTGGTATAAAGTAATCAAATATACTTAAAATTTAAGAAGACGCAAATGATTTAATGATAGAATTTAAACACTGTTTATTTGTATTGAAACGAAAACAATAAAATCAGTACCCTTAGTACGAGTGCGAACTGACGAAAACTATCATAGTTTTCGTAATTGTAAAACTCGTACTAAGGGTACTGATATTTAGTTTCAGGACTTACCTATTATTATTTTAAGTTGGGTCTTAAGGTCAGTCGGTCTTAATATTAGGTGGAATGGAAACTGGAACCTCGATCTTTGTCAGTACATGCATCGATAAGTCCATTTATTACGCGTTTATTAGTCTCGAGATTGTGATACAATGTCAACTTTCCAATACATTGTTAGAAGATAAATACGAAGACTTACCCCATTTAATGGTCTAGCCTCCTCGACATGATATCCACCAACTTCTATGACGTTAGCTGGATACAAACCAGAACTTGTTAAAGTGAAGTGTTGACTAATCAGCAAACATTTGATTTCTCGGGCTAAATCTTCTAGAGGCGGAATATCATTATAGTACTTCGCAAGAACATTTTGGTTTGAGCGTTGAGTTATTACATAATATAGAAGTTTAAAATAAGCATCGAAAACCACCCTTTCTAATCTTTGGTATAGCGTTGGCTTAGTACCACCTTTTAGGAAGTGAAAGGAAACGTATGATGGATTGTAAGAAATCCCATATCTATTGTAATGCCATGGCATCATAATATGTGTAGTTACACCAACGACTGGAGCGTTCAGTTTGTAAGCTAGTCCCAGAGCACAGTCGGAATTGAATTGTTCTACTAAGACAACATCGAATTTCGTTTTCCGTTTCACCAAATCTTGTACTTCCTTATTTGAAAACAGGATTTCACAATTTTCTTTTCCGGTAAGAGTTAAATAAAAGCTTGTCTGTATGACAGACATATAATTAAAATCTTCTATAGAGAGACTGTCTTCTGCTGCTATTGATTCTCCAGACAATACTATGTCATGGTAGTTTTGTGGAGGATTCTTCTCTGGATAATAAGAAATAACTGTAACATCGTGCCCTTTACGTGCCAATTCTCGTAACAGTACTCTTACTACGATAAAATGACTTTTCCCAGGATAAGGGAACACGCTAAGAATTTTGAGTGCACTGGAACTGCATGTTAATATAGTTACTAATACACACACACATAAAAATGTCATATGACGCATTGTGCTTTTATTAATTTTCACTTCATAACGCGCGACGCGTCTGCTCGTCCAATCATTATTGGAATAACTGTCTTGTTGTCTGGTCAGGCCCAGCCAGCTGCTGACTGGTTTTATAGAAAGTACTTATGTAATCACGTGGTGTCTCGTAAGAGTTAATTAACATCGAATCCGATCCAAGGAAGTTGAAATGTTCGAATGTTCGGATTCGCTGTACCTACAGGTTTTTGGTTCTGAAAAAGAAACTACTTGAATACTAAGGCCCACTTGCAGCATTTTGCTTAATCTCAATTCAACTAAAACTGGATTTATCCCATACAATAACGCCAATTTTAAATTGTTTTTTTTTTTATTTTTAAGGGATAAATCTAGTTTCAGCTGTAAGTGGACCTAAGACCAACATAATATTTTCTAAATGAAAATAATATATATTATGAAAGAAAATAAAGAATGCAGGACTTGTCTTTCCATCATACCATACCATAAACAGAATATGTACTTTAAATCTAGAAATTGATTACTCGTCATACCTACTTGAGAATTAATTCGTAATTAAAGCATGGCAGTTTAAGTGCTAATTCATACGGCATATTGCGTAAGATGCAGGATGGGTGGAAAAAAGTTTCATAATACTTCATAAATTAATAAAAATAAAGGAGAAAGATTAACTGTTAAACATTACAGTACAATTATTGGAATTAACCAAAAAACTTAGAAATCAATGCTCACTTGGAACCTTTGAATTGTAAAATTATTAATTTGACTTTGGTAATAAATGTCCTCCGTAATGAGATAAACCCAATCAGCCATGAATGTCAACTGTTAAATTTTTTTTAAGGAAACTTGAAACAACCTCCAAGGGAAACTTGCTGCTTCTAATAATTACGTTATTTGAAGTCAGTATAACAAAATAAATCACAATTTCACTCAGAGCTTATAAAAATAGAGCATTGTATTCGTATCCAATGTGGACCTGAGTGTTTTTTTTGCCTCAGAACTGTTTGGTGTTATGTACTAAGAAATATCGAAACAAAAAGGACTCAAAAAGTAGACTAAAATTGTACTACAGTTTCAAGGAAAAAACCGTTTTTATTTTAAATCTCTCACTTCTACAGTAAAACTTAAACTACTTAGTTTTGCAGGTCAGTGTATAATAAAATTATTATAAAATTATTTATTAAAACACAATTAATCTCTTTTATTTTTTCTTTTATCGACTTTACCTGGTCGGCTACAAAGTATCGAAATTACGGATTTAAGAACATATAAAATGACTAGAATAAATGCTAAAAAGAATAATACAACGTCTAAGCACAAGTATTGAAACATGGGGACGTTGGCTGATGATGACCGGAATGTGAAGTTGCTGTTCCTCGCGGCGTATTCCGTCCAATAGATGGCGCTGTCTAGGGGTGACATGGGACGATCGTGCCACACTTGGGAGATTTGTTTAGCTTTCTTGCGAAATCTAAAAAAAATGTGTCTTTTATTATCTCTAGCTTAATATTGTACAGATACAATTTTTCACTAAAATGTTAGTCTATACTATGACTAACATTTTAGTAAAAATTTGTAGTTTAAAATTGATTTCATTTAAAATTAACAGCATCAATTTGAGTTCTTCTTAATTTCTATTGTGAAAAACTTGTTCATGTTCAAGTCATTGTCAGTAAAACGAAGATCAGTCTATCAATGAAATTTCTGTGTGTCTGTCGAAGCGAGATAACATTCGTTAGGTAGGTATAAAATAATATCTATTTTTGCAATGCGCAGGCGGACCGCAGTGTGTTAGTGGCTTGTTAGCGTTAATGTATCTACAGTAAAAGCAACTATAGCATTGCCATTATGTACACTCGACTCCATTCCTGATTTCATTCGTATTATAAACATGTATATTTTAACGTTATTTCACATTACAATAAATCTTTACATTGCAGGGAGTAGGACCCATAACTGTAATCTGAGCTATAACGGTAACTAAAGAAATAATGAAAAACAGAACTTTTTTTACCATTTCTTTAGTTATCAAAAATTATAATATTTAACTACGAACTACCAACAATAATATGAAGGTAATCCTATCTCTACGACTCATCACTTCCCTAAAGATATTAGAAAAAAGTTCGACTTAAATAATTTCGTTTTAATTGTTGTCTAATATATCGATGAACATCGGCTGCACGAATGAAAAAGTGTAATGTCATGTTACGTTATGTCACGTTATGATAGCGTGTCCTGAGTCACGAGTTAGTTTAACGTTCAGCGGTGTGTGTGAGGTGAGTCGAGGGGTCCCTTCAAGCCACCACCCCCAGCAACCTCTCACCCTCGTTCTTCACCCCCGAGGAGCCTAATTCGGGTGCCTATAGCGCTACAGAGGCGTGCTTGAGCTCAAACGAACCGAAACAAAGAGCCCCACAGAACTGCCCGAGGAAAACAGCGAACGACACGTTATCACATAAATTATTGTCCGTAAACCGACTTTACAGACAACCATTTTTTTACTTACTCTGGATCCAATACAGTCTTCAGCTTTTGCAGTAGCGTCTCCTTAGTGAGTTCAGAGAAGTCCAGCATGACTCCCAGACCGCTTTCTTCTATGGCAGCCGCGTTAGATGGCTGGTCTCCGAATATCGGCATTGCTACCACAGGTTTCCCATGATAGAATGCTTCCGTAGTGCTAAGCATGCCAGCGTGGGAGTAGAATGCTAATACCTTCGGATGAGCTGCAATTGTGATTGAGAATTTCATTAATAGAGTGCTCTCTGGGTGTGCTGGGAGGAAATCACAGCATAGAATGTTCTAATTTTGTCAAAGACCAGGGTTCTTTCAGGTGGGCGAACGGGGCAAACTGTTATAATAGACCAACTGGCTTATTGTGCATGTGGCTTAAAAAAGGCGAGGAAAAGATATGGATGAGAAAACTATCTTGCTCTATCAGCTAAGGCAAAGGTATCAAAATTAGTCAATTTCTTAAACTTATTTATTTAGTTAGAATATATTTGTAAGGATACATAAATTGGATAAAATAATGAAATATTAGCATTAAGACAAGAAAGACGAAAAATTACTCATCAAACCAATGTCCTAAAAAATATTTACTTTGCATCATAGTATTGAATGAACATAATGAATTACCCACCCAATATGTCGTTTTGTGGGAGCCAGCTTGATAAGTAGATGTTTTTAGGGTTGCCCGGTAAAGTCTTCTCCTCCCATTTCCATATTACCCTCTGGGGTAGTTCTGATAAGGCACCGATTATCGCCTCGACTTTCTCTTTAGGCGTCAGTACCGCCTTAAGCATAGATCCGAAACTGACGTATATAACTCCATGCTCTGATTCTTCTATAAACTTTTCGATAGCCTGGAAACAATGTAAACATGATATAAACGATTTCAGATTTATATTGTCAATAAGATGATCTGTCTCCGTCATCAGCCTTAGGCCTTTCTCACTAGATCGTTTCGTGTTCGTTTCTGTACCGAATCTGTACAAAGTCTTTACCGAGAACCAATTCTTGATCGGCTCGGTTTCGGTGTGTAGCGTTTCATTTCGTTTGCTAAGGTGTTTGTCATTTGTTATTTATATACTCAGTGAGGAAGCTCTCACTTGATTACAAGCATTCGGTAAATAAATTGTAAAGATTCGGTACCGAAACGAAATGCAACAGCACATAGCTACATTACAGCATCGATCTCACCGGATCGGTAATGTATCATTTCGTTTTTCACCAGAAAGGCACCTTATCTACACAAGTACATGTACATACAAGCTCTGGAGAGCTACGGTTATAGTTATAAGTAGCTTATGATTTTATATGGAATGAACGAATGGTTCAAAATTACTTAAATAACAGAACTTTAACTGCTGTCATAGACGGGAGGAGCGGTGAGGAATCTGACGTGATCTACGGTGTGCCGACCGGCTCAGTGTACGGACCCGTGGGCTACATTATGCATGTGAACAGCATGTGTAATGTAGTCCAGAGTTGTTCGACATATATGTATGCCGACGATATATGTATAGTGTATGCGGATAAAGATATAAAAACTGTGGAAAGAAATATTCAGGCCGATTTTGTAAACATAATTAAGTGGTCTCATGACAATGGTATCATTCTCAATATAGAAAAGACTAAATGCATGTTGATTAAATCACCTTATTTAAGTGAACCAACTGAAACTATAAATATAATAGGGCACACATTTGATTGTTTACATAATTATCAGGCAAACTGTAAATGCTCACATATTCAATTTGTAGATAAATATAAATATCTAGGAGTAACCATAGATACTAAGTTTAGTTGGAATAGTCACATAGACATGGTATGTAACAAACTGCGAGCAATAATGGCTAAATTAATTAATTTAAAAGGTATAGTAAACCGAAAAATATTATACATATTATACTATTCGTTAGCTGAGTCTATAATTAGTTATGGCCTAGGTGTATACGGGCGTACTTTCAAAACATACCTAGATAGAATATATAACATTCAGACTCGAATAGTAAAGGATGTATTAGTGGATACGAAAACTAAGAAAAGCTGTAATAAAAACTATAAAATATTGTTTAAAAAGTTACAAATTTTAAACTGAAAAGAAAAAATCAAGTCCAGTAGTCTTTAATTCTGTTAATAAGGAACAAAGCTACTTTAACAGTCGGGACCCATTAGATATTCAAGAATACATAATATTTTTCAACAGTGGGTCCCGGCTGTTAAAGTAGCTTTGTTCCTTATTAACAGAATTAAAGACTACTGGACTTGTTTTTTTCTTTTCAGTTTTTATTTGAAGTATAACTAAGCAGTCGGGTTTTTTGATTTTTTAAATATCCCTTATTTATTTCACACTTTTTAGTTAGTTAGTATTTTAAGACGGTATATACCGTAGTCTTGTTACTTCAGTAAGGGAATTAATATCGCGGGAATTATTAAATACCTTACGTCGGTCTAAAAGATTGATTTATTAAGACATATAAAGACTTTACCAGCGGGGTCAAGGCTACAGATGAGCCTCAATTTTCGCAAAAATGTGTGAAGTTAAATCAAGTCGTTACATAAATATCTCTAATGTATGTAAATTTTATAGTAAACTAGCACTTACTCAAAAAGTCATCTTTTGTTTATGTTTTTTTTAATAGTTTAGCAGTAAATATAAAATTCATTTCCTTTTATTCGTCGACTATTTAAAATTGGCAGTGGCTGCATTGTCATGTCAATGCCGGACGTCTAAGATTGTGATATACACAAATGCAGTGTCAGTCCCTAGTCTCGTAATTTGATATGCCCACATAATTCACAGAAACCCAATATGTAGATGCCAGAAGTTAACTTCAAATGTTTTTAATCACCCTATAATACCAATCAATGACGTTTATGTCGCAGGTTGAAGAAAGCAGTAATTCCCGTTTGTTGTTTTGGACAATGGTGGCAACTGCCTTAGATCACTAAATTAAATAATTATGTAATCACCAAAGCAATGGCAATTATTTTCCAAATTTTTTTTTGTTTAAAAAAATACCGAGTAACGTATCACTGTTAAGCACAAAGCTAAGTAACTTTTACAATTATAATCAAATAAACCTATTACTTACTTTATTTTTAAATCTTTTTCATCAATTAAATACTTATCATATCCTAACTATATTAAATAATATTATAAAGAGGCAAGATTTGTATGTTTATAACAAATAATCTGTCAAACTACTGAACCGGTTTCAAATATTAATTCATCATAAGGTAGCTACATTATTTATTATTACATTTTTCTTTATTTAAATACATTTTGTCCGAGTGACATAGGCTATATTTCATCCCGATAAATAAATTTCGCCCGTACAATGCCCGGGTGGATCACTAGTAAGTATAATATAATATTATAGATGTGAAAGTGAGTTTGTTTGTTGCGCTTCCGTGCCCTAATAACTAAATCGAATATAATGAATTCCCATATAGAAGTAGATGGGAACTTGGTTCTTAGCTACAACATCGCAATACTTATTGGCGTAGGGTGATGAAAGGGGTGATTTACCTATAAAAATCTACATTATTTACTTTGAATTTTGTAGAATTATTACAAAACCAAAATTATCGCGAGCTGATTAATAATATAGGGATTCCAATAAGTATGTTCTTACTAGCGAGAAATGGGTTATTTGTCATTATATTATGTAAACCTTTTTTGTAACATTAAGTAATATCGTTAAAAAAATTAAAAACAGTAAAATTCAGAGTTTTTCATTAAAATTCAATAGTCATAAATACCTGTTATGATAATATATTTTTCATCATTTAATAAGAAGGAACTGTATCACAGTTTTATTGTTAGTGCTTCGTATAGGATCATATACTGCGAATAGCCCATTTTTTTCTTTTACATAGAACACCGCGCTATCACTTTGTCATCGTTGTAACTTTTTAAATATTTGTCGAAATGACATAGTGTAAAAAGCAAAGTTTATCGTCTTTAAATATCAAAACCGATAAAAGTATTTGTTTGGATAAAAAATGATTTGTTAATATAAATGTGCATTTTGGAAATAGATATCAAATAATATTTTAGTTTTGATTCACTATTTTAGCAGTAATGACTTACACATTAAAAATAGATATATGGTGTCACGGACTTTTTTTTAGAACTATTTAAGAGATACATTATCACTCTACATTACATTCATGTAACTTTTATTGTTTTCGCAGTGCAGGCCAAAATAGCTCGCAGATGGGAGATGTTTTTCCGTCTTATGTGACACTTATTGTTATATATTGGCCAATTCACTCAATAACTACATAAATTATTATATATATGTAATTATTATATATGAGCTATATTACTGTTAAGTTTCATTAAAATCCATTCAGTATTTTTTAGGTGAAAGAGTAACAAAGATCCATACAAATGTAAGATTGAAATTAAAAGCGTAAGTGGTTAATATACAACTTTAAAGCGTTGTAGATCCTAAACAATCATGTAAAATGAAAAATGGTGTTAGGAACCTATATTAATGGTGTTATGATTTTTGATTATCTAGACAGTGATACCCCACTCGACATATTTTGTCAACTTATTTTTTTTACTTCGTCACAATATGGCGCCTAATTTTGCCCATATTGAATTTTGATTGCTATCATATCTTTAGTAGCACTCCCATGATTGAGACGAATCGATTGATGTATGAATCATCAAAATCGGTCCAGGCGTTTGGTCTCTAGTGTGCCACAAAGGAACAAACATACATATATAGACTGTTAAACACATAACCCTGTCTGCGCGTCGCGCTTCGCGCTCTTGCATTGCGCAGCCGGGTAAAAACGAGCGTCAGGTATTAGAAAACTTCAGCGGTCATAAATAACAAAATGAAATCATGAGCTAAAGCTATAGCCATAGCAATCCCTATAGGCGGTAGGTCCACTGTTTAGTTGTAGGTTTTCTGGAGTTGATTCTTAATATTGTGTAAGAACGACTTAAGTTGAGAACGAAGATAATTGGGTGCCAATCATGGACAGATAGAATACATTTCAAGATATAAATTTCTAGAAACTCATTATACATTCATCCGATTAACAATATAAAAAAAAAATGTATTATTTATAGTATGTCTTGCCTTTTTAGAAATAACCTCACTGCGCATCGAGCTGCTTGTGTGCGCAGTCGGATAAAAACTGCATACCAAATTTTGACGTCGTCTTTCTCATAAAAGTATTAACGTGTGAGGCCAGTGAGTATTAACAAGCAGATTTAATATCGCATTTAAAATATGTAATATTGTTTGTAATACGTGCAATCTTATTTTATACAATTTAACTAGTGACCCACGCTCGCTTTGCTTCGAAGTCGATAAACATTTACGATTGCGAGATTGTATTATACATTATACGGTTCCTTCTATCTGGCAGAATCTTGTTGCTCCGAAATTCATTTGGCATAATTTTCTTAAAATGATTATTTTTAAGGCATATTTTTTTAAGTAGCCGAATGTTTATATGTCCGAATTCACAATGGAATTCTGTTAAGATGGCAAAAATAAAAAAAAATATTACCTTTGGCATATTTTTATTCAGCATAATTTTGTTGTGCAAAATCACTGAGAATCTTTCTATAATACAGGCTAAGCCTGATGCGACGAAGATGCATATAAAATTAGCGTTTGAATGATTGCTAAATGAGTGAATGCCAAATGATTTTCTACTAAATGAAGTATGCCACCCACTGATATGCATAATAATACTATGACATTAAAATTTCTGCGATACAAGGTAGACGTATTATATATTTATGCCTTCCGTGAAAATAATATCGTTGATGCTGAGAATCTATAAACGAGTAGGTAGAGCAACACGAAATTTGAAAAAAAAATATGCAAATCCGTGCAGTAGGTAGCTTTCGAGATCATCGCGAACATACATTTAATCAAACAGACGTGAGGTTTTATAAAGTAAGTAGTAGGTATTGCAACATATAAAATATCATGCATTAGTTTTTACGCTGTAGTAGTACGATAACTACCTAATATTATTGCGGATGACAAGGCAGGAACTGTATCTATTAAGTAATTTCGAGTACTTACGATACGAGATAAACAGGTAAACACTTATATTTTTGCCATGTTACGCAATCCATAGATAAGTATGTACTTATATCCTAAAAAGCCAGCCATGTGCGAATCGGATTTTTAAGCGAAGTTCCTCTCAATACATAATAAGAAAAAACATCTTTCATTTATGTGAATCTTCTATGCGGGTCGACGATGGCGACGCTCGCAATGGCAAATACCTACAAGCCTGAGTAGGGAACATTTGATTATGCAGCGTAATTATTTAGTCAAAGATTTCGACGACCTCCGTGGCCGAGTGGTTTGTACGCCGGGTTTCATGGTGTCGCCGACTCGAGAGGTCCTGGGTTCGAATCCCGGTGGGGACAGATGTTTGTGTGATGAACACGAGCATTTGTACTCCAGTCATGGATGTTTCATATGTATTTCTATATAAATATACTTATATATTTAAAGTATATGTATTCTATCCGTTACTATAGTATCCCATAACACAAGCCGTATAGTGCTTACTTTGGGGCTAGGCTAATTGGTGTGTTTTTAATAAAAAAAAAAAGTTTATCCAAGAGCTTTCAGCTTTGCTGGAGGTCAATCGATTAAAGGAATTGCTATCGCTTACGATTTAATTTTGTTATTACTGACCGCTGAACAGCGGAGGCATATTAAAATGAATTTATTTTTCGTCAAAGTAACCCCAAACAAACACTACTAACAATTTTCTTTATTATTTAAAACTAGATTCTGTAGGCAGCTGTTACTTCTATGATTATTTTCAATTACAGTAATATATATAATAGAAAACACTGTTTGTATTTATATTGTATGATACAGCAATCAAAATGTGAGTGGACGTTGTAATGGTAGCGTTACGATGTTTTCGTAATTGTTGCTAGGTACTTCAATAAAATGCTGATGAGTTTCTGGCGCCCATTCTTCTCATCAGCTAAAACATGTCCTGAAGGGTCGTAGGAAAAAATATTGGCCGATTCAAAAGAACTTTTAATAAGTCAATTTTAATAAATTATAAGCTTATTTTATATCAATTAAAGCATTTCGTCGTGACCTTCTATTTGAGTCGTTTATTTTTAGTACCGAACTTTTGTTGCTTATCCATATCATATTGTGAAAGGAAAAATGCTAAATTTTGTGCAGTTTGCTACATACATATACATACTTTGTAAAAAAATATATATTTTTATAAAGTATGGCAAACTAGGTAAAAATAAGCCATAAATAATAAGTATGATATTTAGTAGCATATCCGTATTTTAAATACGTAATGCTTTTTCAATATTGTTTTACTTCTATTCTACTATATTTTGCGGTAAACAAAAAAAAAAAAGTTTTTGATTAGGAAACAGCAGTATTGGAGTGAAATATACAAAAGTTTGAAATGCGTAAATTTACTTATGATAATTATTTACGATAAGTTTAATCTAATAATCGCATAGGTGATTAATAAAGAATTCTAATCACACGCGTACTTTATCATTGTGCGTGTACGAGTCTAGTCTAGACGATATCAACGTTATTTTGCACGTTTCGGTTATAAGGTTATCAAACACCACATTAGCCTCCCGTTGACTTATTATATCACTTATTATGACCTATTGCCTAAACGCTAGCCTTTAGGCAATAATCTCGTATAAGATAGGCGCGTGCATTCAGACATTATAACAAACCACTTACATCTGGAAGTGCTTTTGGTTTCGCAACGTGATATCCTCCTACTTCTTTCACATTAGCTGGGTACAACGACGATCCAGTCAGAGTAAAGTGTTGGTACAGGAGTATGAATTTTATTTCATTCGCCAGATCTTCTAAAGGCGGCACGTTGTCGAAGTACTGTCTCAATGTGTTTTCATCATTCCGTTGACTTAAATATTTGTACATCAAATTTATATAGATATACACCACGGTTCGTTCGATACGTTGGTAAAATGTTGGTTTTGTTCCTCCTTCGAAAAATTGTACCGGCACATATGACGGATTGTATGCTATACCGAAACGGTCATAATGAAAAGGCATTAGTGTGTGTGACGTAATGCCCACAACTGGTGCTCCCAATTGGTAAGCCAGTCCTACAGAACAGTCACTGTTAAATTGTTCCACCACAATTACGTCAAATTTTCTCTTGGTCTTCCATAAATTCTGCACTTGCTCGTCTCCCAGAAGTGTTCTGCAGTTGGCCGCACCAAAATTGAAAAGGAACAGCGAAATCTGTATGAACGTCCAATAGGATCTGGACAGAGGGAAAACTTCTTCCAACACTTTCGCTTTGCCAGCTAGGCTTATGTCGGTGAAGTTCTCCACAGGAGTTTTTTGGGGGAAGTAAGAAATGACCGTGACATTGTGACCACGCCTCGCCAATTCTTTCAAGTACGGATCGAAAACGAAGAAGTGGCTTTTCCCTTGGTAAGGGAATATTGTTAGGATGTTCAGAGGGGTAACTTTTTCGAGTAGACACACTCCTATAAATAATGTAACGGCAACCGTGGTTTTCATATTGTCAATGCCGTGCGATCGGCAGACGGCACTAGAACAACTGACTACACACGCGGCCGATATTATATTTATATAACACCCGATAATAGACAGTCATGGAATGACAATACAATATCAACATGTTTGCAATTGTTCATTCAAAAATATCTTGAGTCAAACTATCGAGCAACTACTTAGTTTTGAAATATCTTATAGAGATAGGATAATCATTTCTTACGATATTTAAGTACTCACTGGTATCATAGTTTGACATAGTTTTCAGTAAATTACTCAACTCTGAAATTAATCCGAAAAGCGGTTTTATTGTATTTTATTTATAACTATTTTAAATCGATACGCAAACATCTACTGGGACTTTCCGACTGTTCTTTTTTATAACGATTGAGTAGCCTTGTATAATAAATCTATTTATAAAAGTAAATTTATATTAATAAAAAATTGCTGTGATAAAAGTAAATTTATAGCGATGTACGCGCACCGGCACTGACATAAAAATGTAACAATGAAATTAGCTACATAAATGCTAATATTATGTAATTATGATTTTAAGTAATTTATTGTTATGTTTTTATTTGTTAAGCATTTAACTGCTAGATATTTAAATCTAAAAAAGTTTACTAGAAAAAATTCCACGCGGACCCGGGAGCATTCGGGGACTCGAAACCGCATCCTTCGTTATCCAGGCGAACGCACTGACTATTATGCTACCGCGGCCCTGACGGCCATGTCGTAAGTATTTTATTTTTATTATTGTCTTTCTTTCTGTGTTTTCTTTGTGTAAATTTCTCTTGCCCGAGTGTACACTGTACATGTTATTTAACCTGTAAAAGAACACTTTTGATGTTGTTGTGTGTCTTTTGGTGAGTAAGGTCTAGGGCTCCAAGGGGTAGAGGATTAGGTTGGGTCAGGGTTAGGGTTACCATTTAGGAATTTCAAAAGTCCTGACAAAATCTGACATTTCGAAAACAGTCCTGGCTTTTAGTCACAAGATGGTACCATTACTCACTTAGTTACTACAAGGGTATGATGGTATTTAAATCAATATGTGCTTTTATTATTCATATTCAATGTAATTTAAAAAATCCGGACAATTTAAAGATTTGGACAAAGTCCGAACTATAGTCTAGAAGTCCGGACATGTACGGACTAATCCGGACGGATGGTTACCCTAGTCAGGGTAGGCAAACGGCGCGAGAGTTATTTTTTGTATCGAAGCGTATATAGGCTATGGTGGCCGTTAACCATTGGGCGGGCCGCATATGGCCCGCCATATGTTTGCCACTCTTAGGCGTTGAGCAGACGACGGGGCGGGGCGGGCATTTTGTCCGCGAAGCAATAAAGACCGCGTCTGTCCGTCGATGTCTGCGGCTGCCCGCGCCGCGTACACAAAGCACACGACGGGCAGAGGCAGTATGTTCAGGACGTTCGTTCGAGTGAATAGTCCATCACTAAAAAGCGCGTGGCGCGGACTGAGCTGACCGCCCCGCGCCGCCGCCGCCGCCGTCTGCGTTACTCCATATAAACTGGTTTGTATGATCCACGGCGGGCAGCCGCGGACATGCCGCGCCGCCACTGCCCGCCGGGCACCTGCGGCGCGGTCTTTTTGCCCTCTGTGTGCGTTTGAAGTATAGGATTCACTTTGTGCTATTATTCGCGGCGAAATTGACCGGCCCGCCCCGCCCTGTCGTCTGCAAAGCGCCTTAACATACAGAATTTCTTTCGAAAACTTTTGAAATCGAAATGAGAAGCTCAACCGTACAGTGGTTAGCATCAGTCATTGCTCTTACATTGCATAAGCATTCAGTCTGTGATTGTGAACGTTCATCTACTTTTGCAATAGTCGATCATCAGATCGATAACTAAAATTTATCATATAAAAGATCTGAAGTCGTTCCCACCGATGGTCACGGTTTATTGTCTCTATTTCCCTTCTTAATAAACTCAGAATAAGCCTGAGACCACTCTGTTCATAGAGCAGTTAGTGGAACGCTTTCTTTATCACACAAAAGCTTATAAAAGGACAAGAATTATAAATTGCCTCACACGAGAAAGAAGCTGTCATTGACCGGAGTAACGACAATATTACAAATCCGACCAATGACAGAAAAGCTTAGCTTTCGTCGGTATTTGCTTATTTCCTTAAATGGAGTAGGTAGTAGTAGTTACGCAGTGGCATGTTTAGGTAAATTGAGTATAATAACCTTTGCAGTGTTTTGTTCACTTTATTCAAGTAACATGCAAGTGCGGTTACGTACTTTGTTTCTGATTTGTAATACATAGTAAACGTTCACAAAACACTACGAAACCAAGTCCAAGAGTCCAAGGTTTTTAATAAGGGATTCATGTTGCAGTGTGTTCCAGTGTCCCTACAGCAGGACTAGTAGGCTAAGACGGTCACAGGTAAAAAAATACTTTAATTTAACATTGAAAATGTTTTTTCGTTTGCTCCAGTAGGACCCCATTTTTGCAGAAAGTGCGACTCGCCCGTGAAAATGGGCGTGGGCTAAAAATACGGGGGATTTGAAGGGCTTGAAGAAGATGTATGTTTTGAAAAAGAACAAAACTTTTTTTAGGAGATCAAAAAATATCTCCTAAAAAAACGTGTAGAGCACGAGCTCTGTGATTTTTTTCATCAATATAACTGAAACCATTTTGCGATCATAAACTTTTCAATGCAACAACCATACATACATATGCCGAACAATTACGGGAGAGTACTAAGATTTTTACTTATTATAGTATATAAAAGAAAAATGTACTTACTGCGGGAAGTGGCTTTGGTTGGGCTACGTGAAATCCACCTACTTCTTTCACATTAGCTGGGTACAAGGATGAGCCAGTCAGGGTATAATGTTGATACAAAAGCACGAATCTTATTTCTTTCCCCAAATCTTCTAAAGGCGGAATATCATCGAAGTACTCTTTCAAAGTTTTTTCATCAGTCCTCTGACTCAGATACTTCGACAGTAGTTTCAAATAGACGTACACCACAGTTCTTTCTACTCTTTGGTAGAAAGACGGTCTCGTACCTCCTTCGAAAAATTGGACATGCATGTACGACGGGTTGAATGGTATACCGAAGCGGTCGTAATGAAAAGACATCATCGAGTGTGATGTAATACCTATTACTGGTGATCCCAATCGGTACGCTAGTCCCAAAGAGCAATCGCTGTTGAATTGTTCTGCCACGACCAAGTCGAATTTCCTGTTAGTCTTCCATAAGTTTTGCACTTGGTCATCCTCCAACAATATTTTGCAGTTGTCCGAACCGAAACGCAATATAAACAATGACACTTGTATAAAAGTCCAATAAGATCTAACTAGCGGGAAAACGTCTTCCAATATTTTCGCTTTGCCAGCCAAACTGATGTCATGGTAGTTCTGCACACGGTGTTCTTGGGGAAAATAGGATATGACCGTTACGTTGTGCCCTCTCGTTGCTAATTCCTTCAGATAGGGTTCGAATACGTAGAAGTGACTTTTACCTTGATATGGGAATATGCCTAGGATGTTCAAGGAATGCACTGTCTTGAGATTGAATATTCCCATGAATAATGTGATAGCGGTTACGGTTCTCATGTTGCTGTCGGTGGTTGCGGCTGGCGGTTCGCGGACGACTGACTACAAATGCACCTGTTACTTTATCTTTATTATTTGCTCTTACATTGCATAAGCAGCGTATTAGCTTCATCGATATCATAGCCCTCTCATATTTCATCAATAGAAAAAAAATTAAATACTTACTCATATTAGATTTTGCATTAATTTAATGGTTGTTAAACTGATATCAATTGACAAAATTACGCATAGTTAATAAACCTAGTAGATCGACTGTTGATGAGCTCTCACTCACTAAATCCCTTAGGTGTTATACAAGTCACTTAAACTTCAGAGAATGCGTCTTCGATTATCTTTATTATCTGTTATCCAGCATGTTCAAGTTAACTGCTCTTCTTCTCAGGACGGTTTAACAATTAAATGTGTCTCACAATAGAATTTTCTGATTTAATGACGTTTAATGTGAGTCCAATGATATATAGGTATAAGCTAGAATATTCTAAATAACATCCGAGCTAAGTATGCCAACACTGATAACGCATTCACTTACCAAAAATATTAACACATTATAGATAAAACAAACATTACAAAGTAGTGGGCTATTAAACCATAATTTATGTTATAATTGCTACGTGTGTACTCATTTATTTATTAGCTTTGTTCAATGCAAAACATGTAAGTAGGTATTCTAAACAATACATGCATAATTTTCATTGATATAATAATCTTGCTTTATTTGTAGAGTTTGTAATATAATATTATTGAAGTGAAACTTCTTTATCGGCGTTGGAAAAAAAAATACCGTCACATTTTTCGGTTACGCGTCACATTTTTCCGTTAGGCGCCATCTTTTTTTATATTAATAGTTGATAGCTGAATGATCACACTGTCGCCGGCGAGAACTCTCTCTACTCGTTTGTAGCTGAGTGACAATAGTTATTAAAGATAAGACTCGCTCAGCCAAACTCGCATAGCGATACTCGCTCAGCGATACTCGCTCAGCGATACTCGCTCAGCGGTACTCGCTCAGCGGTACTCGCTCAGCGATTCTCGCTCAGCGATGCTAGCTCAGCGATACTCGCTCAGCGATACTCGCTCAGCGATTCTCGCTCAGCGATACTCTCCCAGCGATACTCGCTCAGCGATTCTCGCTCAGCTATACTCGCTCGGTTAAGCTGGCTTGGCTGTCAAAAGCCGTGCGCGTGCATTTTAACTCAGGACTGCCAATTCGTTTCTAGTTTCTACTCGCTTATCGTTCATCGTCGGAGGTGGAACATGTGCCTTAGATTACTGAGCCGTGTAATCATAACAGTTTCATAGGCAGTAATTTGTATTCATGTCTATGATAATAAAATCCTTTTGTTTAAACTTTATCTAATTTAACTTTATTTAACCAATTTCTGGAAAGTTGCATGTAGATCATTTTTCGAAAAATAAGGCCATAAAGAAGTTTCACTTCTTACGTGTGTACACTAGTACACGCACACATTTTTTTATAAATGATTAAGGACAAAGGTATGGACCAATACAAAGGTAAATGACTGAAGAATATTCGCCTGTTTGGCTTATCGTAGAATCTAGTGATCCAACTGCAAATCCAGAAGTCCTAAATACAGAAACATTATTTCTTTACCTCTAGTAAAGAGTGAAGGAAAGCTTAGCTGCATAAAGCCGTTTCGTCGAATAGAAAATTATAGAAATATTTAAAAAGAGTTTATTCGCCTAAGCAGGAAACCTTATTAGAAGTCTATAGTTTTTACAGTATCAAAAGAAATTTGGCAAAATACATTACATTAATATTAATTACCACAAACAAATTAGGGCCAGGAGGCCAATCGCCTATACTTTAGGCGGTCAGAAATATCAAAAAAAAATCGTCAGCGATAGCATAGCAATCCGTTGGGCGATTGACCCCCAGAGAAAAAAATGGAACGTACAGAACCCTCATTATGACAGTTTAACTTGTACTTGTTCAGTTTAAGGTTTATAGATTTTATTATATCAAAATACAGTAAAATAATCATGGGTATGTTTTAACTTCAACTAAATTATCTATCTATCGTCGTATTGTCCTTAATCTAAAATATGTTTAATTTTGTTTTAGACCTTTATTATGTAACTCTATTTTGTTTTTATTGTTTGTTGTTCTGGCCGTCACATTAACACGTATTCTGTGAAAATTTCAAATGTATACGTGCCTATTTCTACTCAAGAGATGAGCCCTGTAACAGAAAACGTAGACACATCAATAGGGTTTCTTTTGCCACCTCTAAAAAGAAAATATGGTGGGTACATTTGTACTTACATTAATACAATGCGTAACAGGACAAACAGTTCTGTAACAACCAGCTTTTATATCAAGTGTTGTTTAAACACATTTAGATGTCCAGAAATCGTAACCAGCGTCTGTCCTCGTTTTGTGCAGTTGAAAGTATCTACTCTGCTCCACAAACAATGAAGACAAAGGGACGTAACTTGAGTCTCTGTAGCTGAATTACTTTAACCCACCGTAAAGCTACAATTTTATTTTCTACATGGCATATACTATGTCCAACCGCTATAATATAACTGACGATACGAAGCGTGATTTTGATATTATGTTCAATGTCCGTTGCATCACCAGCTAATGTTATTTGATTCACAGTTTCAAATGGAACCAATTGAAAAGTAAATTCGATGACTGTTGTAATTTATATTTGGCTAGCGCAGTTGTTTCATAGATTGCGTTTTCGATACTGGATTTGGTGCGAATAAAATGCACCTGCCTTCTGTGAGTATAATTGTATACTTATCTTTTTTATGTTTATGCAGGCAAACGAGCTGAAAGTCCACCTGATGGTAAGTGGTCACAGCCGCCCATGGAGACTTGCAGCACCCATGCGTTGCCAGCTCTGAAGAAAAAGGTTTCCCCACCTTTTGAAGACCACCATATCATAGCTAAAACGGCAAACCGCTGGGGAAAGTTGGTTTCAGATCTATTTTTACATTGATATGTTTCAAGTGTTTTACGTTCCTAAAATGATTGATGAAATGAAAATATTTTTTAAAGATTATCTGGGTACTTACTTACCTCCATTTGTCAGAAATGTTCAGTGACAGACATAAATACTAAAGACATGTACAAAATATCGTAATCTTTAACGAAATATATTACCAGAGCGTTACAAAATCCTACATGAAACCATTCGAAACTTCGCAAACGTGTGAGAGGGTAGTGATGCTGTATAGTTGATAACTCTTAGCCGCAGAGGAAATCGCTTAAACTCGACTTTTGCGTTCATTCCCGATGTTCTTGCAGATAAATTTCGTTAGAATTTTAAGTGCGGAAGTTCCTATGAAATCGCTTTTCTGTAAGAGATTTGGATGAATCATTTATATTCTGACTGAATGTCTTCCAACTATTATACAAACAGAAAAAAAGTCCTGAACTTTTAAGAAAAAACTTATTCTTTAAAATTGAAGTTTTTGACGTGACAACGTCTTAAATTAGGTTGCGGCTGGGAGTCACTTATGAAAAAGTGTAACGCTCGGTAACGTTACGATGAGTCTCTCGTGTTAAGTTTAAGTTTACATGTACAATGTTTTAGTAAACAAAATATATTTCTATAGTTAAAATTTGTGCAATTCTTATTTTCATTCAATTCCTTGTTCCTATTGTGCAATTTAATTATATTCATATCAATAAATATGGCAACCATTTTTTATTCACACATTCCCTCGTTTCCGATAGCTATTCCTCTTATACTTACGGCCAGTTTCAATGAATCGATTTTCAGGCTTAGTCAAGCTTAGCTGTTGCCTATATATTTTTATTGGTTTCGTAAAATATTAGATGCCCTCACAAACTCCTTAAAAACTCCTTGCGGACGTTCCGCAACTTTATTCATCAGTAGTTCATCATCCTTCAAAGATGTTTTAAATCATCTGGAGCGATAAATTAACCACTATTCGCCATACACTATATATTTTTCGTAATCTATATTCTTTATCCATTTTGGTAATATCTGTGCATGTAAAACTCAATCCACAAATGGGAGTGTCGCAGCTTGGCATCAATATTAGGTACTGAACAATAATATCGGTCTAATGACCGAGCAAAGAGAAGACACGCACCACATTAAATCGTGGGAAAAACTTATTATAATAATCATGTCCTCTTAGTATCTGCTCCTTGGTAGTAGTATAATTATATCTAGACACTTGCATAATAATAATTATTAGTCAATACACTTCAATTTCCATTATTAGCTTTAAATTAGTGAGTATGACATTTTAAAAGACTTCAAGAAGGCATGCCCACTACACGCTAAGTTTATTACTTTTGTCTGTCAAAATTAATTTTATTTTGTAGATCTTATATATCATCATTGTGTCAAAATATTAAAGTTATTTTGAGGACCACTTGCACCAAAATTCAGAATTCAAACTAACCTGTTGAACACTTTAACACATCATCCCACCTTAGTCGATACATTAAATTTAATAGAGATAGAATGAGGCTTACGTATGATTATCCTTAATTTGATTTAAGAACTTTGGTGCACGTGGGCCTATGTGTATTATCTAATTTGTAAATCGCAATAACGACATGAATAATAATAAACTAGGCACGTATTAATTAAAATAAATAATTTATTAGATAATATTACTTAAAGCTATCGTTAAGTGTATGTTTGTTAGTTTTTATTCGAACTTGACTCGTTTAGATTGTCTTTCTTCAATAATTTCAGCGTGAGATTGTGCGTCGTTATTACAGCAGCAACAACAGCACACAGATAATATTTTTAATGTTGCATAAAAAAGAATGTAAACCACTAGAGCTATGAATGCTAGGACGTCCAACTGCAGTTGTTGATAAAGAGGCAGCTTAGTAGATGTCGCTTGAAGGTTTGGGGCACCTTGGTAACGCGCCACGTACTCCGTCCAATAGATGGCGCTTTCAAGAGGTGATATCGTACGGTCATGCCAAAGTCGAGACACCAATTTCACCCGGTTCTGGAATCTGTAATAGAATGTGGAAATAAGACGCTATTTTAGTAGGCGATACATTGTGTTTTTAAATAGACTGCGATCTGGATAGTTCCCGTCTAACAAATTAGCTCATGTAATGAAACTTGCTGAATTAGCAAATTGTGACGTACCTATGTGGAAAAATACATGAGCATAACTTGCAGGCAGAATGTGTCAAAATCCAAAGGGATATACAAATATTAATAAAACAATAAGACCTGAAAACATTCGATGTAGGCGTAGCTTTCAAATTATTTTGGCAGATCCACACACATCGGATGAAGCCAAATTTGTCTGTGATATGGTGCGTGCGATCAGTCCCTTGAGTTGATGTAACAAATTTAAGGTATAATGGGACAGACTCGATATAATGAGTTAAAGCCCCGTCACAAAAAACGCGATTTTTTACACAGGCGTTCTGAGTTAAGAACGAATTTAGGGAAACGATTATTTCGAGTATTGGTTAATATGCAGATTAATTCAAATTATTCAGTCGCCACGCTTGAACAAAGGTCATGTGCGGTGCTAAACCCACCACACATGGTTAATGTGACACGTGTTACCCAAACTTCTAATATTACCTATTTTGTTTTAACGGGTAATGCAATTACATATCATTTATTTTACGGTCGCACTGAGACGTTTATTTATTTTCAAGCTTGATTTAAGTTGGCGGAGGTTGATAGTGATACTGATGCCGATAACAAGAATAGAAATATAGCTGTTGTCTTAAAATAAATTATGATGCAACTTTGACAATCATAAAACTTGATGACAGACATTAAATAAAACCACTTTTAACGAGTTAAGTACTTATATACCGCGTTTAATATTATTATCATTAACGTTTTAGGCACATTATAGGTCCCATTTTCAAAGAAATTGTTAAATTATTGAACAAGTCAATAATATTGAACACGCTATATAACTCGTTAAAAGTGATTTTTATTAATTTACGTATCTGACTACGGCAGTTAGAGTAATAACACTTAGGTAATACTTTACTTATGATGGATAGTACTCAGGAGCGGTTTTAAAATGGTGGGGCCCGGGGCTGAAATTGATGCGGGACCCATTTAAGGATATAATTAAAATCTTTCCCAATATTTCTAAATTCCACTTTTATGCAGAATATGCATTCGAATTTGCACTCATTTTAGAATGAAGAAGGGAGGGATACATGTACAGGTTAAACTTCTTTTCGGTATTTCATGGGATGACGGGGTCCCCGCCGGTGTGGGGCCCGGGGCTCTAGCCCCTCCAAGCCCCTACGTAAATCCGCTCCTGATAGTGCCAGGGCAGCAAAACAAGAACTTCTCCTTGGTGGTTTAGAATCTTAAATCATGTATATAAAACATTTATTTGCCGTAATTTCAATGACACTTACTTAGTATCCAGCACTTCATTGATTGCATCCAAAAGGTATTCCTTCTTTAAGTCTTGATAAGACACTATTGTAGCTACACCGGCGTCTTGCAGCGCTGCGGCGTTACCATACTGATCTCCGAAGAGAGGTATAGCTAAAACTGGCACACCAGCATCAATCGCTTCAATTGTACTTAGAATACCGGCATGGGATATGAACAGTTTCACGTTGTCGTGTCCTGGAAATTGAGAAATCGCACATAAATTTCCTGCATGGGAAGTCATTAGGGAATGGCTATGAAATTAATTATCATAGTTGTAGAAAAAAAGTAAGTTTTGTAGACAAAGATTCAAAGTCTCTTAACGTAGATTTTGGTGTTGTTGGCGAGTGTTAATTTTAACAGGGAATAAAAAGGGAATATTAACAATGTAATAAATATCAGAGGTTTGTTTAGGTATATGCAAATACCCAATAAATTTGTGTTACCTACTTCAGTATTATGGAATGTAGGAAACAAAAAAGATTTTTGTATTTACTATAAACAGAATTATTTTTAAAGACTTTAAAGATACAGAAATTGAAGATAGCCAAGCAGAAAACAGACCGAGCTACAATCAGTATCTTGTAACAAGTCTTATCTAAATATCTAATAGAAAATTCATGGTAATAACATCATTGCAGATGCTACGTGTTCCATACACTCATAAAGCCAAATGTACTTACTTAAAATATCGTACTGCGGGAACCACCTCATTGTCATAACGTTTCTTGGCAGGTTTTCGGGGACCGCGCCGTCCCACTTCCAAAGCACCCTGTGTGGTAATTTCCCGAACGTTGATAAGAGTTCGTTCAATTTATCTTTCGGCAGAGTGGAGTCTTTTACCGTGGAGCCCAAGTTTACGTAAATAACACCATACTCGGCCTCGTTTATGAACCTCTCAATTTCCTGGAAATGTTAGAGCTGTGTTATATTGCTGAAAATGTTATAGCATAGGTAGGTACAGGGATTGCAAAAAGTATGTTTTAAGTTTAAAGACTTGACGCAACATATTTTGCAAATAAGTAAAATATAAATTATGAGAACTAATTATTATAACACAAGTAATTACTGAATTTGTCATTATGAGCAGATAATACACTAAAACTTGATAAATTAAACGATCGACAGAAGAATCCCTACTGCAGCGCCACCTATCGGGTAGAGTTGTAAGTAATGTTAACTTTTCTAATTATTCGCGTAACGTTTTATTTTTTTCCTTTAAGAATGTTCTGCAAGAAAACTAAAAAAATGTATGAAGGCTCTCTTAAGTCATGGTAAGGGAAAAAGTGATTTCTTTTATATACATTTAAAGATGATATCATGTTTATAGTTTTCTTTAAACAAAATTCATTTCACTAACTATTATGACAAAAATTGCGAGCCTGTTTTTTTAATTTTGTATCATGTTTAAACAACCAAGATAAGAGGTTATTTTTTGATCCAATACAAAACTCTTCATTAATCTTTGATACTGACACATTTTTCTGTGGTTCAATTTATAATTACGAATGTCCTCAAAAGAAGACGGAATATTTTTGTCATGCCTAAATCAGTAATGATGACGAATCTATAATACACCTTATATGTAATCAAAGATGATTTCATGTCACGAAATAGCGTTTACATTTTTAAGTACATAAATTATAATTCTATTCAATTGACACTTACCGTAGGTATCACTTTTGGGGGTCTAATATGTATTCCTCCCACATCAATAACATTGTCAGGTCTGGCAACACCACCGTGTACAGATTGGTGAGTGTTTACAAACAAAAGACTTGCGTTCGTTGCTATACTTTCCAAGGACGGCAGATTGTCTCCGAGATATTTGTACAAGTATACGTGGTCGGTAACTTGCGATCCGACATAATACACCCAGTTTGATATATGATATAAGACATAACTTTTCAAGCGGTCGAAAAACCAAGGCTCTTTGCCATATGACAATCCAGCTTGGGTTACATACGCCGAGTTGAATGTGATACCCAATCTGTTGTAATGCCAAGGTTGTACAGGTTGCGGGTTGAAGGCTATATACGGTGCACTCAAATTAGCAGCTAGCGCTAACCCACAATCACTGTTATAAGATTCCACAATAATCACGTCGAATTTATGTCGAGACCTTATCATGTGCAGTACGTGATGGTTGTTCATAAGTGTTTTGCAGTCATCGTTGCCGGCTTTGGTCGCTACCAAAGTCTCGAAAGGCACTCGCGATATTTCATTCACTATCACTGATTCGTAAGACAAGCCTTTGAACACTAATGGATTATCACTTAGCAATATTTCCCTGAATGTGGCTGGAGCGTTCGGTAGCGAAAAGTGGCTTATTAGCGTTACTTCATGGTTTCGATTAGCCAGTTCCCGGAATAGACCTCTATACGTTAAGTAATTATTGCGGTCTAGGGATGGAAATATCCCAAGTATTCTGTAACTGCTCGCGGTGTAAACAATTGCGATGAAGTATGCCAGGAGTATTATGTTGCGGGACATCGTGGCAGACGCGTTCGAGCCGTTGTACAGTTTGGTGGTCACTAGGGCGTAAATGTGTGCCGGCTTGCGTGTTTATCTAATAATAGAGGTAGACATGAGGTAATCCGCTGACGCCGCCGTTTCGTAAGTCTCGGAAATATTCGTGGTTCCGCGAAACGGCATTGATCGGAGCGAGGCGTGCTGCAGTGATAGCGCTTCGACTCGCACTGGGATGGAATTGTTTCAAATGGATCTGATTGATTATTTCAATGCTATGTTAGTATGCGATTCTGTAGAACGATGGCCCGAATGTTTGTTTATCGTTATTTTAATTATTTTTTATAAACTATTTACCTTGGTATCATTTGATAAGAAGACAGTTCCTGTGCAAGATTAAACCTGTTTTGTAATAATAGATATTTCATTATGCAATGTGGATTGCTGATTAAAAAATGCTCGTTACGAACATAAATACGATTATAAATTATGAGATCTACAATATTTACTAATGTCTCAATTCAGTTTCTTAGTTGGAATAGTAACATAAGATGTATCACGAAGTATTTATGCTTTTCTTGGTTTAAAATTATTCATTTACATTCTCGTGCATTGCATGTTCAATACGTATTCAAAGTCACATCAGCGGATGCAAATAGAAATTTATTACGTAGCAATAATGTGTTGTTTATAGTGTGACTGCTTCTACGATCATAAGTTTCTACACTATTAAGTTATAACTTATAATAATAATGGTACAGATAGTGCAATCCACGAAGATGCGCCCCACCAATTTTTGGTTAAAGGATAATTAGTGATAAAATGATAATTAGATAATTATCATATTATTATGTTATTATTTATTATTATCAAAGATAATTAGTGAGTCTGATGTATAGGAATTCTTAACAAGGTAATTATTGAATTCTTTCACAATCATTTAGAAAACAATATGTAGTACATATTTAGTGTGGACATTCCCTCGGGAACGTCTTATTATTAGATATAGCTATTAAGGTCCATTTCCGTGTTAAGCGATGTTCTGTGTATGGGTCAAAGTCCGTTCCAGTAGTGCATAATGCACACGCATAATGTGCTTAAGCTCGTGATAACGGTATCTGATACGGTTATGTGTAAACATTCATACTGCTAAAATGTTTTCAAATGCTATTTTTGATGAACCATTAAGGTAAACCCAAATACTTATTTGAATGAGTCTCAGCTACTTTAAGTTTAATATAAAAGTGCTCTTTATTCTTAATGCTTGACGGCCGGTGACTTAGTTAAAATAATACTTAATATATATTTTTTATTAGTTTATTGTATGTCAATGATTTTCGGAATATTTTACCATTCGCTCGGCGGTTTTTTTTATAGAAATGTAGAATAAATCTTTAAGCCGGAGTGAAGCAAGGGTGTGCCATTTTATAAAAAAAAACACAATTTCGATCAAAATTGATGTCAGAAATAATATCTTCCTAATTAACTGACAATTTTTTTTGTGTTTGATTTTGATAGCTTCTAGGTTTATCACTCTATATGAAAAACAAGGTCGGGTTAGTTACACCACTTATAAATCAAGAACGGCTGGACCAATTTTAATGAGATCTGATTATTTAGATTCATCACTTCCCCGAATAGCAGAATAACTATTGAAATATAGGAAAAATCATGGAAATAAAATTAAACAGAAAAATATTTTTCAAATAAATTAGATTTGATATTCCTCAATCTTGCACAATTTCTACTGCTTGAATTGAGAACCTCGTACCTTTTGAAAAATACTTAATAGCAGTTCATCCGCGACAACGTAATAGCAAATATTGTATTATTTTTGAAATGAAATGAAAAATTAATTTTGCTTCAATATATGTAGTTATTGACAACAACTACGGTTGGCAGACTACAAACAATATATCTACAATTAGCTGACCCAGTAACTTCGTACCGCCATAAAAATATTGGCTGGTGGTAGCAGGGTGAAAATTTAGGGTTGTATGTATTTTTGCCGAACCACAGAAAAATTAAAAAATGTCTTAAAAATAAAAAATATATGTTAGGTGTGGACAACCCCTATTATTTAAGGGTATGAAAAATAGATAGTAGCCGATTCACAGACCTACTAAATATGCATATAAAATTTCATAAAAATTGGTCTAGCCGTTTCGGAGGAGTATGGTAACTAAAATTGTGACACGAGATTTTAAAAAAAAAAACTATCTGTCCCAGCTAACTTCGTACCGCCATAAAAAAATAGGGGTTGGTGGTAGAAGGGTGAAAATTTAGAATTGTATGTACTTTTGTATGATGTATCATAAAAAAAAAAACTAAAAATTATGTCCAAAAAAATAAAAATTAAAACTCTTATCATTTGGTCGGATGAAAAATAGATGTTGTCCGATTCTCAGACCTACTGAATATGCATATAAAATTTCACGAAAATCGTTCGAGCCGTTTCGGAGTAGTTCAATTACGCACACCGTGACACGAGAATTTTATATATTAGATGTACCTTTATAAAAAAGGCAAATAAGTTACTTTGTCTTGCTATTCATCTTCAATGAATTCCGAATAGGTAATTACCAAAACACGATTTCGTTTCTCTTTCTTATAGCTCAATGACGGTTGACGGGCATTCATTAGGTATTTTAAGTATATTTTTATACCTTACCTTATATTATATTTAGTGGTCGTTACTCGCCGAAGTACAACTTTTTATTTCTACCAATTATAGAGTAAGGTGACCATTGTTTCAGTGTTTCGTGTCAGTAGGGGTGTTACCACGACGCGACACCATTGTGGGGTTTCAATAAGGGTTGCAATCAAATGATAAAACTGCGAAAATATCATTTTATCATAAGTGGAAAACTTACAAAATTTAAATAGAGTAGACAATGGATCTAATTCAGGCATAATATAATGCTAAATAAAAAAAAAACTACAACTCGTTTTCTAAATTCAAATTTAACCCTAATCTAAACCTAAAACTCATCCTTATCTAATCCTAACACAAATCATTGTCTTAACCTATAACTGTAGAAAATGAAAAATGGAGACTGCTGCCAAATTAAGTTTTATTAAGGAACGATTCCTGAATCAGGCTCAATAGCATGGGGATTGAAAACTTCATTCAGCTTTATTATTTTGTGATATACGAGTGAAATTCTGTAAGTGCTGTAAGTAGAAGTAGAAAAATCTACTTGTCCCGTAGCCCTTATTTTACCACGCCCTCCCTCATTATTATTATTTAGTCTGATGATATTACACAAGAGTAAAAAATAACAATGTATCACGAAAACAAAAAACGAATTTCTTAAAAACCACTTTATATATTTGTTTTCACGCACACCTCTTTTTTTATGCAAAATAGGCAATGCGTTTGACCACAATCTCACCTGATGGAAAGCGATGATGAGGCCTAGGATGGTACACGCCTGCCTAGAAGATGCCTGTTCACTCTGGCCTTGAAGATGTCCACTCATTAAATATAACTCGCTTAAACGGTTATAAAGTAAATAAAAATCATAATTCTGACGACGCTGCCTGAAGTGAAAAGGTATTTTGAATCCGTTTAAGCAAGTTTAATTTAACCACTTTACAACAGAAAGCAAAACTTATGGCCTTGACCAATTTGAATTGTTTCTTGTAAAAGTTTTCTTCAGATTAGTGCTTAAAATAAGAAAAGTATGATAAAATCTAAATCCTAAACCTATGCAGATTTGAGGTGTGATTTACCACTACATCTAGTGAGATTGCACAGATATGACCTTTGTTTAAAATATATTACATAAAAATACATTACCTATATAATACTTATAAATAAAAGTCTTTGCCAGAATTTGAACCCAGCACCTTACCTTACTAAATCAACATCAATAGTAATTAAAGATATTCCGTTTAAGGGTTATTTAGAGAATATTGAAACGATGGAGTCAACCCTTGTATTGGTAGAAGCTTTCCACATTTCTTGGATTACCAGAGTATTAAGGACCATCCTTTGTTTGTTGTTTAAATGTAGTTAAACTTTGATCCGAGTAACAAAAGGATTAGTAAGTTCAGGACTAAAGTTTCTACTTTTTTGTATTTTTTTAAGAAGTACATAATAGAAGTAAAATTCATAAAGAATAGCATGCAAATAAAAATAAGCTGAAAATATAAAAAGGGTTAAATAAGGCCAAGATACACTCATTGTAAAAATGACGTTTCACCCGGAAGTTCAAAATTATCGTACGTTGTATTCGATCTTCTGAGAGTGGTTTTACTCCGACGATACTCCAAAACCGTCTTGCATTTCCTTATTGTTTCCTATATAAATTTTACAATCTTTTGACATGTATTTTGTCCACAAAACACACACTTTATAATATTGTCACTCATCTTCGTGATAGAAAGTATCTAACTCACAAAAATTCAAATAAAACATCCAAACCAGAGCGATGTACATATAATAACCACGAGGTTCACGAAAGCTGTGATCAGCTATGAAAGCGTAATGGTAGACAGAAAGTGATGTGGGGACGGTGCGAGAGAGTGGAAGATAGAGAAAGAGCGATATAGAGAGAGGCGCGTAGTATGCAATACATGCTTCGCTGCAGCTGCACGCGCAACACCTTATTAAGGATTTTTGTTACTTCGGCTTGTCCAAATCGGCAGATTATATGTTTTCCATGATCCTTGAATTATTACCTTTAAATAAAAAAAAAAATCAACCGCGCTCGTGAATGTCCAGACATAGTTTTTTTTGCAACTTTGCAACCCTCCCACTCCCTTACGTCACGCTCAAGCTCTTTGAGCATGTAATTAAACCACCAAACCTTAATCTGACGCGCTCGAGTATTTCCGCCTATCGATTTTTTTTTACTATTCTGATCGGCTGGTCTACTCGCGCGGCACTACATAGAGAACTCAGATTTGGTAGAGGTACTCAACTAGATGTAAGGTATCTTCCCATATATTAATCTGCCGCGCTTGAGTAAGTCCCCAAATCCCCTATTATAATATTTATCTCAGAGGTAGTTAATTCACAGCAAAAGAATTGCAATTGCTGATTCCAATTAAAATAAAATGATGTCTTCTTTCAGTAAAATATCCTATCTGCAATGTTTAATATACTTTCCCTCCGTGTGAGGTAGCCGTGGGACGCCCTGTATACATATACTAGCTGTACCGCCATAAAAAAATAGGGATGAAAATTTAGGGTTGTATGTATTTTTGTATGATGGATCATAAAAAAATAAAAAAAAAACGTCTGGCACTCGCGGACTGCCGTGGTAAAGCTATTGCATAGCATTTTTTATCAATTTATGCAATTATAATTATTTATTTATGCAGGTTTTTTCTTTGATATTAATTCAAGTTTTTTCTTAGATACTAATTCATGTTCGACTTTTTGAGCGTGGTGACCGACAAGAAAACATTTTTTTTTATTTTATTGAATAAATGAAAAGTTAATATTGTTTAAAATATTTTTATAATCCTACATGCGAGCTTCGTACAGTCGTACCATATGCACATGCAACATGCACGTTAAGGTTCAACTAGTCGCGGGCTCGAACTCACTCGTGGATGCGGCCAAAAAGCACGCTGTCTCACCTAGCATTATGTCTAAAAGAGATAGAATCAGTTATGAGCAGTTAACAGCTAGTCTACACGCATACGTCTAGTCGCACGCACACAAACACAGTGCCGAAGTCTGTCGAAATGAAACGACGTTAGACGATGCATGGCTTTCAACGCCGCACCGCTGTGCCGGTCGGAGTGGGGGGTGTTAAAAGAAAGAAAGAAAGAAAATAATTTTTATAAACCCTTAAAAAATACAACATGTTAAAAGGAACTCATACAGTAAGGGTTAACCAGGACCCTGCCTTAGCGTTAGGTGATACGACATTGTGTCGCGCCAGCGTTGATATTCTGGCAAGGCCTGCTTGAAGTTATATAAGCTGGCAGTTAGCGCGCGAGGCGCTCGTTAATGTAGACCCGAGCGCAGCCCCCCACGGCGGTGGCCGGCAGGCCGCCCTCATTAGCGGTGTCCGGGGCGCCGTCCTCCGAATCCGTGACCCTCCGCAACAGTGACCCTGTAACGCACACGTGCGACTCTCAACAGGTCGTCGCGCAGCTGGCGGCACGCCAGGCGCACCACCACACGGCTCGACCGGCCCCGCGCCTCGGCGGGCGGCGCGCCCACATGCTCCGCGAACACCAAGCCTGTCGGGAGGCACTCCCAGCCGCACGGCCAGCATGGTGACGCTCTGCTCCACGCTGACGCCCCTCTCTTCGGGCAACCCGCCGATCTCCAGGTCGGACATCAACGCCTCCTGATCGCGGTCGTTAACCTGGGCGTGCAGTTCGGACATGGTGCACTCCAAGTCCATCCTACCAGTTGCATCAGGATCCACTTGACGCTGCTCCAACACCGCAGCTTTCTACTCGAAGGAGTCAAGTCGAGGGGTAAAAGAACTTCCCTCGTCTCCTTCATGCAGTCGGCCAGCATACTTTTTATATCACTGGTGTGATTATTTCTGGCGGCGTTCTCCTTGGCCTTACCCTGGACCTCTTCTTCCTTTGGAGAGCCACTGGCCAGGTCGACAGGTTATCGTACAGCGACCGGTTTTTCGGGCTCGGAAGATTCGCTGATACCATTTACAGACGTACGCGTGTTGTCACCTCTGCGTGTGCTCTTCTTGCAGTTCGGCCATATCCAGTCCTTGCTGACACTCGGCTTTTCCGGGATGGCGAGGCAGGCCTTATTATATGTTATTGGGCAAGCACAGCAAACAACAGCATTCCCTGGCGCCAAAAAACTTCCACAAGCTCCACAGTTTACCATCTTTAGTCCAAAAATTTTAATTATAAAGTCTAAATAAAAGGGAAACAAATAAAAATAAGAACAGATGCTGGGGTCTAAAACAAATATATATAAAAAAAAAATGATGTGGTGTCGTGGGACACCAGGTAGGAACGAAGTTCCTTCGGCTAATTTAGAATCGACACAAATTGCAAACTCGCTTGTGTATGCGACTGTCGCGCCTGCGCACGTCTCATTTAACGGTTTTATTCCACGCACTTTTTTCCACGGATTTTTTCTTATGGTTTTACTATCACATTTTTTTCAGTTCGGTCGCGCAGCAAAATCCCTATCCCCTCCAAGCCTGCCGTAAGGAACTTCGTCGCGCCTGCGCACGTCTCATTTAACGGTTTTATTCCACGCACTTTTTTCCACGGATCTTTTCTTACGGTTTTACTATCACATTTTCACGTTTTTTTCAGTTCGGTCAGCTAGTGTTCGTAAAGATTGCTAGGCAGGACTGGCCCACAGATTATAATAAACTAAAATGTCACAATAATCCAGTGATGCACCCCCGTCGCTCTGCCACCTCCTGATAAGTACTCACCTTGTAATCATAATCATGTCTCACAGGCGTTACTGGTCCACAGCTTGATATAACTTCACAAATATCCAGTGTTGGTGTAATATCACAATATTTCAGTGATGCACCCTCGTCGCTCTACCACCCCCTATAACTTCACACATATTCACTGTTGGTGTAATATCACAATATTTCAGTGATGCACCCTCGTCGCTCTACCACCCCCTATAACTTCACACATATTCACTGTTGGTGTAGTATCACAATATTTCAGTGATGCACCCTCGTCGCTCTACCACCCCCTATAACTTCACACATATTCAGTGTTAGTGTAATATAACAATATATTTTAGTGATGCACCCTCGTCGCTCTACCACCCCCTATAACTTCACACATATTCAGTGTTGGTGTAATATCACAATATTTCAGTGATGCACCCTCGTCGCTCTACCACACCCTATAACTTCACACATATTCAGTGTTGGTGTAGTATCACAATATTTCAGTGATGCACCCTCGTCGCTCTACCACCCCCTATAACTTCACACATATTCAGTGTTGGCGTAATATCACAATATTTCAGTGATGCACCCTCGTCGCTCTACCACCCCCTATAACTTCACACATATTCAGTGTTGGTGTAATATCACAATATTTCAGTGATACACCCTCGTCGCTCTACCACCCCCTATGGGCACGTCTCATTTAATGGTTTTATTCCACGCATTTTTTCTTACGGTTTTACTATCACATTTTTTTCAGATCGGTCGCGCAGCAAAATCCCTATCCCCTCCAAGCCTGCCGTAAGGAACTTCGTCGCGCCTGCGCACGTCTCATTTAACGGTTTTATTCCACGCATTTTTTCTTACGGTTTTACTATCACATTTTTTTCAGTTCAGTCGCGCAGCAAAATCCCTATCCCCTCCAAGCCTGCCGTAAGGAACTTTCGTTCCAAAATTAAAATAAATAATAACTAAAAATTAAAAATACAAGTGCGGGATTTGAACCGACGACCGCGGTGATGCGTAGAACGTTAGTCCCGTGGTAAAAATTTAACACACTGCGCCCTTTAGATTGATATTAGAACGGCAAAAATTGTGTTCTATTGGTATATGCACTCTCGCAAGGTTTTTTCGTTACAGAATTTTTTGATTCGGTCCCCGCCTTCAAAGCCCGCGATAAAAGCTATGCAATAGCTTAAAAACAAAAAAAAAATGTTCAGAAAAATATTGTAGGGTGGACCAAGGACCACCCTTAACATTTAAGGGAATAAAAAATAGATGTTTTCCAATTTTCAGACCTACTGAATATGCATATAAAATTTCACGAAAATCGGTCGAGCCGTTTCGGAGTAGTTCAATTACGCACACCGTGACACGAGAATTTTATATCACTACATATTATAAAGCTAATTCGCTTACCGCTGTCTGTCCCTATGTATGCTTAGATCTTTAAAACTACGCAACGGATTTTCTTAATAGATAGAGTGATTCAAGAGGAAGGTTTATATGTATAATACATGCATAATATACTTAGTAGCGAAACACTGATAATTTTAGAGGTTTTTAATGTAAGGCATAAATAAACACATTTTTTGTGCTTACATTGCAAACGCTGGCTGAACTCTACGAGATAGATCAAAATAATGTACTACAGTATTATACACCTTAAAAAGGTCTACAAAAAATCTCCGATGGTATATGTCTATATCTTAGGGATAACCCACAATAACCATTTTTTATTCTATACTTTTTACGAGAATTAATAGCTTATTTACGAAGCGATTTTCAGCAATATAACATTTATCCTTAACCAGTTAAGTACCTTAAATACATTGTGTATTTAATACAGATCAATTTGGCCCTTTAAAGCATGTAATTTAAATGAATATTTTCGAAGATAGTACACATTTAAAATGCAGGGACATAGTGGTTCCGTCGCTATCGGGCGGGGGCCTGGCGGCGCGTGCCTATTGTAATTAGGTATAAGAAGAATGTCATTGTGTATAATACAAACCTCAGAACAAAAACTATAGTCTACACTTCAGCTCTACACCGAAGTGAAGCGAGGGCGGGCTACTAGTATTAGATAACTACTTAGAAGCATAGGCATGCTTTTCCCGGGCAAATTATCCTAACAATACAAAAATTTGGGAATGTAATATCTTTATTGAGGCTATAATGAAAAGCCGGACGCACGCTCGAAGAAGATCGTCGAATCGGAAGCTTCGGCCGTCTATTATATTCGCATTTGTCGAAGCATTAGTAAGGAACCCCTACAACATAAAAATGTAATTACAAGAGCTTCTCGAGGCACTTAAATATAGATTTACCCTTTGAATGGCGATGGAGTCGGTAGGTGTGAGATCCATCATATCTCGATTGCGCCTCTCTCAATTATTCCCTACTCCGGTCTGATAACTTCATTCATTTTTCAGGCTGACAGACGCTTTGATATCGTTTTTCGGTCGTAGGTTTGTCCGCTAATCGTTTTCGTATTGCTGTTTTTAGCAAGTTTATCATTTTATTGTTGTGTCGAATTTCGTCCGTGGTGCATTCTTACCGTCGCCTAGTATTTTGATCGTAAATATGGGTAGCACTGATTACATTGTATGTAGTGATTTATATTCAATGACCAGTACCCCAAGCACGAACAACTAGCAAGAAAGTATTCGTATCGTCCTGTCAAAGTTTTTATGGAAAAAGCTAGTTTGTTTTTACGTCCGGCAGAAGCGCTGCTTAATTTTCATAGAAATTTTGACGTTAGCGATACGAATACGAAGACACAAGCACAAGTGTTTGACAGCTCCGAAAGGTATCGTATTCGTCAAATTTGACTTTGACGATGCGATACGTTTATGTACTATGTTAGTCTTAGCTATGTTAGTTTGTCGAAGTTTGTGCTTGGAGTACAGGTCATTGGTTGTATTAAATTAGACTACTATGCTGCTAAAGGTTCTACTCTGTGACATTCTCCATAAAGTTGCATTGCCAGGAAAAATGCTGCTGGTAAGTCGGTAGGGTCTTACAATAGATTTATTTACACTTAAGGACTTTATTGCAACGATACAAAAAAAAAACATTAAAAAAGTAGTGTAATGATAATTTCTTGTGAAAAACATTTTGTATAATCTTATTTAATGGTATTTATTGATAACAACAGCCGATTCATTGGAATTGTAAGTAAAGGTAGTCATTATGTTGAATTAATCCAGGGAACGAAAGATGTAACTCTAGAGAATCCTGAAGGATGACCAGCTTGGCAGCCGGCTGATGAAACAAATGAACCAATGCCGATCTGAAAATGAAATAATTCATTAAAGCTTTAAGCACTGATTTTCTAGGATAACGGCGCCGTAATATAGCGGCCGCAATATTACGGACGCAAAAATACCTGAGAAGAATTACCGCTCAGAATTACTGTAATACGGCCGTTATAAGTGAAGGCCGCTATCCTAGGAAATCAGAGTTTAATAGACACTTTGTATTCGAATCTATTTATCTTATCTGGAATTCTGTGCTAAATATTGAGTGTGTATGTGTATTAATTTATTGGACTAATCAATTAAAGTTACTTAGCTTAGCTATGATGTTTCTGACAACACATATTTTGTCCCTAACCTCCGTGCTACATTCCTACTAACATAGGATAAGCCCGACATTGTTACTAACTTGTACTAATAACTATGGATTATAATTCTATAATTATCTGAAATAAATTATTATTATTATTCCTATCTGTCAAACATTTTTTTAGTATTTGATACAGCTTTATGTGTAAGAAAAGAACTTACAAGGATTCGTCTTCTATTAACGGTTGCTACTAAAGGACCACCAGTGTCTCCGCGGCAGATGCCTTGTCCACCAGCGCCGTTTGTACACAAATGAGAGCTTTGGATCAGGTTCCCGTAGACTCTTTGACAGTCGGCATTGGAGATCACTATCAAGTTCACTGAGCCAACGTTTTGAGTCAAGCCTACTGAATCACCTGGAAAGTAAACTTGCATGGTTGAAAAGAGCATAAGTATGTTGAAAAAATCCTAATGAAACAATACTACCACCTAATGAAATATTAAATATCACAACAAGTTTGATTAAATTGTTCTAATTAGTAAAGTTTAAATGGCTTTCTTTCCTAAAACATCGAAAAAAATATGTTTTTCTTAATTTTTTTCCTGAATCTGAATTTGATACTAAATCCAATTTTTTAAATTTCAGAGGTCCAGAGTTAGTGAGGAGGGGGTCAAGTTCGCCCCCAAGATATCATAAACTATCAAACACCCCGGACTTGCACGACAGTCGCTAATTCATGGTTTTATTCGTAAATAGTCTTTAAAAAGTTATTTCTTTCAAATCGTTATATCTTACCGTCATTGGTTACTCCAAATCCTGATGCGAGGGCAGTTTCTCCGACGAAATTCATATTCAATTCGCTTCCAGACGGCAGGTTGACTGGCTGAATGAAAACTGAAAATAATGATAGATAATAAATTTAAATAATTATTTTGGTGTGGTTAGCTCATTCATTAACTAGGATTCGATACATCATCTAAGGCTCAATCCAAGAACCAAGTATTACCAAAATCCTAAGTCCATGGCCTAAACCTACCAATACTAAATGACGTCTTTGTGTTATCTCTCAGGTCGATAGCCCGTCAGAGCTAGAAAGTTATTTAAAAATGGTGTAAAATTGTTCTTTATAAAACTATTCTGTCTATTTCATGCTGCCTTAGGGGGTTAGGGTTTATGATAATCCACAATAGATATGTGTGTTTTATCGATTTAAAAATCTTCAATATAAGAAATGAAAAGATTAAGTTATGGTGACGAAAACGATTAAGATAGGGACATATTTTGCGCATCAGCTACGCCTTGAAGAGTTTTATCGTGAATCAATTTATATGTTCGTGATATTGTTCTATGCTTGATTATGTAACAAATTTAACAAAATGTAATTGAATTGATTTTTTAATGAATATTTAAATTAACTAAAGAGTCTTTGTCCTTTTCGTCAACCCAATATGGGTCAATTAAATATCCTGTTATAATTTGTCCCTTGAATGGTATATGGTGCCGCGTTGGTGGTCATGGCCCGTTAACCCTATTAATCTGCTGAGGTATATATCTTTACTATTTAATCCATCCTGAAGGAATGTACCTCAGCAGTGTGAACATTAATAGGTTCATAATGATGGACAGTAAGTATAAAATGATGGGCTTATTATGCTCGTTTGTCAAAATTTTAAGAAACAATATTTTAAATTTATAAATGTATTTTCCTTTATTTTGAGTCTTATTTGTTTATGTTTCAAAATAGCCGAGTGCCGGCTTTTACATGGACTGGATCTTGATAGTTTGTGAGAGTTTTCTACCTTTAAATGATGGCGAACAACAGGCGCCATAATTTGAAAGGCCCGATTTATTATTTATGTTATCAGCGCAGTATAAGGATCATTACCAAAAAAGTTCAGGAAGCTGAAACTAAACTATTGCTAAAATGGGGCCTATGTCTTTTAAATTGTAGCATAAACAATATAAGGTTAGGCTACCTGTTAATTTTGCAATGGTGGCGACTCTAATATCTTCAAGGCAGACGTTTCTTACTGTTCATATAATATCATCAACATCAATAATAATTAAAAATAAACAAAATAGCGTATATAAAATTGATTCAATGACAACTCACGGGTGAACGAAATCCTTGGCACATAAAGTACACATAAGTCGTTGGCTGCGATACTAGGATTGTACCCTGGATACATGGCTACGCCACTGGCTGTCAATCTGGTGCCACCAGCGAAGATGAAGTTGGAGCCGACTACGACTGTGATGGACTGAGCAATGCTGACGCCATCATTGTAACAATGAGCTGCAGTCAAGATTTTTGTATCGGTGATTATAGTACCGCCGCATACTGATTGGAAGATGAACCTGAATGTGATGATTAGGCCAGCCTGGATAAAGAAACGATTAATTAATTATAATTTTAAATTGCCTTTCTAATACTTTACAACACTAGACACACACAGTAGAACTTGAATAAAAACACGTGGAATTCTTTTGAAGAAATTGTTAAGGTCAGTGTAATTAGGTCAGTATATTCTTGACGATCACTAAACGTTTGGTAATATGTCACAAAGTAAAAAAAAAATAGTAACAAAGGTCCAAATGAAAAAATACTCCAAAATTTAAAATCTTTTCGAGTGTGACAAGCCCTTTAAAGCACATTGAATCAACATAATCATAAAATATTAAATGAATGTTTTACCTGAAAAGGAACTAATCCAATGGTAGTGGTACCACCACCTGCGACCCTTTCACTCGTGGAGACATCTTTTTCAAGTTCCCTTATTCTGTCAGCTTCGAACATGCCTATCTTGCGATGGAAGTCGTACATCCCAACATCGGAATATGGTGCCTTTTCAAAGGCACCATATGCAAATGAAATCAACGTTAACGCAAGGACTAGCTTCATCTCAGCAGGAGCAATGTGCTCAATACGAGCCTGACAGTATTTTAAATATGTTTGGTGACGTTTTTATCAAATTAGTTTTTATTTTTATCTAATTTATTAATTATCGCATTGCATTCAATTATCTAACATTTTAATCCTTCGGGTGTGGTTTTTTAAGATAGGTTCTTTTTTAGCAGCAAGATTAATTGTTTTTCAATTTAGTTGAAGCGATGGACTTGTGATTAAATATTATCAGAAACCCTGGGTTTAAGATTATTTGTGATGACTGGTTTGTTTTCGAAAAAGATACCTTACCTTTTTATTTAATTTATAACGGCTATTTAAGATAAGATTCACGCAATTATAGCTACATTTGGTGTAAGCTACTCAAATAAAAATTGTACACAAAGGGGATAATTAAGAATAGAAAAAAGTATTTTAGTAAAAATATTCTTACGATTGCAAAATAAGCTAAACGGCCCCTTTAATCCTAAAAATGAGAAAATACTAGTTGTGAAATTCTTATTTTATAAGTAGTACCTCAAAATTGGTTGAAAGTCATATTTCAATTAATCAATGGAATTTGTTACTAAATAAAGACAATATAAAACTCATTGCTATTTTATTAAAGCCTATTGTGGTCGAAGAATTAAGCTATGAGGAATTAGCAGCCAAAGGCAGCAAATAACAGAAGAGATTAATGACACTTTTTAATCACTCCTTAATAACCCAACCAAACAATATACAGGGTTGTCAAATTATCATTTTAGTTTGATTAAAGTTGTTTCTTTCTCTTTTTGCAATCCGGTGTATTGTAGATAACAAAATTTATGATTTCTTTGGTAGGAAGGGGTATTTGTGGTAAGTATTCCTGCCGTCCATTATTGCCAATATCCACTTAACAGGTCCATAAATACATTACATTTTTTTTTTTTTTTGTTTTTTTAAACACCAATTAGCCTACCCCCAAAGTAAGCACTATAAGGCTTGTGTATCTTGGATGTGCTCTGCCCCTATCCGATATTATCCGAAACTTTTATATTGGATTCGGTTACGATTACGGAGATTTTTTTATATCGGATATCCGATAGTTTCGGTTACGGTTACGGAGCTCCCTAACATCCCTGTTACTTACTACCTACGACCTTTACCTTTAAAATGCTGCTTTTTCTATTGTTATTAAAATAATAATTTATTACTTATTCAAGCATAAATCTAAAATAACGTTTGACCTCGAAAATCCTGAAATACAGGTACAATTAGAATGTAACCTAGTTAAGGCAAACTTGATTATTGCACATAAATGTATTAGTATAGATTTTTTGTTTGAATGTAACGTCATAAATTTTTCTAGAATAAAATTATTATTAGAGCCAAGGAGCAGGAACACACTTGACGCGTACAGGTCGCACGGGAGCGTGCTTATTCATGAAACGAATTAGCAGGGAATATTGTAGCTGTATTTGTTCTTCAATCGTATTAAACTCATCTATTGTCGACCAATTAACTTTACGAGCATTTTCTCGCAGAATATCAATTCTATTCCACTGAAAATTCGTAGCAGTTGGATGGACGCCTTACGATAAGGGAGACAAATTCGACACGACAAATAAATTAAATCGTGGTAAGAGAACCGATCAGCCGGTAACTGACCATGTTTGGCAACGTGATCAGGAGATGATGCCATTATAAGGTCTAGCAGAGAAGGGGTGCAGTTTGGATTTTTATCAACAAAAAAATTCCCAGAGCGAGGAAGAATGTGCATTTTGTGAGATTTACTACGGAACGAAATAATGGGCTGTTCGTTACCGTGGGACTATATTTTCATCGGGAGCCATAAGACAGGTGTTACAGTCGCCCGTAATAGTTGAATGAGAATTACTAGGAGAAAAGTCTTTAAGGAGAAGCTCAAATAAATGGAAATAAACGATTTTAGAACAGAACAGAACACAGATTGTCATAAAAAACAAATTCATTGTTTCCGGATATTTGCCTTGTTTATACTGCACATGAAAAATGGACTAGCGCCTACCATTCCATGCACGTATTTATTTTTTATTTCTCTCAGTCCGGCAAAGGACTTTTGATGTCCCGTACTTTTGAAACGGTAGTTGATTTCCAATGTATAAAGAGTGGGAAGAAAATTTCCATTGAACCAGAGCAGAATTACGGGTTCTAGCATTATTTTCTTTCTTAACCAAAATTTTGTTTACTGTCAAGTTGTTTCTTTGAGTCATTGCCGTAAGAAAAACAACAGTGAATGGTACATATTTCACTTCGGTTGTGTGTCAAAGTTATAAGTTTGGTAAGTATTATTGCGGCGATCTTGATAACAAAAAAGGAGAAAAAGGAAAACTTAAATTATAAGATTTTTTTTGTTCATTAAGGCTGGCCTTACATCTTCTGAAACAGAATCTGGATTTATAATTATATATTCACATTATTACTTCAGAGCGCACGGAATTGCGTATAATTTGAATGTGTCAGATTGATCTTACAAAATAAAACTGAAATTAAATCAAAATAAACTTTGTTCAAGTTGACTTATAAAAAACCCTTTTGAAGCGTCTCTTTTTTTTTTTTTTTCCTACCAACTGTTCAGGATATCTTTTAGCTGACAAGAAGAACAACAGTAGCGGCATATACATATCATTACTTGCTCAGTGATTGAAATACATATATGTGGTTACCAATAGGTAAATCATTATAATTACATTGTGTTACAAACAAGAATATTTAATATTGCATTGTGAGAGATAGCATTAATGAGCAATGGTTGGGAATAAATAGTTTTTCCCAGACATTTCGATCGTTCAAATAATCTTGGACTTGATAGTATCCTTTGCTCATTAGTGTATTTTTACACGAGTTTGAAATTTATGCATAGGAAGATCGGTAATACTAGGAGGCAATTCATTATAAAGAGTTTTGCGTTTCTCCAAGAATGAAGTTTGTGCTCTCCTTAATCTAAACATTGGATCAGCAAGTTTATGTTTGTTTCGAGTATTAAAGTTATGAATATCGTCGTCTTTTTCATAAAATTGCTGTAAAATGCATGTCCATAAATCATGTTCTCATATTTAAATACTGTCCAGTCCTTGTTAAAATGTTGCTTTATTTAAATATAGCTCTAAGGGAATCCCTTGACCTTAAATTGTAAATGGCCCTAACTGCTCGTTTCTGTAATAAATATAAAAATTGATTATATATTAGCAACTGATCCTCACAACAAGAGATATTAAGACATAACACTATGAAAATAATAAAAGTAGACAAGTCTTGTTGTTACAAGATCAGTCAGAAGCTTTATTTTTTTTAATCGTATGCTGCTGAGTTTAGTCTGCTGGATAGGGTGTCATTATAAGTTTTTACCTACGCTGATGATACTGCCCTGCTGTTCCACGCTAACGAGTGGGAGGATGCTTTTCATGCTGCGCAGGCCGGTTTGGATGCGGTGACCGGATGGTTGAGTAGGAATCTCCTAACCCTAAATGTTGTGAAAACCAAATAATGACTAAACAGGGCCAACCTGAACCAGTGCATAACATAATCGCTCACACATGCTGTTCAAGATCCACCTGCACATGCTACCTACCCTACCTTGAGAGTACAAAGTGTATTAAATATCTGGGTGTATTACTTGATCAACATCTATCCTTTCATCCTCACATTCTTGCGCTTTCTGCGAGACTGCGTAAATTCATATTTATTTTTAAAAGGCTACAACGTTTTGCTAGAATAGATGTGATCAGAATGATATACCATGCACTGGCACAGTCAATTTCGACATATTGTATTTGCACATGGGGTGGCTCATCTAAAAACTTATATGGTAATATCTAAATTTAAGTTCGTTGAATATGTTAAAGCTTCAATGATGGCACCTCACAATCCGCATCAAACAGGGACTTGAAGCGCATCCCATGCGTAAAACACGTTTATTAATTAGGTATTGCTAATTGACTCTTACCGAGAATGTTTAATACGGTAGGTAACTAGTGTAAGGATCGTACCTGCGGAGCGCTTCGGAAACTTCCCTTAGCTGTTTACTGAAACGGAAACCATCGAGACACCATTAGCAAGATTTCTCTGGGCATAATTTTGATACAACAATTTTTAACACTTCTTTATGGTTGTTGTTCTGAATATATATGAATCAAATTAAAATATTTTATTTACACAAACTTAGTTCACAGAGGTTTTCTTATAAATAGAATAGATACAATGTGTTACATAAAAATATTTTTGTGATTGTGAATTCTAAACTATATGTATCCTTTTTTTGCAATTTATACTTCAGATAATGATGTTGTATTCTATATCCTCCAGCACACGTCCGCTTTAGGAATGACTAGATATTTGTAAAAGTGAAATAAAAATTAGTTTGTAAGTTTCACCACACGTATTTCCTATATGATTCCGCAATATTACACGTGAAAGCCAAGAACCAAAGTAAGAAAAATCAGATGAAAAATAATGATGATGTAGAAAATAACAGTAAAAAATACAAGGGAATTATTTGCTGAAGAATTTATTTTAAATATTGAAAGTTATATTGCTTGACTGATTAAATCGACAAAACCCATGATTGGAAAGAGGTGACCCTTGCGAAAGCCGCTGGGAAGCCAAGTGTACAACCAGCGGCAGCTCCAAAGGATGTTACACCAGCCTGTGAAAGATAGATAAATTAGTTTCTTTCTTTCCAATACATAACTTTCTGTGTACATGACAAAACAAGTTATCAATCTATTTCATTGCTGAACATGGGAGGAAGAATCCAAAAAATATCCTTATAATTTAGCATACTATCGAAATAAAGATTTGGAGAGAAGTTATTCATTACCAAAGATAATAACTAATTAACAAGATTTATATACAGAGGTTACAGTAACAAAATGAAAATTTAACCTTTTTATGAAGGGTTAGTTATATTAAAATATTGTTTGAAAATAAATAAAATGTATTATTAGTATTCCCACTTCAAAACAGCTTAATAAAATATTTTATGAGAGCTGAAAAATACAGAAAAAAATGGTTGGAGTTCTATTAACAAACTATTCTTGTGCAGCTTCAATTAAGCTCTAAGATACGATCATAATAACAACGATATTAAGAATATATTAATTGTTATTATTGAACTTTAAGTGCGTAAGACCGCATAGCGGCTTTGCCCCTAGAACTGGTGCGGAAAGTAACTTCCACCTTAGACACGATCAAGAGATGGAAATAACACTTACTTCTGAATGTGATGTTATTTTGCTCTCTATGACTAACATCAGATTAATGGAGTAATTTGCTACACCGTAAAAACTGGCACAAATGTTACTCACCAAATATGTCTGATTGTTGGACGTCACAGCCAAAGGACCACCAGAATCGCCCTGGCAAACGCTTCGGCCACCCTCACCGCTTGTGCAGATATTGGAGTTGAGAACAAACTGTCCGAAAACTCCAGCACACTCTTGGTTCGTAATGATTCGCAGACTTACGGAGCTAACCCGTTGAGTCTGTAGAATATTGCCCTGTGCACCTGTAACAAAATTTAAAATTTGTAGCACTTTCCTTACTGAAGATATATATATTTAAATTACGAAATATGTGGCATAAAGTAGCTCCGTGATTAATTTCATCAAGAATTTGACTTGTGACCTTCTTGTGACGTTCGCACGTGAAACAAATTGTCGATGAAATTAATGTCACAACACTAATTTCGTAATGTAAATTCTGCTCCTTGAAAAAATCTGCTATTACGATATTGTAATTTTAGATACAGATAAAGAATTAGAATCCATCTTGTTTGCAGAAGACCATACACCGTATACTTTGTTCCAGTATTGTGTAAAATTGGTGGAGCAAGGAATATATGAAAATTTTGTCCCATCAACAATCTTTGCAGCAAGGCTCCAGTTACACTGATGACCCTACCGATTGAGCTTTTGGCATTTTATGTAAAAGAAATATATTTATATTATGTAAAGACACTTACCGTCAGCGGTGCGCCCAAATCCAGATGCCAGGCCAAATGAACCCACAAAAGTATTATTCACTCCAATTGGTAGAGCAATTGGTTGAATCACATCTGTTAAAACAAATTGATTTTATTTATTCGTTAAATAGGTACGATATAATTATCTGGTGCGAAAATTCCTCTATTAAACACATCAAAAGTGCCTAGGGAACAAGTACGCCAACTTAGTACGAATGCATAATTGACGCTACCTTGACATTCTAAAATTACGAAAGACCGTTATTATTCCTTCATTTTACAAAATTTTGGGGCACAATGATAACCTATATTTAGGAATCTAATATATATATATCGAAGTAATTAAAAAAAAATGGAAAAATAGATTTGGTAGTTAGTAATGGGCTAAAATTATTATCGCAAAAATTTAATTCGATTATTATTACCATGCAAATTTTATATTATATCGATGTGTATATATAAAATTTGCATGGTAATAATAATTCATTTGTAATGTACAAATTAAATTCATAAACAGATTAAATAATTTGATAACAATGAAAACTTACTAGAGTAGGCAACGTGGTTGATACGAAGAACCGCGATATCGTTAGAAGCAGTTGAAGGATTCCATTGAGGATGCATGGCGATATTGGTGGTGGAAACACGAACGCCACCAGAGAAAAGAGTGTTTGAGCCAAGGACAACGGTATGTAACTGAGCAGTAATTTGTCCATCGTGGTGGCAATGGGCAGCTGTGATAACACGGGTATTGCTAATGAGACTGCCGCCACATACAGATTGGAAGATAAATAAAACTTGGATGACCAAACCAACCTAAAATAAAAAAAAAAACAATTAGCAGTGAGTATAAACGACACGATAATAACAACGAACTAATTTTATGAAATAAGAAAGTAGATTTTTTTAGGCAGCTACATCTTATGACATATTTTATAAATACATTTATTGTGCCATACAGAGATTAAAGTTCTTCTATTGTTAAAAATTAATGAAATTCATATTGGGAATTCATTTCTTTATCATAATCAAAGTTGTCTTTTCGAAAACATTTCACAGAATGATATTGTAGTTTGAAGATAGAGAACATTTTTCTTACTTGATAAGGTATTCTTGAAATGTCCGTTACATTTCCATTCGTAATCCTCCCGTGAGAATATCCAGCTTTAGCGGCATCTTCTTCGGTCCTCTTGATTTTAGCTGCTTCTGGGATACCAAATCGCTTATGGTAACCAAAGACACTGAGATCCTCAGCAGATTTGACCTCTGCATATGAGGAAGCAATGGCTAAGGCCAATATCGACAATACCAGTAAGACCTTCATGTTGTCGGATTTAAGATTTACTGTTGTAATTCTTTACTTATATAGTATTGTTTTGTAATCTTATCAATTTAATCACTTAAATTTTTGATTGCGATAATTAACCATACATTTATTGACATAATTGGTAGGTATTTTAATTATGATAATGTTCGTAATTTAATTCTAATTTTGGTGAAGTCTTGCTATTTGCACTCTTGGTTACTCGAACTTCTTCAATATTTTGCGTATCCCTAATTTATGATATAAAATGAAGACACCTGTAAAAATAAGAAAAATCCGCCCAAGTACGAGTCGGACTCGCGCTAATTTAATACCGCTACACGTTCATGAGAAAAGAGGTAGTAACTTTAAAATTAAAAAAAAAAATATATATGATGTATGAATTTGTAATGGTACGGTTTTCGCAATTTTTTCTTTGTAGACGTTACTTCGTACCAAATTTCAAGCTCCTAAGTTCACGGGAAGAACCCTAGTAGGTTCTGATTCCCGTGCGAGTTTCGAAAATTTGCGGAATAAACGGCTGTATCTTTTGATTGCTTTGGCATAGAAGTTTAATTTTTTCACAGCTCTAAGGGAGTAAAACAGTATACATGAGTATTAGATATGAATTTCAGTTTGATACCTCCACGCGTTCCTGAGAAAAACAGTCTTGACAGACGAACGGACAGACAAGAAAGTGATCTTCTAAGGGTTTCGTTTGTTCCTTTTGAGGTACGGAATCTAATATTAATATTCTACGTTGTTTTTATTTATTGTTAATGACTTGGTTCATAGTTCTTTTACATCGGTTTTATTAAGTTTATAGTTCTTTTTCGTGGACGCTGTATACGGACCTAGATAAAAATACAAGTGTCCCTTATCGAGCCAAGCGAAGCGCAAGGGCACTACCTGCCTTCTCGAAAAATTTTAACCATTATATTAACTTGGGTTTGAATTATACCAGCCCCTCTACACAAACTGTAGTCTACAAACTGTAGTCTGACAGATAATGCCGATATATCGCTTTATCATATCCCGTTTCGGTGGTCATGCTAGAGGGGCAGATATTCATAACTCTGGTGGTATGTTGTCAATAGCGTACTTATTAAAAATAAAAACTTTTAATTGATGATCATCAAAATTCTTAAGGTATTTCCTAATGTCCTAGAAAACTGTAATTTGGAATCATCATCATCATCAGCCTATTAGTGTCCCCACTGCTGCTGCACAGGCCTTCCCCATGGATGGAATAGGGAGATTGGGCCATGACCCACCACGCGGGCCCAGTGCGGATTGGTGGGTGCTAACGATTGCAGATGCAGCCGGGACCAACGTCTTAACGTGCCTTCCGAAGCACGGAGGGGCTCGAGATAGTAAATTTATGGTCACCCGTGCTATGACCGACCACTGAGAAAGTTGCTTAACTTCAACAATCGCAGCCGAACCCGCTAACCACTTGCGCCATCGAGCACCTCTCAATTTGGAATGTAAGCTAGTATTAGATGGGACTTCCGCAATTTTGACGTTAGAGGTCTGAAAATTGATACCGGGCTCATTATGTATAAACTAGCAAACCAGTGAACCAAATGTTCACCAAAACCTGATTTCTCGAAAACTTATCAGACTATTCTTAACTTATAACTTAAATATTCTTACGGTTTGGCCGCTGAAACAGCACCACAGACAGACGGACGGACTTGTCTAATAGATAAGAGATAATATACATATGTTTATACAAAAAAATGTTACCCAATAAAATAAAAAAAAATGTCACAAGCAACATAAAAAGATATTAAATCCCACCAAAAATGTTTTCAAGTAAAATTTTGCGAAGACTATTATATTTATATATAATTATATAGACTAGATTATTATATACGTACTAGCGGCCACCTGCGACTTCGTCCTCGTTAACTTTAGTTTGTTTAAAATCCTTCGGGAACCTAACACTTTTCCTCGGATACAAATTATTCTATGTCTTTTTTCAGGGTTTAGGCTGTCTGTGTGTAAATTTTCATCCAAATCCGTTCAGCCATTTCAGCGTGGTTGAGTAACAAACAAACTTTCTCATTTATAATATTAGTTAAGATTCAGATGAGTATTCATACCAAGTTTTAACCCTATTAACTCAAAAATAGGTTTTTCTATACAAACATTCATCCCCTTTTGTACCCTCTTAGGGGTGGATTTTCGAAAAACCCTGATACAAGTTATTCTTTACTTCTAGTCTTTTGTAAATATACCATGTTTTGAGTTAATCGAAATGCGCGTTAAAATTAATCCATATAAAAACTTCGACACGACTAAGCGACGACTAAGCGTGAAGAGTTAACAGAAAGACAGTCAGACAAACTTTCGCATTTATAATATTAGTATAGATTTGCTGCTACAACTAAACGAGGTAGGTATCATCATCGTTACACATTTCTTAAACACTTGAAGTTAAAAGATCGTACCGCTTTTTACCCAACTGCGCAATGCAAGAGCGCGAAGCGCGACGCGCAGACAGGGTATAGTGTTTAACAGTCTATATATGTATGTATGTTACTTTGTGGCACACTAGAGACCAAACGTGTGGACCGATTTTGATGATTCATACGTCAATCGATTCGTCTTAATCATGGGAGTGCTACTAAAAAGATATGATAGTAAGCAAAATTTAATATGGGGACAATTAGGCTCCATCAGACACTACACCGATAGAAAGACGCCTGTATACGCCTGTTTTTTGAACCTATCCAGGGCATTCGATCTGGTTGACTACAGTATTTTGTGGGATAAATTAAAGGGGTGTGGTTTACCCTCAGACTTAATATCTTTGTTTGTGTTCTGGTACAGGAACCAGGCAAATTGTGTGAAATGGGCTGGTGTTCATTCGGAGGAGTACAGGTTAGAATGTGGGGTTAGGCAAGGGGGAAGAACTTCATCGAAATTATTTAATCTGTACATCAACGCACTGATTGAGGAGCTCAGCGGTACACGTGTCGTCTGTCACGTAGGGAGTGTTTGCGTAAATTATATCAGTTACGCGGATGATATTGTGTTGCTGACTCCTTCGATCAGTACTTTCAGGATGCTTTTGAACATTTGTGAAACCTATTCAACCAATCATGGTTTATCTTTTATTACCAGTAAAAGTGTATGGATCTGATCTCTGTAGAGTTACGCAATTTAAGTATCTAAGATCATATTGTTACAGATACTTTAATGGATGACGTTGACCTTGAAAGGGAGCGAAGGGCATTGTCTAAGAGCGAATATGTTGGCCCGTAGGTTTGCTCGATGTTCTGACACTGTAAAAATCACTCTTTTTAAGGCTTATTGTACATCTTTCTACTCGAGCAGCCTATGGGTTAATTTTACCCGAAAATCATATAATGTCCTTCGTGTCCAATACAATAATGCCTTCAGGGCACTGCTGCGGCTGCCGCGATATTGTAGTGCTTCGGGAATGTTCGCAGATGCGCAGGTTGACAGTTTCTCGGCTCTTTTGCGCAAAAAAGCAGGTTTATTGCTCCGGCGGGTTCTTGGTAGCCGCAGTAGAGTTGTGAGGGATTTAGTGGCTCGTGGGGACTGTTCACTGATAAATATTTTTGTAAAAAGGGTTCTATCTGTTTTTAATACAATTTACTAACTTAGTATTAAGTATTGTATACTAACACATGGATCTACGTTGTCCGAATAATAAATGATTTAAATTTGAATTTAAGTCGGGACCCATTCTTAAAAAAAATATCCACCATTGAAAATCTAATGGGTCCCGACTGTTAAAGTAGCTTTGTTCCTTACTTAATAGAATTATAGCCTACTTGTTTTTTCTTTTCAGTTTTTATTTGAAGTAATATTTAAGCAGTCGGGTTTTTTGACAAACTGAAAATAAAAAATAAGGTTTCCGACTAACATATTTGAAGTCGATACCAGGGTATCATGATAATGGGATCAACTTCAAATATATCAGTCGGTAAATTAGATTTTTTCATTTGGGCTTACGAGATTTGCAATCAGTGGAAATACAAAACAATTTTAACAAAACCGAGTTTGTCTATTCGTAACTATAGTTATGTAGTAAAATTCTTAAAAAAAATATCCACCATTGAAAATGTAATGGGTCCCGACTGTTAAAGTAGCTTTGTTCCTTACTTAATAGAATTATAGCCTACTTGATTTTTCTTTTCAGTTTTTATTTGAAGTAATATTTAAGTAGACGGGTTTTTTGTTTTTTTAATTAAATTAAATTAAAAATTAAATTTTGTGCACGGAGGAGTACACCACATTGTTTATTAATAGGTAAGGTATATGCACATAAATATCATCACTTGCATCTACTCAAACTTGCATACATACACACACACACACACTCACACACACACTCACACACACACACGCACACATACGCGTGTTCTTTCCATTTTATGTAGTCAGTAATTTATATTAATATCTTTGTCATAAACAAATGCTGCTACCTGATCTGTTTTCGCTATCCTGTAACAATTTATTACTGTGTCATCTTAAGGAACCTATTGGATGGGTCTGAATCCCTAAACATAGGCTATATTTATAGCCTTAGTAGGGTCAGTTGTACTTTTTTATTATATGACTACTGCCTTATGTAAAAAAAAAATAATAAAAATAAATTCAAGTTCTTTGTCTCATAAATTTAACAGCTGTAACATTTTTGTACCTTATAATATGTTTTTTGGCATTTATAAAAATTATTATTATAATTTCACAAATAAATGCTTGTTAAGCATTCATCATCATCAGCCTATTAATGCCCCCACTGTTGGGGCACAGACCCACCACGCGGGCCCAGTGCGGATTGGCGGGTGCTAACGACTGCAGATGCAGCCGGGACCAACGGCTAAACGTGCCTTCCGAAGCACGAAGGAACTCGAGATAGAAGGATTTTTAGTCATTCATCCAATGACCGACCACTGCGAAAGTTACTTAACTTCAACAGTCGCTGCCGAACGAGCTAACCACCCGCGCCATCGAGCTCCTCGATGTTAAGCATTATCAATCACGTAGTTTCCTTG